GCCACCGGGGCAGGCTCAGTCCCAGGCTCAGTCACAGCAGCCTCAGTACCACCAGCAGCCTCAGCATCCGGGCGGCCCATCCGAGCAAGGCTGGCCTCGTGACGACAGGCACAGAGTTCACATCGAAGGCCTCATTGACAGGCCGAACCCGGCTCATCGGCAGCAAGGTTGAAGGCAGCGCGGCCAGATCCGTTGTTGGTCATGATCTTACAGAGGTGGCTAGTCGGTGCTGTGGTGGGGATTCCCGATGTGGTGGCCAGGTCTGATCTTGTCCGGCGGGCCAAGACACCTCGCCGCGCGTTGCGATTCTTGACTCTGCAAGTCCGGCTCCGACTCCAGGAGAGCGCCGTCCCGCGGCGAATCTCGCTGTCGAGCGATTCGTGTCGATTCGGTGGGGGTGGGGGCGGGCGAGTTGTACTAGTACGGCATACATCGATTTGTTCTGCGCGCCATGGAGGTGTTCGTTAGAGATCGGGTCGCGATGATACCATTGTGCGAGTTCTGCATTGGTTTAGTTTTGGATGGGAAAAGGGAGGGGCGCGCCTGAGCGCGTGTTGCTAGCATAGAGGGTGGAAGTAGATGCCTTTCAAGGTGGACCGGGGATTTCCTGCCCTTGGGGTCTCTCCCCCGCAAGACATGGCAGAGTTTGGCAGAGTCGCGGCTGGAGAGGATAGCCGGCTGGGCTTCTGATAATATGGTTGGCGTTTGGACAAGAAAGCACATGTTGGTACCCGTTTTGTTGGGTTGTTCGGCGGCCGTGGGTAACACCTTAGACACCACGTTGCTTGAGTTCGCTCGTTCTTGACTATCGATTCTTTTTGCTGCCTCGTGTTCAGATGTCCTGGAGCCCCAAGTACCTGTGAATTGTCCCACGCGACCGCCTCCAAGGCTTGGGAGGATCCGCTGTGCCTCGAGCTGAGCATGGGAGCAGCACCGAGCTGGCCAGGAGTGAAGCATCTGTGCATGGGAGCAAGCTCTTGTCGAGTATGCTGCGGCAGCAGTAAGGTTGTACAAAAGAAGAATGGGCGGGAGCGAGTCTCCAAAAACACATTTGGTCGGTGGTAGGTGCTCAAGTAGTAGCCACGGGAGGAAGCCTCAGGCTCGCAATTCGTGCCAAGAGCGCGCAACACGACGACGGTTAAGGGGACAGACAGTCAGGAAGACGGTGCATAATTACACGACGACAAGGGGAAGAAGGGGAGAAGACGGCGTGGGGGGGGAGGAGGGGAGGGGAACGCAGGAAGAGAAAAGGAGCAAGATAAGGTAAAAGGTGAGGTGAGTGGTAAGTGGCCAGTGGTAGTGAGGAAACTATGACCCGGGAAATATCAGAGAACCATATAGCAATCTCGACGGCCTGGCAAGGTTATGTTGCTAGCTCGAGGGAAACAAAACGCGGAAACGTCTGTGTTGAGGGCAGTGACAAGGTCGAGCTAGGGGGGCCGTGAGTAGGAGGCCCTTGCCCTTATGCAGACTTGACAACCGAACTATTTACCTTGGTATCCATTTTCTCCTCCCCTTTGTATGCTGCCCCGGACCCTACCCAACTCTTTTTTGCTGCCACCCCACGGACTACATCCTGTCGTCGGCCTGCAAGAGCTCACGACTCCAGGCTGTCATGTCAACATTGGCCACTCTCGACGGGCCCCACAGGTTGGGCTGGGAACAGAGCACTGTTGATCAGTCAGTCTTGCTCCCCAGCCCAGCCCCCCTCCTCCTCCCTTTCTCCTTACGGGGCCCTACGCAGTCGCAGGACCGACGGACAGATACACGACAGAGACGCAATGCACACACATACATACACACATACACGTACGGAGTACATCCACACCCCACCTACTTGGTACCCACCCAGCAACGCTCGTGATTTGGCAGGCCCGACCCCGTCAAGCCGCCGCGTCGCACCCAACCCAGGCACCGCGCATGACAGCAGCCCTGGGGTGGGTATGCAGTACGGAGTACAGGTAGGGGTTGTCAGTGTGTCACCGTCTTGTGGGACCGACTTCCTCTTGGGGCGGGCAGCTGGTTGATCAGTGCAGTGCCAAGCACTGCAAGGTGTGCATGAAATTCCCCGAGACCTGGGCCAGTCACCATCGGCAGCGGCCCAGCAGCACCACACAGCCATCTGCTAATAAGCATCGCGGCTCTTGCACCACCGCCTCCTGCGCCCTCACACACTGACGGGCTGACGGGACGCGCCAGTAGGTGGCCTGCAACGCCATCAGGGGCCACCCCAGGGCCCGCCAGGCCTCTTGGAAATATCCCGACGCCGGCCTGCCAGGTGGGGCCCAAAGGGGGAAAGAGGGAGGCGGGCGGAAGAACCAGCCCAGGGCGACAGGCCGACAGCCTCTCCGAACCACCAACCGACTGCCCAGCTGCCACACCTCCGTACCGCCGCCGCCCCGCCCGCTACGCCAGCCGACACTTTCCCCGTTGCAGAGGGCCCGAAATGGCCATAGCTGGCGCTATACTGCATAGTAGGGAATCATCAATATTGCTGGGGCGCCATTGGATTGGGAAAGTGCCTCGGCCACAACCTTAAAATGGGCTCCTCTTGAAAACCGAGCTAGACATTGCATGAGGCTCCGGGAGTCTTTTGGACTTCCTTATTTCGGACGCACTGCCATATTCTGACGGGGCTCCTCTCAACGTGCAGTCGCTACCCCATCCGCTGACGACTTGTGTCTGGGACCAGGGCCTTCAACACTGAGGTGGTCCCGTGCCTGGGCATGCGTTCTCTTGCTGATCCTTTCCGCTTTGCCGCCCCTCGTCGCCATCAGCTTGACGCTCGCCTACCTCGGGCCCTTTCCTCACTGCGCCACGCCAGCACCAGAACAAGACGAGCTGGTTTCAGGCGCGCAGGCTCGCATCCCAAGGTCTGCTACGAGGAGCCTTTACAACCGAATCAAGGGCGCAGCGCGGGCTGCAGAATCAGCCATGACTTTGTTGTCCGTCCCGGCGAAAAAGTGGTTCCGGGGAGGTGGATCGTACCACACTGTCGACATGCTGAAACTCAACAATTGGCGATTGCGGGCACTTGGCATTCGCCATTGACACAATTTCCAAGGGGAAGCTACTTTTGTCCCGGCTTGCAAGTGCAAGTGGAAAAACAATCCAGCCGCGTGCAGCAGCCCAACGGAGGAATCCGTCGGCCCCTTGAGGGTAAAAGGGGCGCCGCCCGGCCACTGCAGTCATAGCTTGGCAGTATATTACCCACTGCCCTGGTGCTGAACTCCCTGGGAAAAACCCACGCGGTAGGAGGCGTGCAACCGCAGTCTGGGATCGCTTCGCCTGGGCCAAGCAACCACTGTGCCCTCCTGTACGCGCAGTGGACACCACGAGACCTGCGAAGTCGCATTGCTCGCGCTCGCCTTTTTCTGCCTGTGGTGACGAGTCACCGGCAAAATTTGAGCTGGATCTGTCAGTCTGTCCGTTATTACCAGAAATTCCCAACCCATAATCCCGGGCTCACTTTCCCATTTGAATTTGCTGATATACAGCTAGCCTCATCGGTCTCTCACCTATATGAGGCTTGCATAGCCGTCATGGATAGGTAATTAGCAGATTCGCCAGATTAGTTCGGATACCCTGCTAGATTAAGCAAGTATTGATGAGACTAGGGCATGCGCTCCAATGACGTCTGCGGTGCTCTGGATGTTGGGCCCTGCATAACCAACCTTGCGAAGCAAGACATCATGAGCCGCTTTTGTGATTCAAAACGCCTTTGGTGGATCATTTTGCCGAGCGATGAGTTGGGGTTGTGCTTGGTGTTCGCCCTTAGAGCTCAGCCCTGAAGTCTGCATCTTGACTTCTCTCTAACACGTGTTTCAGTGCGGCGATAGAACCTGTAGGTCACCCCCTCAGCAGCGCTTTTGTCGTGAGTGGCTCGTTCCATGCTTGGGATCAGTGGGTGCAATAACGCGTAACGGCATTGAAAAGCAACGCCCCGGACGATCACAAGACACACCACATAGGATCGATCAGCAGAGTCTCTGATTTGAAAGATATTCGTCAGGTTACGAGAGAGGCCGACCGCTGGCTTGTTGACCCAGCTTGCATGCCTCCTGGCCTGACGACGCTTGAGCAATGCGTCCGCCGAAACCTAGGAGAAAGGTCATCGTAATCTACTGTCCCATTCGCGCCGATGAGACAGTCAGCGCGACCCGTCCGAATAAAAGCGCATCAGTGACTAGACAAAGAGGCCTCATGGATCTTATTCCCCACGTTGAGCTTTCTAAGAATCCCTGAATAAACAAAGACTTGTTTACTTTTGTCGTTGAACAGGATGTGGGATTTCAAGTTGGCCGTGATGACAGTCTGAAAATGCACTTCAAGGAATGAGAGGCCGGCCAAGATGAGCTTTGACTGACCCGGCCAGGCGAGAAGGCCGCGACGCGAAGTGAGCGCATTCATTCAACCTGTCAATATCACGAAGTCAGCTGATCAAGTCAGCTCTGCGCCTACCAAGCAAGTGCCTTTGTCATACTCGTCCGTAAGAGACTCGCACTACACACACATCTCACATGCCCGTGGCCGAAACGCAACGCCGGAACCAGGGGGTATGACTTCGGCGAAGAAAACATTGGTGATGGCATCACATGCAATCGACGAATTGGCGACATTCTTTTGATTGGCACTTGAAAGCCGCGATTTTAGCTCCCGCCATATCCGCCAGAAATTAACGTCGAGGGTTCGATTCGAGTTGCTTTTCACCGGCCTTGCACATCGGCCAAGAGTGCGAAACTCTGGATATCTACCAGCTGCCTTTCGTGGTGTAATTTCTATAGACTGTAACCTTAATTGGATGTGAATCCGAATGCGAAGCCGAAATGTTATTGAAGTAACACAGCCCCGCAATGTTGGCTTTCGTTCTCGTACTGAAGTCTACTTAAAGCAGCCACCTGCCTTTTTCATACATTGAGGCCTGTGTGGTCGTCGGACTAAATCAAGAAGAAGTACTATCTGGTAGGTTGAAAAGGGCGAATCAAAGCAAGTAATCCAAGATGGCGACTGAGGTTTGCACTTCGACTTATCTCAACGACCGCCATGATGTGAAGGCGCTCGTGAACTACCTGCCGTTGGACAAGATGGACTTCGGACCAGACGACATGCCCGCGCCAAAGAAGTTTGGTGATTTCATCGAGTCCAGCAGGTACAGTATGTCACCCCATGATATCTTGTTGGTAAGACATGTTGACCATAATCGATCATGTCCTTGGACACGCCAAGTCGAATTCCGAGTTGACAACGATTTGCTAACCCGAGATAAATCAAGTGACATTCCAAAATGCCAGAGGCAAGGAGGATTCGTTCAAGCTGGACAGAAACGGCTTTGAGATTGTCACCCTCCCAGAGAGGGAGCGTGATGTCTCGACCGATGATAAAATCACGGAAGATTTTATGCCCGAGATCATAGATATCATCAAGAAGAGGTTCGACTCCCCATCCCCGCCCTCAGGAAAAGATCTCCATGATTGTATGCCGAAGTCGACTGACGGGCACAACTCAGGACGGGAGCCTCGACCGTGGTTCCGTTCGCCCACGTGCTCCGCCGGACCGAGAACAAGTTTTTCGCGGAGATTGTGGACAAGGAGCGCTACAATCGCTTTTCCACGGTGTGGCCGCACAGCGACTTCCCCGTCGTTTACCCGGAGCGGCTGCCTTACATCAAGGAAGGCATCTTGAACTACGACGGCATCCCTGAGGATACCCGGGAGGAATTGAAGAAGGCTGCCGAGTCTGCTTCACGCTGGGCTTTTTTGCAGGTGAGTTCTGAGTGGTTTGTTCCTCGTGACCAGGGCGCAGGGCTGCTTTTGCGGTGATTGCTCAGACCTTTCTGGAGAGATATTGGGGCAGCCCCTGGCCCTGCGCGGATGTTGGTGAGGCTGCCCTTGATGATAACTTGCTAATAGAGAATTGGGATAGATCTGGAAGCCTCTCAAGACGCTGAAGCGCGAGCCTCTGGCGCTCTGCGACTCGTCGACGCTGAGCCAGGAAGACTGGAGGTTCAGACAGGCAGAGGACCCGAGAATTATGTATTCGCTCCTGGCACACACTGAGAAGGAGGAGAAGCACAAGTGGTATTATGTCCACGAGATGAACCCAAACGAGATGTTCTTGTTCAAGGGTTGTGACAGCAGGCAGGGCGAGCCTGGATTTACCGGGTATGCCGGGGCACACACTGCGTTTGCGCTCCCGGACTCTCAGGATCAGCCTCCTAGGGAGAGTATCGAGGCTCGGTTTTTCTGTCTCTGGGAGTGAGGGAGGTCCCTGGTATCAGGAGTCAACAGGAGGAAGAACTGTGGCGCAGCAAGGGGCTTGCTTCTTAGACCATAGACCCCGAAGCGTTGATCATGGTCTTATTAGCTGCTTCAATCGCGATATGAATAATCTTGCACTCCCCTGCTTAAATATCGACTCGCTCTTCCCAAAAGGGTTAGATTAATTTGACTTCAATTTTGACATCCTCAAAAATACTTATTGGTACCTTCTTCCTCTCCTTTTTCACATTCCAGGACCCTAACCACTAACCCGAACCCTAACCGCTAACCCTGACCCTAACCGCTAACCCTAACGCTAACCATGGGGGCTTCGCCCCCAATCCCCCACTGGGGGGGGGCCCCCAGACCCCCCGATAAAAAGTGGTTGAGGTACTTTGAAGTATCTGAAAGGCTTGGCTTTTGAGGTTGCAGTTGGGTGGGGTGGTGGTGGGGTAGACTAGTCCTCTCTGGGAAGAGCGAGTCGATATTTAAGCAGGGGAGTGCAAGATTATTCATATCGCTTCAATCGTGCGTACAGTGAGAAGTCTGGGGTTGTACAAGTAAATAGATGATGCCAGACATGTGCAAACAGTTCGCCCCGAGAGGCCATACTCATTCAACCCGTGGACGTGGCCGAGACGTTGGGTACAGGTGCTCAGAGCAGACGGCCCGTACGGCCAACTGAAGAAATTCAGGGCACAACCTCTTTTTTATGGGGAAAAAAAGGAAGAAAGAAAGACGACAGACAAATGATTCTTGCTATTTGAGAATATCATGTGCAAGGCCCAATCGCACCGAGTGAGGGCATCAGGACCTACTTACAACTATAGGTAGTCGGTTGTCTTGTTCTAGGGAAGCATTTGCCTGGGGTCAGGGTCGGGTAGGGCTGGGAAACCCTCCGGGTTCGTACTGTCAGGTGGCGAGGCAACTGAGCCATTGGCAAGCGCGACTTCCCAGCATGCGACCTGCTTGGTTGAGACCCTGCTCGCGTTCAGGCAGGCGCGTCGGTACAGAATGCCTGCCTCATGAGTGACGGCGACTTGGAGACAAAAACCAAGCATCAAATTCCTGTGTAGCGGTCCTAATCTCCAGATACGACTATTCTACTCTAATTCAGCCCATAGTCCACCCACCCACCCAATGTTTGCGAGCGGCGTCCATCTTCGTCCCTGTGACCCAATTCCCTGCACAAGACACCTGCAATGTCCACTGTCGCCCGCCATGGCCGAGCCAATGGATGTTGACGAACCCCGTGGCGTCAAGAGGAAGGCTGACAATGCGGGCGTGACCACCTCGAGGCGCATCAAAGCACTGGATCCAGATGTTGTCAACAAGATCGCGGCCGGCGAGATCATTGTCGCACCTGTGCACGCGCTCAAGGAGCTCATGGAGAATGCTGTTGATGCAGGCTCCACTGCTCTCGAGGTGCTGGCCAAAGATGGCGGTTTGAAACTGCTCCAGATCACTGACAATGGCAGTGGAATAGACGTATGTATCTCATCATCCCGCTCCTCCTTTCGCTTGCTTTATTACGGCGGGCCACGAAATCAATTATCGACCAAGTCGAGCAGGCGTCTGACCAGTCGACAGAAAGAAGACTTGCCTATTCTGTGTGAGCGTTTCACCACATCCAAGTTGCAGAAGTTTGAGGACCTCTCATCAATAGCGACATATGGCTTCCGCGGCGAGGCTTTGGCAAGCATCAGCCACATAGCCCATCTGACCGTCACCACAAAGACCAAGGACTCGACCTGTGCCTGGCGTGCTTATTATGGCGGAGGCAAGCTTGAGCCCCCCAAGCCGGGCCAGACTGCAGAGCCCAAGCCAGTCGCGGGCAGAAACGGCACACAGATCACTGTTGAGGATCTGTTCTACAATGTGCCCACTCGGCGCCGCGCTTTCCGCTCTGCTTCCGACGAGTACAACAAAATCATCGACATGGTTGGTCGATATGCCGTCCACTGCAGCCATGTCGCCTTTTCTTGCAAGAAACAAGGGGAATCATCTACGAGCATATCAGTGCCAGCCACCGCGTCTGTCATCGACCGTGTTCGCCAGATCTACGGCGCCAGTGTCGCCAACGAGCTGATCGAATATTCTACCTCCGATGACCGATGGGGTTTCAAGGCCGAGGGCTATGCCACGAATGCCAACTACCATATAAAGAAGACGACCCTGCTCCTGTTCATCAATCATCGCTGTGTCGACTCCACGAATATAAGAAAGGCAATTGAGCAGACATATGCAGCATTCTTGCCGAAGAGCGGCCATCCTTTCGTGTACCTCAGTCTCGAAATTGATCCTGGTAGGGTCGATGTCAACGTGCACCCGACGAAACGAGAGGTCAACTTTCTCAATGAAGATGAGATCATCAACGCCATCTGTGAGCATATTCGCACCAAACTTGCAGCTGTTGACCAGAGCCGTACCTTCATGACACAAACGCTACTTCCCGGCGCCGATTGGCCATCCACGCAGCAGCAGACCGAGGACGACGAGACCACTTCCTCAGCCACACGTGCGTCCGGGAAGAAAACCACCCGCCATGAAAACACACTCGTCCGGACAGATACCAATCTCCGCAAGATCACCAGCATGTTCGCTCCAAGCGAAGAGTCATCGTCTACACCAAGAGACTCTCGCGGAGCACTGCGCACTGCGCCTGATACGCAGCCCCCAGAGGCTATCGAATACGAGACTAATGATCGCGAGCAAGTCCCGTGCCGTCTCGCCAGCATCCGTGAGCTGCGTACAGAGGTCCGAGACGATATGCACCACGAACTTACAGAGGTATTTGCCACGCACACATTCGTCGGGGTCGTCGATGAGCGTCGCCGGCTTGCAGCTATACAAGGTGGTATCAAGCTTTACCTCGTGGACTATGGCCGAGCCTGCTTTGAATATTTCTACCAGGTTGGCTTGACTGACTTCGGAAATTTCGGAGTTGTGAAGTTCAACCCTTCTCTGGACCTTCGTGCGGTCTTGCGCATAGCCGCCGAGCACGAGAAGGAGAAGTGTTCTACATCGGAGGATGACTTCGACGTGGACGAGGTTGTTGATATGGTGTCATCACAGCTTATCGAGCGTCGTGAGATGCTCTTGGAGTACTTCTCGTTCGAGGTCTCGCCGACCGGGGAACTTATTAGCATTCCCTTGCTTGTGAAGGGCTACACTCCGTCCATGGCGAAGCTACCGAATTTTCTGCTCCGACTAGGCCCACACGTGGACTGGACTGATGAGAGGGCCTGCTTTGAGATGTTTCTGAAGGAGCTGGCCTCACTGTATGTACCTGAGGTGTTGCCGCCGATGCCGGGCGAGGCCGAGGCAGCCGCTGCTGAACAGATTGATGAAGAGGTCAAGGCGAGGAGGAAGCACGTGCGCTGGGCTGTCGAGCATGTTTTCTTTCCCGCCTTCAAGGCCCGCCTCGTGGCCACAAACAGTCTGATGAAGGATGGCGTGCTGGAGGTCGCCAATCTGAAGGGCCTGTACCGAGTATTTGAGAGATGTTGATTCAGAAGCCATTTGCACCTCACTTCCTGAGACCCGTAGCTCTACATGATGTACGTCTCACAAGCGACACCATATTAACACGTATTACAAGAACTTTCCATCCCAGCCCATTAGAATACTCAGCAGACACAGTCTTGTCTACAAGTACATACCCGTCTCCCACGTATGTATATTCTGCATCTTTGCGTACTGTACCGGACACCTGGAGGCCCGCACATGGCCTCCTTCACCAGAGGCAGGCGGCACTTGAGCAGGACGTTGATGCGGACGCTGATACCCGCAGAGAGCTCTGATAAGTCATTTCCATTCGTCTATGGTTTTCACTCCAATACCTGGATGAAGCTCCCTCCTCCTGGCTCCAACCTGGAAAGAACCCCTTGAATACTGTACACTAGTAGACCTCCATTTCACAGGCCGCCTCGATCGGCCGCTTCATCTTATGTGGCCGTGCCTAGGCTAAGTCTATTTACCGTCTTCCCACTCAGGGTTCTGCAAATATTGCGGATTAGCACGCTGCCAATGGCCAAACAGGACAGGATTCTGTTCAACATACCTTCTTGAGGATGACCAGGCCCTCGAGCACGTTGCTCACGCTGATGTATTCCTCGTCCTCGAGCTCGGCCCGCTCGCCGTACCCGAGCAGGACGGGGGTGCTTTGTGTCTGCCAGCCGGTGATGGTCTTGGGGCGACCGGCTTGGCCGACGACGTCGACTGCCTGACCGACGCGGACGTTGACCGTCAGTGGCTTGAGGTTCTCGTCCAGCGTGACGAGGAAACGTGGGTGCATGGCGGTGACCAAGAAGTACAGGAGATAGTGAGAGTTCTTGGTGATGAACTGCTTGGCGTCAATCATCGCCACGAGCACCGACAACAAACCCGCGCATGAGACCCTCGACAGGATCTGCCTGTCGGTGTGGAAGGGGCTGAGTGACATGGTGCCCTTGCCCATGTGCAGGAGACCCTGGGCAATCCGCACCATGAATAGTGATTCCTTCTCGCGGTGGTAGTAGCTTGCCAGTTGCCGTAGCAGTTGCGCCAACCTTGCATTGTTTGTGCCGGCGCCGAGGAGACCCATGGCAAAGATGGCGTTGATGGCAACATCGTTATCATTGTCGTGACTGTATCGAGAGAGAGTGTCGTATACCTTCATCTGGGGGTTGCTCGGACTTATCAAGCCCATGGCCAGGGGAACAGCGCGGCGGATATTGGGCTCGCCGTAATGCATGAGATGGCCAAATTGGCGCAGCACCATCTCCTGGCCGACTTCCTCACCCATGGCAAGCAAGCCGAGTCCGAGGACGGCGTAAGATTGCACCAGTTCATCGCCCTTCTTCTCGTCAGACTCCTCCATGTGCTCGTTACACATGTGTAGAAGCTCTTGGATCTTCAGCACCGCACCGGTACCGGCCCAAGCACATATCTCTGCCAGGACAGCTGTTGGCCTCGCCGCAGGGTGATCTATAGCCTTGAGTGTCTCCAGAATGACATCCACCTCTTCTTGCTTGCCGAAGAAGAGGAGGCCAAGTCCGAGAGCCAGGAATCGAGTCCATTTGTCCTTGAGCTGATTCTGACGCTCGTCGTCGAGCAGGGTTGTGATTATTGCTTCCGTCACGTCTGGGTGGGATGTGCCGACAAAGACAAGACCACAGGCCAAGGCAGCCATGGCGGAAATCTGCATGTCCTGGGTGGTGTCATTAATGATAGGCAGGAGCTTCTCCAGCAGCTCCTCCTTGTTGGAGCCCGCGTACGTCAGGCCAAGTCCCATGATCGACGCAACGCGGATGAGAGGGTTGGGGTGCTCGAGCTTTTCGGGCTCTCCGAGCAAAGCCATGACGGGCTCGGAATCCATCTTCACACCAGCATTCATAATGCCGATAGCAAGCATGGCACCTGCGACGATCTGCGGCTCCTCGGAGTAGGTGTACTTATCGATCTTATCCAAGCCATTTTCAACGTCCCATAGAAGCAGAGTTCCAAGCGATGCCACTGTTGACATCATACCTTCGTCCTTGGTCTTCCACACCCAGCTGTTGGTGTCCTTATCTACCAGCATCATCTTGTCGTTGCCGAAACCAGCGTTCACGAAGGCGTTGACGAATCCTGCAGCAAGATTGTGGCGAGCAGAGTCCAAGTTGGTCATGCCGGCCACACGGCTGCTCTCCAGATGGCTCTTGTAAATGTCTTCAGTCGTCTTGGGGTCGAGAATGTTGAGCTCCTTCCCGAGAGTCTTGAAGTGCTCCGACAAGCGAAGATTGCTGAGACTCTCCTGGACCTCAGGATCCTCTTCTTCCGAGTCTAGGAAAATCCGCTGCCTCGCGATCAGGAATGCCAACTGCTTCTTGAGCGTAGGGTCGGTGGCCGCCTCGAAATCCGCCTTGATCTGCTCGGTGTCGTTGAGACGGATAGCCAAGACCATGGCCTGGGTGGATTGGTTGTACTCCTTGTATATGTCATGAGCAACACGGAGGAACAGCTCGTTGTCTGGGTACGTTAGAAGGTTGACCATGGAAACCATGTACAAGCAGACTCTGGAGTAAGTGTCCTCGTCGATGAACTCTGGAAGCTTCTCGATGATCTCCAATTCGCTCATCAAATCAACCGCATCGGCCTCCGCGTTGCTCTTGAGAAACAGAGGCACAAGAGACAGCGCCAGGTCCACCAGGTCAGTGGTGGATTCCTCAGCTGTGATCCTCTTAGCGTAGACCTCGCCAATCTCCAATGCCAGATGCCGGACATATTCGTGTCCCCACGAGCCGATATCCTGCGTTGGTGCCAACAGTCTGTACTTGAGGGTGTCTTGCCTGTCCTCGTCGGAGAAGGTCATCCCGATCACGGACAGCACATCGGCCAACGAGTTCTTGTCGTCGCCCGATGGCCAGTTCTCGTACAGTCCGGTCATAGTCTCGTAGTGGGGTCGGAGGAACTTCAATGGCTTCGGAACGGCAGTCATGGATGATGTCGATGTCTTGATGAAGTTCTTCATGGCCTCCAAGGCCGGTTTGTAGAGAGACGCATCGGGTTCCTGGTGCGATGGGTCAGCGCTGCCTAGTCTTGGCGGGATAGAGGTTGTTGGGAGGGACAAACGGTCAATCGCTCGACAAGCATATCGAGCTCGCTCTTGAGTTGTTGGTCCTCCTCGCTGAGCTCTTCTGTGGCTAAAAGGTTTGACAGGTCAGCCTGCGGTCGCAATTAGAGGGGTGGCGGCGCATACTCTCGTCCTTCTCGTCGGCCTTCTTTCCGTTTGGCAGAGGCTTCCCCTCCTTGTCCTTGGGGGCATCATCAGGCTTGCCATTCTCAACCGCCTTACCCTTTCCCTTGTCGGCGGCGGTGGGCTTGTCGCTGTCTTGAGCCATGATGATGGTGGGCTGTGGCTCGGAGGCACGTTGTGGATTCCGGGTCGGCGCAGACGGGAGTTGCGTCAACTGGCGCCTGAAAAGCTGTGACGGGGGGCTGACGGACACAAGAGAGGAGTGAGGGGATTGAAAGAGCTTGCGTCCGGGTATATGCGGTGATCGAGGGGCGACCGGGGCGTGTGGGTGGATGATGTGAAGTTATGTTGATGTTGGTGCTGGAAGCTTCACACGCAGTAGAGTGCCAGCCCGCAGCTTAGCTCCCGGGTGCCCTGGCTTATTACGCGAGTCTCTTGCCGCCTGGAGATGGCAAGCAAGGTCATAATCCAGACACAGCAAGCAGGGGGGCTGCCTCGAGCTGGTCAGTGCACCATATCTAATCACCGATAAGATAAGCTCAACTACATCCCACCACCATGTGTAATTTTCGGAGGGACTTGGTGATCGCAACCGGGATCACTGCCCTGCTGCAAAACAGTATTCGGCCTCTTAGCATACAACTCGCCCAACTACGCCATACTTTGGGGACTTACAACCTAGCCGAGCCCTCAAACCTTGCGGATCAATCACGCAAATCAAGAAACGGTCACCCCATAAGCAGCGCAGTCAGGGAAAGCCGTCGCCATGAAGTTGGACACAAAGGCCATGCGCCACCTCGCGCCAGAGGACTGGCGGGTTCTTACGGCAGTATGTCGCTGATGTTTCACCACATATCCTACCTTAGTCCTGGGCTCACCAAATTCCAACCAGGTGGAAATGGGATCCAAAAACCACGAGATCGTCCCGACAGCCATGATCGATAAGATCGCCCGCCTGCGCGGCGGCAGCAGCGGCGTGCACAAATCCATATCGAACCTCGCCAAGACGGGGCTCATAGGCCGGGTAAAGGAAGCAAAGTACGACGGGTACCGGCTGACATACGGCGGACTCGACTACCTCGCATTGCACGCCTACTCGTCGAAGAAGCAGATCTACAGCGTGGGAAGCCGGGTGGGTGTGGGCAAGGAGAGCGATATCATGATGGTGGCGGACGACAAGGGGCAGCAGAAGATACTGAAGATACACAGGCTGGGTCGGATATCATTCCGCACCGTCAAGACGAACCGGGACTACCTAAAGAAGCGGCAGGGCGGCTCGTGGATGTATCTGTCGAGGTTGTCGGCCATGAAGGAGTTCGCGTTCATGCAGGCCCTAAGGGAGGAGGGCTTTCCTGTCCCGGAGCCCATTGCGCAGTCGAGGCATACCATCCTCATGTCATTCATCGACGACTCTTACCCATTGCGGCAGATCTCAGCCGTCCCCGACCCTGCAGGCTTATATGCGGAACTGATTGCCATGATTCTCCGACTGGCAAAACACGGACTGATACATGGCGATTTCAACGAGTTCAATATTCTGATCAAGGAGGAAAAGGTAGACAGCGACGATGGCCAGGAAGACTCTGCGGATGCGGCCGTCACATTAACTCCCATCCTCATCGATTTCCCGCAGATGATCTCGATGGACCACCAGAATGCCGAGATGTACTTTGACCGTGATGTCAACTGCCTAAAGCGTTTCTTCGAGAGGAGGTTTCATTTCACCAGCACCGAACCTGGACCCTTTTACAAGGATGCGAAGAAGACAGTTGGACAAGATGGCGCCAGGAAAATCGACGTCGCGGTGGAGGCCTCGGGTTTCACGAAGAAGATGTCCAAGGATCTCGAGGCCGCCATAAGAGAGCAGGCAAGCTCAAGAGACGAGAATGCTGATGACCTGTCGGGAGACGAAGACTATGTAGATTCGGAAGATGAAGCCGAGACGAGTGCCGAGGAGGACGAGCGTGAAAATGAAGCCGACCATCAGTCCGAACTTCAGGACGCCGCCGTAGATGGGAAGCTCGATGGAATGGAAAAGCTGGGGATCAAAGATACTTCTTGAGGACAGAAGCATCATCAAACAAAAACAAATAAAAATAGTCGAGCTCTATGCTGCAGGTCTGATTCTCGGAAGTTGCTGCGTTTTTCATCTCGCAGCACTTGTTACATTCATTCACCAGCGGATTGAGGACACAGATACTGCTATCAACAACTTCCATGAATGTATATTGCCGGTGGCGATCTTGCTGCTACAGCAAGGTCCAAACAACGGAAAGTAATATGGGGTACAGAAGACAAGATGGGTGTTGATGATGTACTGATCTTCCCTGCTCTAACTGCTAGAAAAGCAGATCCGTCGATGCGAGGTGGACAGCCTCTTGCGTTAAGGGACATACTTGCGATGATAAGACCAGAGTGTAAGAGAGGACACCAAAATTTCGGACCCTGCTGACATCGAAACAACCTCCACAAGCCCTCGGATAAGGCTGATAATGAAAATTATGCCGGGAGTGCTGACGTCGAAAAGGCGTGGTCCAAAGTGTGTGAAGAATGACGGTCAGAAGGGATGGGACTCCTCTAGACAGCTTCCTTCTTGATGATGGGAGATGACTGCGACTTGTGGTTGGTGGGCGAGTCAACAACCGTCACACCCTCATCGGCAGATCCGTCATCCGAGGACGACGTGACTGCGCACTGTCTGCGTAGGGGAGTCAGAACAGCAAAGACTAGGTGGGCTGGAGATCCCTACTGGTGAATGTGGCCCTTCGTCATGTTCACATTTCCGCTCTTGGCAGCGAGAGCAGGACGATGGGGAAGCCCAGGAGCGGCGCTGCTCATGCGTTAGCACCTTCAGTATAGCTATTGGACACGGGTCTTTGACGGAACAACCAACCTGGCAAAGCGAGGAGTGCGGCCCCAGTTGGTCGGGGCTGAGTGGTAGATGGAGGGGTTGATGCCGACAGCCACGGTTCCGTACGCGCCGATGTTGTACTCGTTGGTTCGGTACTGGCGGCGCTCGGCAGTGACGCGCTTCAACTCCTTCTGAGAAGGCGTGTCGGCGTAGCGGACCTGCATCAAGAAACACTCATCACCAATCGCCTGGCCATGGTAGCGCCTAATGACCTCCTCGCAGATCTCACGAGATTCAAAACTGCGGTGACTGATCAGTTTGTGCCCGAGGTCAGAGAACAAGACGAGAAGACCTACCGGGCAAATCCAACGCCACGGCTGTTGCCCATGCTGTCCCGAAGAATCTTGCTTGACATGATCTGGTAGGGCTCGAAGATCGCGACGAGTTGCTGTCAAGCGTCAGCATGACAACGGGCATTCACATCAAAAGAAGGGGACACTGACAGCCTCCGTAACAGACTTTGGCAAGTTGGAGATGTACAGGTTGGTCGACTCCTCATCTCCCTCGGCCTTGAGACGGGCGTTGAAGCTCTCACGTGCGAAGCCAACTTCGTAACCAAGAAGGTAGAAGGCCTGGATGCACTTCTCAGAGTCGCGGACATTCTTGAACTTGGCAAAGCCGAATCTGCAGGAATTAGCGCCTGGCCATTGAGAATATCAGATTTCGTTGAGAACCTACCCCTTGCAGGCACCAGTGGTTGTGTCGATGATGGCCTTGCTCTGCTCGACCTCTCCGAAACGAGAAGCATACTTGAGCAGGAGCTCATCGTCGGTGGTGGGGTGTAGGCCACGGATGTAGACGTTCCTGTTTCCATCAATGCGGTTCTCCAAGCACTGATCCAAAGTCTTGCGCTGCTCCGGGGTAGTGAAAACAGCCGGGACAGCGGAGGGGATAGCAGGATCCTGTTCGACAAGCATACGGAGCTCAGCCTCCGCAACTCGCTTTCCCTTGGAGCTGACGGGACCGTAGGTTCCGGACACAGCAAGCTGCTGAGGGGACGGGGTGGTGTAGCTCGATCGGTCAGCAGACATGACCCGAGGAGCAGACTGCCGGTCACCCATGCCTCCAAAGAAAGGAGTACCTGGGGTAGACTCGGTGGCGGTGGTCGAGTAGGATCCGCGGCGGTTCTCAAGACCGGGCAGGTCACGAAGTCCACGATCCATGCGGTCGGCATAAGAGGCTGCTCGACCGGGGGTGTAGGGGAACATGTAGGCGCCGTAAGGGGGAGCGATTCCACCCTGATGCATGTAGTGGCCAGCGGGGACACCAGGGCCGTAGACAGAATCCATGTTGTAAGGGGCCTGGATGTGGCTTCCATAGCCAGGATAGACAACAGAAGTGTCACCATGCATGTAGCCGCCAGGAGGAATGGCAACAGGGGTGGCGCCCTGGGGAATGTTATTATTAGCCAGGCCGAGGGCGCCGAAAGAACTGACAAGACCGCTAAGGCCGTCGTGATGGGCAGCTGGGAGGGCGATGCCACGTGGTCCAGCAACATCATGAGCTCCCTGAGCAGCCATGTAAGCGGGTCCCATGCTGGGGCGAGGGCCCTGGTTGTTGGTATCAGAAACCATAGCAGCGTGGTTGTGGTTGTGGTAAGACATTGCGGATTCTGCACGAGAAAAAAGGTCAATATCGACCTGAGTACGAGCTGAAGACAAGCAGGCAGAATGCGAGGGCTCAAGTGGATGGGGCTGAGAGAGTGTGGGCTGGCCGCTCTCGGCAGCATCAAGAGGCTTGCCAGAATCAAACTGTGCCATCTGGTACAAGCTGATCATGATCAATCGACCAGCCCCATGGACTGTGATGAGTAGTGAAATGGTGAAGCATTTCGGGCCGGGAGTTCCTGGATCTGGGACGGTGGGGATGGGAATGGGAAAAGGAGATACAACGAGGAGACTCACCTTGGTTGGATGTATCGATGAGGATGCTGTCAAAGCTGTACAGAAGCTTGTTAGTCAAAGTGATGCAGACAGGAGCAGCACCAAATGTGTTTTGATCTGAAGAGTATGGTCGTAAACAACCCCAATTGAACTGCGGTGTTGACTTCCTCGGAGAGCCCGAAACACACAAGAAGAGGGCGAAATGAAGAGGCAGAGGAACTGTGAAAGGTCTGAGAAAACTGCAGTGGCCGAGAGATAGAAGGTTTCGGACAGTGAAAGTGGAAACCGAGGAGTTCAATTCCATTGGTGATGGAGATCACGAACCTTGCCGTCTTCAGATGGGCCCGTCTGGACTGGAAAGACCAGGCGAATCGTGGCAGGGCACAAAGCTGAGCGACAGACAGAGCAGGCAACCCAGAGATGGTATGATGGCGTCACAGGGGATTCTGGGGTGAAGCGAGTGGTTTGGGGGTAGAAATGGAGCTATGAAGCAAGCTGGTTGAGTGATCGATCTGTGATGCTGGTGATGGAGGGGAAGAAGGGAAGGGAAGCAGAAGAAGACAAACCTTAGCGAGACAGGAGGAGACAATAGATAGAGAGTCGATTGCCCTGGGCCACGAATAACACTGATGTTGACAGAGAAGCTTCGATACGTTGGTGACGGAAGGAAGACAGAGGCCGGTGGAGGTTTGACGGCAGCTACCCAGGCAAAGAAAGTATCGAAGGTCGAAATTGCTCAAGAAGGAGTAAGTAACACTTGGGCAGGGGGAACGAACTGCCAACCACAACAGGTCCTGTTTGGCCGAAATGATGGAAGGAATTGATGCTGAAGGTTCGAAAGGAAGGTGCGATGTTGGATTGCAAGGTGCTTGAGCCAGCGGGTACCTGGACTAGGATGTGGTTCTGAAGGAGAGAGGAAAGCAGCATGCCATTCACATTGGACAACAAATGGATGACGTTGGTGACAGCAGAGAGAAGTCTCTTCGAAGGCCAATTCACAGGCGGCCTGCCTAAGTGCTCCTGTGAATGCCAACAGTGGAGCTGTTGTAGAAAGACCTATTCACTCCTGGTAAGCATTTGTTCACCGACCTGGGGAAACCACGGGGCAACAAGGGACAAGTTCACCTAGTAGACACTTTTCAGTCTCTCCAACCCAGATCTAGCAACAGCCCAGGTCAACCAACTACTACCTAGATGCCTACCAGGTCTGGGGGTACCTGAGTGAATTGAAGCCCTGGATGTCTATTTTCTCCCTCGACGTGCCTGCCCGCCCTACTTCGTCGAGCGACAGAACTAGGCTCACTAAGCCTGAACGTGTGGCTCCTCCCCAGCTGTGAAAACCCTCAGGTTTTCAGAAACCTCAAGAAGTTGAAGGGATCCCAGGCATGCAAAACGGTCTCTCTCAAGCAATTTCTGATCCAGCAAATGGTGTGCAAATGAAGCTCTCTCTAGGCTCAACAGACCAGTGTGCAATTGCCTGCAAGGAGACTTTCTAGAACAGTAGTGTGTGTGTATGGCAGGATGATAATAATGATCAGAGGTGAATTACCAGTGGGGCTTGCTTGACATCACGATGGATTGAGAAGTCTGGATCTGGTCCAGGTCCAGGCCTGAGGAAGACAACCTCAATTCTGAGAAGGTGAGACCACTGAGGCAGCGGAAAGACAGCGAATTTATTATGGGCACTTTTCACAGCAGCAAGGCATTCGCCGACCGCCCATGGGGGCCAGCATGCAAGCATTCATCACATCCCGCCCTTTGGCCTGTCCTTCCCCGCAGGCCAATATACAGCAGGACTGAGATGGATTCCAGAGCAGAGGCCAGATGCGAACGGGCCTCCTTTCCAACCAGAGACGCGGGAAGGGGATGAAGAAAAAGGAAAGAAGACAGGCCAGCCGAGGCAGGCACGGGCACCAAGACAAATGTCAACATTGCTTCTCATCTTTCGGCAACCGGAGCCTAGCAGAGGCTGCGGCGCAAGCGTGGCTTCCAGAGAGCTAGCAGTTGACGTTGACGTTGTCCTCCATCAGGCTGGCCGTGGCCTCAGGAACCCCCGAGTCCCCCTCCCATAGCACTGGGAAGGCGAGACATACTCGTAAGGGGCTCTCGGGGCAGTCTTCAGAATGTCTGACGAGGGATGGTGCGGGCAGGGGCCTGTTGTCTGGCTCCTGCAGTTATGACTGGGCCCCAGGATGTCTTGCCAGGCACTCGACTCGAGGGCCCCGTCCAGGCGACCCATCTCGTGGAACCAGCCAGCCGGAGGATTTGGGAGCACAGGCCATGCATCACAACATTGGTGATCACGAGCTGACGGTCCAGCAAGACTGCTGCCACCCGGGTATCGCGTATGCGCATCAGCCCAGTCGGCCGCGAAGCAGCTCCTCAGCTGGCAATAAATGACTGCGTGGGTCGTGCAGCCCACTCGAGCCGACACTGGTCCTCCGAGATGTCCTTGCAAGCAGACAAGACCTTACCATGAGGGGCGCATGGAGGAAAAAGCAACGCAGCCGCCCCCTCGACACGGTTGTCCCCATGTTCAGTCGTTCGCTCTAAGATTGCGTGTCTGTTGCAAACACACCAAAAGACCTCGTTCCCCGCTGGCTCATGCTGACCACCTTGAAGACTGAAGCTAGATGCGCACTTTGTTCGACGACATGCGGTTTTTGCCAAAGAGTCCTGCCGAAGCTTGTACCAAAGTTCATTGACAGGGTATATCAACCCCGGCACAGACTTCGGCCGAGTCGGTCCGTACTCCCCCCCCTCCCCGGAGCCGAATCTTTGTTGGCGCGCGCCTGATTCCCGTGGATCCCATCATTGTTCGCTCCACTGGACTGGTCCGTGTTACCCTATAGACTAAGGGTGTTGGCCAACGACCAAGTCAATCGCATATCAGTGTGGACATGTGCAAGGGTACCTACCAATCTTGACGTGCAACTGTCCTGCCCTGCACAGAGATACGACTGCTCCCGTGGCAATTGCTCATGCGTTTCCAAGTGCACATCATGATTATCATCCCCTGATTCGGACGGCGTCAAGTATTAACAAGTGTATTTTCAGTTATGAACGTGGGCAATAACAACTAATCGTTCTAGGCTTGCTGAATTTCAATAAATTTTCGAGAATGCCATAACTCCTGTATCCCCAATAACACACGAGGTATTCAACCAGATGTAAAAGCCTGGCATGAATGGGCTCCGCTTCACAGAAAATGCGATCAAAATACGCTGGCTTTCTATGACCAAACATCCTCCTATCAAATGTGTTAGCAGCCTGTTCCTTCCGCGGCTGATGGGGTTACGTTGTGGGCTTACCTGGTATTGGTTGGCAGCTCTCATGTTCTTGACAATCTCCTCTGCCTTGGCCTCGGACACACCCCTGTGTTCAGCGATGATTTGGGCCAGGACGGTGTTGACCTCACGGGCCATGTTTGCGGCATCGCCACAGACGTAGAAGTAGGCCTTCTTCTCGAGGAGCTCATTGATCTCCTTGCCTTGTTGCTTGAGGAGATGCTGCACGTAAACCTTGCTTGGCCCCTCTCTCGAGAACGCGGTGTGCATCACGAATTGGTCACCCATGGCCTTCTTGTATTGCTAAACAGGCTGTCAGCATGTAGGCCCTTCACGTTCACGCAGGACCGGTTACTTACCTCCCACTCGCTCTCGTACATGAAGTCCTCGCTTCGCTTCCGGCAGCCAAAGAAGAGAATGGTCTTGCCGATGCTCTGGCCGTCCTCGGCTTCCTTTGCCCTCTCCTGAACAAATCCACGGAACGGCGCCACACCAGTACCGGGACCGATCATGATGACTGGCTTCGAGGGATCCGAGGGCAGCTTGAAGTTCGAGTGACGCACATGAACAGGCACATGGATGCCGTCGTACTTGTTGCGGGGGCCAGTAAGCTCATAACTCGCACCGAAAGGCTCCGGGTTTGGATCGCCGTTCTGCTTCTGCTTCAGAGCCAGGAGATAGTTGGTGGCAACGCCTCGGAACGGGTCGTCGCGACCAGGAAGAGTCTGGCTCTCAACGACGGCGGTGATGGAGATCTTCTTGGGCTGGACCATTGCAGACGAGGAGATGGAGTAGTAACGGGGCTGCAGCTTAGTGAGGCCTTCAATGAAGCAAGAGAAAGGAACGTTATCCCACTGCTTGCCCTTCGCAACGGACTCGAGCACGCGGGCAATGTTGAGATGCTTGGAGCTGACTTGTTCCTGGAAGTAATCCTTGTCGCTGCCAAGCTTGGTCATCTCAGCCTTGGAGTCCTCATCAGGCGCAAACGCCGACAGAGTAGCGAGGAATTGACGGGAGACAGGGGCACAGATTTCCATGTGGTAGCGGACAATCGCATCGAAGGTGGTGGGGGTGGGGAAGGGGACCTTTGCCGTGGGCTCCAGAGCCTTGACGCTGATGACTTGATCGCGCTTTCCAGACAGTGCCAGGACGTTGACCAGGCGGTCGACCTCCTCACCGGGGTTGGTAGGCCAGATGGCAATGTGGTCACCGGTCTGGTAGCTCAGGTTGGAACCGCTGATGTCGACCTCCATGTGCAGGCAGTTACGGTCCTTGACAGAGAAGAGCTCGTGAGATTCGACGATAGGGGCAATGTACGGGTTGTGGGCGTTGAAAGGCCCCTTGGCGGCGCCCTCGAGGTGCATCTTGTTGGGTTCTCCCAGGTAGACCTCGTGCGAGTCCTTGGTCAAGCCTTCGCGGTCAATGATGCTGAAAATCGGCTCGTAGACGGCCTCGCGCTCTTCCAGGCCCATCTTCTCAGAGAGAGCAGTCCACATGGGCTCCTTCCAGGCGAGGAAGTCTTCTTCCATGGTGCCGGCACCGTCATCACCCTCGCCGGGCTCGCCGATCCTGTGGGCACCGAGTTTCTCGAGGGCCTTGTTGACGTTGCGGACCATGGAGTTGTAATGCTCGTAAGTGTTGTTGCCGAGGCCGAATGCGACGTAGTTGAGGTTGTCCAGAGGGGGGTCGTTGCTCTCCGAGAAGGAGACGTCCTCGCCAGTGATGAATTCATAGAAGTCTACAGCGTTGTCGGTGGGCTCGCCCTCACCGTACGTGGCCAGGACAAACATGACGACCTTATCGCTGGGGATGCAGTCGAGGTTTTCGTAGTCGTAGTCCTCCAGGTCGGCAACCATGGTCTCGAGGCCGAACCTGCTCTTGCCTTCCTTGGCGAGCCTCGAGGCGTAATCCTCGGCGGTTCCGGTCTGAGACCCGTAGAAAATAACACAGTTCTTCCCGCTCTCCTCCATCTTCTCCAGGATGTTCCTGGTCTTGCCGGCCTTTGCGGCATGTCCGTTGGCGAATGAGTTTGCGTACGGATCCTTGGTGACCCCCCAGTATTTACCCTTTGTGAAGTACGCCAGGGTCCCGAGGAGGATCGCCGCGAGGACGACGATGTCCAAGGTGTCGAGTTCAGCCATCTTGGCGCGACCGGTGCCGAGGCACACGTGGTAAGGCCAGTGGTGGATCCGCGGCTGTGGTGCTGGGGAAGCTGCGGAACTGGTGTGGGGGTTAGTCCTGATGAACGAGGCTGTCACGGGTGGTTGCGCAGACGGACCTGGAGCGTCGCTGAGCGGCGGACGAGCTGAAGGATCAGGTGGGTGGTTTGGACGAGGGAGAGAAGCGAAGATGGCACGCAACCTCCTCCTGGGGCTCTGGTCGCCAAGAAGCTCGGTGCGGTGCGGTGGGGATTGATCGCTCGTGCGGGAGAGCCCGGCGTTAGCCAGTTGCAGGATTACGTGCTGATGACCGTCAAGGGAAGATGACACGGGTCAGCCGCCAGCGCTACGGTGAAGGGCGGGCAGAAGGAGTCGCCTTGTAGGGTGCTCTACAAGGTTTTATAGATCCCGAGAGCGAAGGAGACAGCAAAGCGTGTTGGGATTCAAACGTGGCGTCGGAGTGGAGGAGGACGAGAACGGACGGGGGAGGGCGATAACTGATAACGGGGTTTTCAGTGGTCCGGTTTTAATCCGAGGAGAGAAAAAAGTGTAAACGGTCGTTTGGGGGGGGCCGCTGCGGCTGTGTGGAGTCTGGACGCTGGAGGATAGTGCTGCTGCTAAGGAATTGCCGGGTTTACCTAGGTACTTTTGGGGGATGTTGCCTGAGCCACTTTACCCTGCAAGGTGCGGTGCGGGTGTGCCCAGATGGTTTTATAGGAGACCAAGAGACGTCTGGCCTGGCCCACCGGTTTGCCAACACCGGCCGTTCAGTCCGGTCCAAACGCTGCCGGGTGGCTCGACGAGCCTGCAAGTCTGCTGCAGGCAGGTAGATGTACGGAGTACATGCGGTGGACCTCCGCCTGGGCTGATGATCTGCGCCGTGCCCCCGAGAGATGCCACTGGATGCCACCCGCCTGTGTGTGCACAACGAGTACCATGTACACTCCTCCGAGGAGCACCGCTAGTCCCCGAGGCCGTTTTACGAGTAATGGCCCGCCTCGCCCTCAGGCTGTGGACTGGCAGACTGGGTCCCGCGGCCTTCACAAGTTGCCCGAGGGTATGGAAGGAAGCCAGTCCGGGCTGCTGCTGGTTCCCAGTGCCCAACTGCCCACCATCCTCTCCATGTTCGGCACACCCGTCACTCGTCCACGCTGGCGCTGGCGCTACGGCACGGCTGCGGCCTGCGTTACACCCGCAGCAAGCTTCTTGCACTGGGGGGCATTTTTGCATTTTTGCATTTTTGCTAGGGCTTACTGCCTGCGACAACCAACTGCAAAAATAAGCACGATTGCCCAGCATCGAGCGTCGGCTATCTACCACAGGATCTGTCTGGCCTTGACGGGCAGGAGGAACCTCGTCAGTCAGTCAGTCTCGAAAATGGCCACGACCCTGCCCGTCCTCCGAGGCCCGAAGGCCGATTGATGTGTGGCCGGGGTGTTAGACTTCACAGGGCTTGGATGACGCCTACATCCGAGGCTCGCAGGCACGGCAGCACGGCAAGACGGTACCAGGAGTGGTGCCGGCGCGGCTTCGAGATTAATGCACATGGAGTCATAGACTGCCGCCCCCTTGGTCTCCGTGTCATAACCCGGGCTGACAGCTGCTGACGGTGGCCACGATGCGATGGTCCCCTCCTTGGCAGTCTGTGGTGCCGTCCCACAACGTCGGCGGTGCGATCGGTTCCGAGTCAACCGACTGCGACTTGGAGACACCTTGGCCACCACGGCATGGCCACCTGCCACCGCGGCATGCACGGCGCCCGCGAAGGTTGCGCACCCTGTCAATACACAGTAACGCCTGTTGCAGCGGGCTGACTCAGACACAGGGGCTGCAATTCCAGCGTTGGCCAGTGCAGTTATGGAGGCTCGAGGTTGGCTGCGGGTCACGGAGCCCGGGCTCAAGGCCTCGGTTTTGGACCCGCGCCTCCGACTCCGGGATCAAAAGATGGGGCCCCAAACCGGATCCCAGCCCAGCCCAGCCCCCGGCGCCTGGCCTGTTGGGTTGGATTCATATGCTTCATATATTGCGCCTGTGGTGTTAATCTCAGTCCAATCTCCCTGGTGCCCGCTGGTGTTACGGCGACTGCAATCTGCCAGTGACGTTTGTTTGTGTCCTGAGTTCTGCGCAGTGCGCAGCAACCTTGGTGATGGCGAGCACCGAGTACGCCTGTCAGGATGCACGCGTGTGGCTTGGCACCTGATGGGGACAGGCCTGACAGGCAGACAAGGGCACGCCCTCCTGGGATGCCATTGGTTGCGGCCATGTGTGTGTACCTTGCATCTGCTCGCCTGCCAGCTGCCATGCCTGTCCATTATGGGGAGTCTCCCACGCAGCCACGCAGCCACGGAGGAGCGCTCGCTCTCTCAGCCTCTGTGGTCTGGTCTAACCGAGTAGGGGAAGTCAAGCGCCCGCTCACACCTGCTTGATGCGATCCGGAAGGCCACCCAGCCAGCCAGCCCAGCCCACCCCACGAGGACGAGGGCGGGAGAGCTTCAAGAGACACGCCTGGATTGGCCTGCCCAGAGCGGCTTTATAGTCTACCCCCCGTACCTGCCTTGCTGCCTTGCACCCAGAGCAGAGGACACCTTCGCGGCTGGGTCTGCCCAGTGCCCACCTCCATCCCATACCCACCCGGACTAGGCAAGTAGGTAATCGCCGTGTCTGCTGCCGCCGTGTAGACAGACTACTGAGTAGACTCCACGGCCGACATATCTCTCTGTCCGGCCGGGGTGTGCTATCCTTTCATCAAGGCCGTCTCATGCCCTGTACAGAGGGGGCCTGGAAGACAGGCCCAGCATGGGTGAGTCCGTCGTGAAACAACAGGTTCCAGCACCCTCTCAGCTCCCACCTCTCAGCTCCCGCCTCCCAGCCAGCACCAGCTCTCGGCAGCCCGGGTGGCGGGCCCATCCCATCTGTGCTCGATCCGAGCCTCTCACCTGTTTCACAACACTGCCAAATGAGGGGAACGAACCATTTCGAGGCGGCAGCATGTCTGTTTCCAATGCTTCGGCCCATCCCTGCTGCACTCTCCTGACACCACACTCCCAACTGCCACTGCCACTGCCACTGCCACTGCACACTGCGCGTTGCACATCACACCTCCGCGCTATTCCTCACCACTCACACCCGCCGCGGGCACGCGTTGCATCTTCGAGGGGCGCCGGTTGCAACCGACTGCCTGTTACAGTGTCGCTGACCAGAGCTGCCCTGTAGCTCCTTCTTCGACCCTGCCCGACCATGCCTACGATGCTCTGAAGTTCTCGCCCCGGTCGCCAATACACGAGGAGGATGAGGACTGGGACAAGACCGTGACCTCTGGCGCGCTGGACCCCCAGAAAGCACAATACATAGCACATTCCCGCGAGTCCTCCCTGGAGAAGCTACAGGCTGGCGCGCAGCCCACCAGCTCCCCGTCGCAGCCGCAGCCGCAGCCGCAGTCCCACCACCACCACCAGCAACAACACCAGCAACCGCCTTCCCAGCAGCACTCCCCCTCCTCTGCACCGCGCGGACAGCCGCCTGCCTCTCGCTCCGCCCTCGCCGGCGCATTCGACCGGATCATCGATCCGAGGGGCACCTACGGTCACCACCGACAGACGTCTATCGTGCACGGGATACAACACTCGAGGAATGGGAGTCGTGCCAGCTCCTCGTCTAGCCCACTGAGTCCCCAGATCATAGCTGCCGCCGGCGCTGGGCTCACCCCCGAACGGGCTGAGATGCACCCTTATGGAGACAACTCTCTCGCCTCTCGCCCTTCTACCGCAATGTCAGGCGCATCGTTGACGCCCGGCCCCCAGATACCGGAGCGGACCTCGTCGGCGACAGATCCAAGCGCCAACTCCTTCACACAGAGAAAAGTGGAAAGGATGCACAGCGGCAAGGGCAAGCGCGATCACGCGCACCACCACTCGCACTCTTCGAGACACCACAGGGACGAGCAAAAGACTGTGGGCGAGTTTGCCCTCCACGTCTTGTTCACCTCGGTATGGCACAGTGGTCACCCACTTGGCGGTAAGGCGCACGCTGACACGGTTCCAGTTCATCGGCCAGGCCGAGGAGAAGCTCAATGAGTCCATAACTGTGCCTTTCGAGCCCGAGCCCCAAATCGAGCAGATATGCGGCCCTGGTGTGGATCCCGCTTTCGACCAGAGCATAGTGGCCCTCGGTCACATTGCCAGCCCGAAACCAAAGGCGCTCATCGATTCCATGATGCTGTGGAGGAAAAGCAAAAGCGATGCCGCAAACGAGGCTCGCTCGGCGTTCAAGGGACAGACCCTGTCCGGCCCTCTACAGAGGAGGAATACGGAACCGGTACAGCCCAACGGAGGCGCCATTGGGGACGCTCTGCAGCAAAATGGCCAGTTATCTGTCACGTCGAAGCAGGAATTCGTAGCTCAAGCCGAACGCCGGTCTCTGGTTTCCATATACATCCTGTGCCGTGTCTTGCTCGAGGTCATTGGCCAGAGCACTCTCTCGTCTATCACACCTGAAATGGAGGAGAAGCTAGAGGGTATCATTTTCAGCCAGCTCAAGATCGCCGACACCGAACAGCTAATGTTTTCGCCGTTGAAACTGGCAAATTGGAACCTCTTCGCCCAACTTCTCGGGGTCATGAGCGACATCAATTTTGCAGGCGTCACAGAGCGCTTCATCACCGACCTGGACCGCTCGCTCCAAGAGCATGGGGTTCTCAAGAGTCCTATATCCGCGAGCCGGGATGCTACGGAGGGCAAGATCGAGCTGGTCCTCGGTGGGATGAAGCATCTGAGACTGAAGGTCAACAGCCCCGGTGCCTGGGACCAGACTTGCAATTTCATGATTGCACTCGGCAGGCTCTTCGGCCGGTCACACGGCCAGAAGGTCAAGTCTGCGTTCTGTCAAATGCTGGAGATGCTTTTACTTCCCATCGCTGCCAAGGCCGATAACAACGACTTCAGCCATCCAAAGTGGGCCGAAGTCCTCGCCAACATCAGCCCACGTCTTGGGCAAATATTTGTCAAGCCGCGGCACTGGGCATTTGCGTTCCCCTTGACCGCTACTATGCTCTGCGTGTCGCCTCCCGAGACCTTCTCCTCGCAGTGGCTTCAGCTCGTGTTGTCACTGCAGACAAAGCTCAAGGACCGTTACGCGAGGCCCGTGTGCCTTCAGGTCCTGTCACGACTTGTCTGGACGTACCTGATGCGGACGACTGACACCGCCACGGGCACAATCAGGAAGCTTGATGAGGTTCTTAAGCTAGTGTTGCCCCCGGGAAGACGCCCCGTGCTTGCCAGTGACACTTCTGTTGCGGATCCTCTCATACAAATTATCCGGATAATCGGTTTCAAGCAACCCGAGTACTGCTTTAAAAACCTCATCTTCCCTCTTGTCAACGCTGAACAGTTCAATTCAAACAAGGATCTGAAAATTGAAAACCTCGATCCGGACAAGATCGTCATTGGTATAAGGTCCTTCCTGGTTGTTATATCGGATCTGGAAAAGGGCGAGGAAGGCCGCCCGCCATTTCCACAATACTATCCTGCTTCGACTCCTCCACCAGATCGCCTGCCCACATCGCCCATCATTGCCTCCCCAAGGGATGATTCTATGACAACACCGTCTGCGGCATCCCCCGGCGGCGAAGCCCAGACAAGCCCGGTCCTGAGTCACCTGCTGAATGACGCCGTGCGGGAATATTATGTCAAGTTCTGTGAGATCCTGGGCAAAATCACGATGATCTGTGACAACACATTCGGAGGCCAGGCTGCATTGGAGGAGAAGTTCAGCAGCCCCGGGCCAAAGACCCCGATCTCAGAGACTTTCAACTTCCGGCGCGATGACCACCTTAGCCCCCAGGAACAGAAGCAAGCATTTTACGAACTTCTCCATGTCGCCGTACAAGCCCTCCCGCGCTGTCTATCCGCAGATATCCCCTTCAACTCACTTATAAACCTACTCTGTACAGGCACTGCCCATCTGCAGTACAGTATCGCCGACTCATCGGCCCAGTCTCTGAAAGCCATCGCACGACAGTCTTATGCACAACCCGTGGCGACTGGGTTTTCCCGTTTCATCTTTAACTTTGATGACAGGTACTCAACAATGTCAGACGGTGGAATGCTCGGCCCTGGTCACGTCGAGAACACCTTGAGGCTCTATGTTGAGCTGCTGCAAATCTGGATCGAAGAGATAAAGCGAAAACAGAGGCACGCTGTCGCAGAGGCTGGCGAAAACAGCGCTGCTGACAAAAGAGGCCTTCAGCTGGACATCTCCAGCATCTGGGCCGAGGTCGACCAGATCGAAGCGCACGGCCTGTTTTTCCTCTGCTCACAATCTCGAACTGTGCGCTCTTTCGCCATCACGGTCCTGCGGCTGATAACTGAATTCGACGTGGCACTTGGCAAGTCGACGAGCCCGGAGAAGGACACTTTGAGGCTGATTGACATTCTTGAGAATGACTCCGTGCAAGTCATGAGCTTCAAGGATGACCAACTGTCTGTAGCAGAACGGAGCCGTATGCAAAGGGGAATGCAAGACAACAACAGCCAGAGTGCCCTCGTTGAGCTCTGTACAAGCGACGTTTCCTACGACACGACGCTCTGGTTCAAACTGTTTCCAAATCTCATCCGGCTCGCCTACGAGAAATGCCCTTTCACCGTCACCATCGGGCGCGACCTCATCTGCAATCGCATTCTCCAGATGTACAAAACAATCACGCTCCTCTCTGAACCCTCTCGGGGCCTTTACTATGGATCGGACCCTGGCAGTGCGCGTTTTGTTGGTCGCACACCTACCGTGCAGCCAGATGTCTTGATTGAACAGTGGAAACTATTCCTGGTCTTTGCATGTACCACGCTGGCGGACCCCGGGAACCCGCAGTCTAATCCGTTGCACGGCAATCAGCACCTGCGGAAGGGCTCCTTGGCCTCGTCGACCGACAAAATTGTGTCGGCAAGGACTCTGTTCAAGTATCTCAACCCACTGCTCTCCGTCTCATCTGCATCTGTTCGGGAGGCCGTAGTAACTGCCATGGGTTCTATCAACATCTACATCTATCGGACGCTTCTCGAGGAATTGCAGGGCTACGCTTCCCGGTGCAATGATGAGGCAAGAGCACGCATTCATCAGCGGACAAATAGCAGTCCCCGCAGAAATCGAAAGATGGACTTGTTAAGGACTGAGATTACCCATGTCTACAAACTCACATCCCACTTTTTGAAACAGCCCGAGGTCTACCAAGATGAGTGGATACTCAACAATCTCGTCTCTTACGCGAAAGACCTGAAATTGTTCCTAATGGATGGAGAGGTACATATGGACTGGGAGTTTCAAAAGCTTCGCCGGCACTACTGTGGATTGATGGAAGAGCTCTTCGAGGGAATCAACAGAACGAGTGACCCGTCAAGATGGATGACTTTCGAGGCTCGCAAGTCAGCCTTTGCGTTGATGGAGGAGTGGTGTGGCTTCTCGCCAAACCAATCCCAGATTCGCGCAAGAGAGGACAACATGAGACAGTCGATGATCGACCAACAGAACCTCGGCGAAAGGAACACAGCTTCGGCTGCCATGGAAATTGAAAAGCGCAACTTGAGAACATCTGCCCTAAGCGCCATGGCAGCGCTGTGCGCAGGCCCCATCAGCGTCACGACAGAAAGCGGCGTGGCCTTGCAATTTGACGTGCGGCGGATGCTGGCGTGGGTCGAAACGATCTTCAGCAATGGCAATGACCGGATGAAGTTGATCGGCAGGCGAGCACTCAAGAATCTGATCGTTTACAACCAGGAGTTCCCGTATCTCCTCGAGCACTGTATCTTACGCTGCTATCTGACCGACATCCCCAAGGTCCTCGAGAGTTATTTCACTGTGGTAACTCAAGTTCTCCACGAATACCCCGACTATCCCTCTCCCTTTTGGAAGCTTTTGGGCTTGTGCCTATTCACCCTGGGCAACGATCAGAGCGATATCAGGACCCGGTCTGCACAAGTTCTCCATGCCATCGAGGAACGGCATCTTCATGCCAAGACATCCAAGATCCAGGATTTTGACATCAGTATATCTGACAAGACGAAAGCAGTATATAAGCTGGCTCAGTACAAGATCTCCGAAAGACTGTCGAAACAACACACAGACCTAGCTTTCTACATTTTCTCCGAATTCACGCTGTACTTCAAGGACCTTCAGCCAGTCAACCAGAGGAGCGTCATCGCCGTGATACTGCCCTGGATCCAGTCAGTGGAATTGAAAGTGGACCCAAATGGCGGGCCGACTGGTCAGTCCTACGTCCTCCTGGCGAATTTGTTGGAGATTACCATAAAATCGAGCGCTGCGCTGCACAATGAAGTGCAGGCTCTCTGGCAAGCGCTCGCCACGGGACCGTACCCTGGTAATGTGCGCCTTGTGCTTGACTTCATCATGTCACTGTGCCTTGAGCGGCGTGAGCAGAATTTCGTCGAATACGCCAAGCAGATTGTAGTCTTCCTTGCAAGCACCAACAGCAACCCTGGTCACAAAGTAGTCGAGTTTCTACTGCTCCAGATCAACCCGAAAGCAATGGTGCCAAACGAAAAGCGGGAAACGGCACCACCCCCTTCCGACGTCAACCATTTCCCTTATTGTGCTGACTTGACCGACGCTCTCCCAATCGGTACCAAACAAGCCGGCTTCTCCCTTGGCCAGCTCTCACTCATATTGCTGGTGGACCTGATGGTATCCCCCGTCAACCTACAGAAAGACAATATACCAGTACTCCTTCAGGTGGTCACTGTCCTGTGGGACCACTACACTCCTCTGGTGCAAGAACAAGCCCGGGAGATGCTTGTTCACCTCATCCACGAACTGGTCATCTCAAAGCTTGACGACGAGTCTCCGGAGGAGTTGAAGAAACCCATCGAGGACCTCATTGAACTGATCCGGCGGCATGATCGCTCCGTGGTTTGGAGCTACGAGGACAGCAATGGCAAGGTCAATGATCACGACACCAAGGTTCCTCCGAGTATGGAGTTCCTGACCAAGAGGATTGTGGAGACATTCGAAATCACCTTCCCAGGAATTAAGGAGCAGTGGAGTCGACTCTCTCTTACATGGGCAACGACATGCCCTGTTCGACATCTGGCTTGCCGCTCCTTCCAGATATTCCGCTGCATATTGACCTCGCTGGACCAGTACATGCTGGGCGACATGCTCGCTAGGCTGTCAAATACCGTTGCTGACGAGGATGCCGAAATCCAATCATTCGCCATGGAGATCTTGACGACCCTAAAGACTCTGATTGCCAAGCTTGAAGCGGAAAAGCTGACGACATTTCCGCAACTGTTTTGGACAACTTGCGCGTGCATGGAATCCATCAATGAGCGCGAGTTCCTTGAATCAGTAGAAATGCTCAACGAGTTCATGGACAAGGTCGATCTTCAACAAGTAAGTGCCCGACGACTGCTAATGGACGGTCAGCCGTCTAAATGGGAGGGTGCATTCGAAGGACTGCAGCCGCTACTCTACAAAGGCCTGCGATCATCCATGTGCCTCGAAGCGACCCTCAAAACCATCAACAGGGTCGTCACGCTGCCAGCCGACCCGTTGATCGGAGATGACAACCGCATTTTCTTTGCCATCATTGCCAACTTCCCTCGCTTTGTCCACGCACTGGAGCAAGGCGAGCCGAGCGATGATGTGGCGCAGACTGCTGAGACACTTCTGCAAGTTGCAGTGACGCAGGGATTGTCGACTGTGGCCCTGGTTCTGAACGATTACCTCTCACCGCACCACGATGCGCCCAAAGATTTCGTGACTCGAATGTTTGCGGCCTTGAAGGACTCGTTCCTCCCGCGATTGGATTTTGCCTTGATCACAACCCTTATGGGGATGCTGACGAACAAATCCGGCTGGGTAAAGACATGCACTATGCGCATTCTGCGTGTGGTCATCCCCGAGATTGACCTCAGGAAACCCGAGATGGCGAGCCATGGCTCAGATCTTATTTCGCCCCTGCTGAGGCTGCTACAAACGGAGTTTTGCATGGAAGCGCTAGATGTCTTGGACAGCATCATGACTATGTCGGGATCGTCAATGGACAAACATCATTTGCGGATGAGCATGACGCGTCCCACATCCAAAGCGGTCCGCAAAGAGTACGAGAGGGCCCAGAGCCTGTTCGGTATACCGGAGGAATCTGGCTGGGCGATCCCAGTGCCTGCCAAGAAGACGGATTCCACGCGGGCGAACATCCATGCTTCGTTCTACATGTGCCAGAGCGTCGAGGGCGTGGCCATGGAATCGGCACCAACTCCCGATGTGGAGTTCCATGCGGATGAGTTCCCCTACGGATACTTGCCCAGCACCGACAGGACGGACACGATGATGTCGGACGAGGTCCGTGGGGAAGTTGGCCCTGGTGACCTGGCGTCTAAGCTCGACAGTCTCGATGATTTCTTCGACGACCTGTCCACGAGCCCACCAAGCGACGGACGATCTTCCCGAACCATCACGGAATACACACCAGATACTTTTTCCGAGTCTGGAGCTCAACTCTATGACGAAAAAGTTCTGCCGATCCTGAGCGCGGCCGGGAGTAATGCATCTTTCCAGAATGGGTTCGCGGAAAGATCTGTGCGTGACAAGAACTTGGGCATGTTCTCGACGGCCTCTAGCCGGCCCGGCCTCCACTCGCGTTCTGTGACCTCGCCGTCAGCGCCGACATCCTATCTGCCGCCCTTCACCTCCGATGATGAGGACATGGAGGACAACGGCCTCGTCCCAGAGCATGACGAAGGGTCGTTCTTCCTCGAAAATATGGTGAGGCGCCCGGCACAGCAGACTCGCTCTCGCTTGACGGGCAGCAGGTCTCGGGACAATCTACCACAGTGGTCGCATCCGAACTTTGGCCTTGGGTCCAAGGTGGCAAATGCATATGTCCAGAACTCGCCACAAAGCGACATGCTGTGAGCGAGTCGACAGTGATCGGTGCACCTCTAGTCAATCTAAGCTTCAACTCAGGATATGCTGTGGGGGAGAGAAAGTGTTGAAATTTCAGGATCCAAGTGACCGGGGATATAATGGGAGTCATCAATTGATTGTATACAGATGTCTGTAAGGCACCATTTAAACAGAGCGGATAATGGGGCATGGAGAGTGCAGACTTTATGAATGGCATGTGATATCGGAAATACCAAATACATTGGCTCACAAACCACGCTGGCAATTTTTGCCTCCAAGTTGTTTCAAGTTTCGTTTAGGCTGGTGCTGTTGAAATAGACTGACTGGCCGATTGTGTGGGTAGTAAACTGGAGCTTCTCTACTTTTTCCACTACGCAGCAACAACGTTGAATCTACATCGAGTAGAAGAAACTCCCATGGTAAATTCCTCATCTCCTACACGATGCCTTCTACATGTCGCCCTCTCCTTCTTCTAAGTTAATCCCCTCCTTCTTAACCTCCCCTTCTTGATCCCCTCCTTCTTAACCTCCCCTTCTTAATCCCCTCCTTCTTAACCTCCCCTTCTTAACCTCCTCCTTCTTAACCTCTCCTTCTCAACCTCCTCCTTCTTAACCTCTCCTTCTCAACCTCCTCTTCTTAACCTCCTCCTTCTTAACCTCCTCCTTCTTAACCTCCCCTTCTTAACCTCCCCTTCTTAACCTTCCCTTCTTAGCCTCTCTATTTCCCAGCTACCTAAACCCTTACCTCCTACCTCCTAATCTTTTTTTACAATAATCCCTTGTATAAGAACATCCTATTAAGCAAGACAACTAGGGGGACAACTGGTCCTCTGCTTAGTCAGCCACTCAACCACCTACATACCTAGGTATGCACCTAGGTACTGAATCTGGAACCTTAGCCCTCCATGGCTTAATCAACCACGCAACTACACTACTACATGACTGCACCCTAGAGTGACTCCCACAAGTATACTATGAAGTAGACTTAAATTATAGGACAATTTCTCAATAGGACAACATCCATCATTTATCACTCCCTTGGAAAACCTCCCGCAGGTTGCAGGCGGCGGGTTGCTGCAGGCCCTCGACTTGCACCCCTAGCGGCCCCGATAAGCTGATAAAGGAAAGCGGTCAATTATCGATAGCGGCAGAATCCCAAATTTCCAGGCGAGAAGGGCGGACGACCAAGCGCCGACGGTCAACCTCTGGCTGTCTGGCTCAAGGACAACTTTTCACGCAGGCCAAGACTCAAGGCGATTCAATCACTGGGATCGGTTAGGGTGCTTGTGGGCATCGCAAGCACTGGGAATACGACGCCAAATGTTTTGCAGGTCGTGATTCTGACATTCAGGCAAGATGGGCAAGAGGGCTCGAGGGACGGCGGACGCGTCAAATCCGCACAAACGGCAGAAGGTCGTCCATGAGGCACCAACGAGCGAGGAGATCCACACGAGCCGGCAACTTATGCAACTTCTCGCATTCGATCAGGACCTGCAGAAAGCAAGACACGGTAACCAGAAATCATGAGACTCGATGGAGCTTCACTCACTGACACCTTCGTAGGCTTACAATCATTCAAGGTCTTCCTCGACGGGCTGCTGTCGTCCGAAAATGAGGCCGATGATGACAAGGTGCAAATCTTGAGGGAATACCTCGAGTCAGCTAAACGACAAGATGGTGAATTCGAGGCAACTTGTCTATCAGACATTATGGAGACCTGGAGCTTCGCCGCTCATGCAAATCACGACAACATCATGTCAGCAGTTGCAGTGACTCTCGATCTGCTCATCAAATTCATATCCAAGCGGCTTGATTTCACGACGCTCGGCTTGAGCATTGGCCGTACCTTATTGCAGCCACGACAGCAAGAACTCATCGCTCGGAATTTGTCGGCCGACAAAGGCAAAGAGTTCATTTTCTCACCAACACTGAGGCTTCTCAGAGAGCTCATATGCCTTGATGGCGGGACTCTGGCTAAACCAATGTTACGCGGACAGAGCCTCACTTTCAAATCACTAGCACGGAATATGGGTATCAAACATCTTGGGACTGGGCTTGAAGATGTGAAGAGACCCTCGGCCCGCACAAACGCTATTCGATTCTTCTTAAGCGCTCTCAAATTTTTGCCCGCAGAGGGGAAGGCCGAACTCCTGTCACAAAGGGAGCTCCCCCCAGCACTGATGAAATCTTTATTGGATGACCCTCCATATCTCATCTTCGAGATCCTGGAAACGCTGAGGAATCACGTCATCAAGGACAGCAAACTAGCTGGTTACTCGAAGAGCAAGCTGCTCAATTCCACGACTCTTGGGCGTCTGGCATCACTTTACCAGTACAAGCATGACAGCGCGGCGGCCGAGGGCTCTGGCCCAACGGTGGAACAGGCAGTCCACGAGTTTCTTATGTTGGCCTGTACATCACCATCAGCCGGCATTCTGAGGCCACAGTCAGGCTACTACCCACGAACAATTGACCCAGATGCGGCTCGACTCCCTTCGGCTGAGGATGAGGTAGAACCTGGATTGGAAAGCATAACCTGGCTGAACAGATTCAAAGATGACGTTCCGGTTCGTAACATCATCTTGGCCGATTTTATCCAGAGCTCGAGTTTACGTCCTTGGTCGAACCAGAAACACAGTGAACTCTTAGTCACTGTTTTCGAAGCTGCCCCGGAGTTAGTTGCACACTACTTCATCAACAAACGATCCTTCACATTCGAACCTAAGTTGTCGGCGACGTGGATTGGCTACTCAGCATTCTTGTTCAAGACAATTCAATCGCCCTTGCCCGATTTCTTCGGCCACAAGAATGGATACGCCCTGCTCCCTCCACCAACATCAATCATCATAGACAACATAATACCGCTCCCGATGGATCAGAAAATCCTTGTCAAGTGCCTGATGCAAAAGACAGAGCTCATATCGTTTGTGGCCGTCAGGCTACTTGTGATGGCCATACAAAAGCTTCAGAACGCCCTGAAGATGCATGCTGATGCGGCAAAGACTCAAAGCAAACCCATGTGGGACGATTCTGCGAGGAAGCTCGTCGATGCGTTCTGTCAACGAGCTCCGGGTATCAAAGAAGTCATTTCTTGCTACCGAGAAGTTGGCGTTTCTGACCTTCTTCAGCGAGAGGCAGCAAGCAAATTACTAAGGCTTTACTACGAGGTCATTCCCCAGGTGGCATTGATGGCCAAGTTCGACGTTTCACCGCTACTAATCACCGCAATCCAACGCTTAGATGAAGCCGAGGAGAGTTCGGAAGACAGAGCACTTCGCCTAGTCGAGCTGGAGAATCTTCTCGCGATCTCTGGGTATTCTCCGGGGATGAGGTGGTTTTCTAAAGCTCAAGGGCTGTCAGTGTCACCATTCGTAGCCTTGTTGAAGGTCTCCGTGGCTGCTCCCACCGGTGTATCGCTTGAAGGACTTAAGGCTGCCCTTGGAGCTGTTGCGGCAGAGCACCAACTTATTCAGTCTGCGAGCGGCGACTCCTTACCGCTACTGACAGCTCTACATTCCATAAGAGGCTCCCAAGACCTTGCCTCTTGTGATGCTTTGTGGACGCTGCTTGATAACAGCACATCTCGATGTGCTACGACGCCTATTAAGTATCTTGAGATGCTCCAGGATCATGTCGCTGTCGAGCAGAGTGATGTCACCGCATTATCGGGCTTATTGAGCCCCTTTACCTTTGCTCTACTAGAGCAGTTGCCTTTCGTTCTCAGCTCAGCAGGAGAAGAGCAGATATCAGTCCTGGCCAACCTCGTCGCTGTTTACATGTCACACACAAAAACTTTGGGCAACGGCGATAGTGGGTTCGACGCACTCCGCGAGAAGTGCGAATTGGCCTTTTCTGATAACCCCAGTGGGAAGAAGTTGATCAAGAAGTACACAAAACAAGCTAATGCCACACACGAGTTGCAGAGCTGGGGGGCAGACTTCTCTACGGGCGAAGATGAGCACACAGCCAAGACTGAGGATAGTCAGAAGGGAGGAAGCTTCTTGTCAGAGGATGCGCTGGCTGAGATACTTTCTACCCCATCGTCTTTGACCCAGGACAACTCAGCACTGTCGAAATGGGCGACCAAGGAGGCGGATGAGCTCGTTGAGGAGGGACATGCAGCGTCCGTTGCGTCCTTACTTGGGTCGGAACACACCAGCATTCGAAAAGAAGCACTCGTCAATATCGCGAAAATGGCTGCCAAGATCAAGGACTCATCATACGAAGAGAAAGATCAGGTGTTCCTTTTGCTAATGGAACTTGTTGAGTCGTGCAAAGGCCACGTGGACACAGGCCCGATACCCAACTATATCGTGGCGTTCACACGGAATGCGCTGGAAGTGCTGCAGAACCCTCTGCATTGCATGTATGGAAAGTTGAACAAGTTCCTTATCAAGGGCCCAACTTGGAAGCTCGACAGGATGCCTTTGGTCTACGACGTCCTGTCAGATGGACCAGAACTCGACGATGCTTATTACTCCGAGCTCAGCTGGCTATTCTCTTATCTACTGGACGGCTTACAAGGAGAGCCAGACATGGCCCTGTATCACAATACACGCCTGTTCGAGCGGTTGCTGTCCCTGGCAAGCAATCCGTACATGCGGCCGAGCCTCACGACCCAGATCCTGAGGATAGTCTATAAGGCAACGTGCATCAAAGGTGGGAGCACAACTCTCATCACTAGATTTGGTATCGTGAGCTGGCTCGAGATGCGGAGTGGCATGTGCGATTCTGAGCGTGAGATTTGCAAGGCCCTTCTGAGGAGGACATGGGAAACGTCAGACAAGGAACGAGTTTCTGAGTGGAGCAATGGTGGCATTCAGGATGCTGTGCAAAGGCATTAAGTCAACTTCAATAGATTCAAGAAAATGTGAAAATGTAATTACGGAGCCACCTTTTCCAAAAGTTTTGTAGAAGCTTTTCGAATAAAAGTCGGAGGTTGCCCTAACAGCAGGCTATCTCCGTGGAGGGTTGTTCCTGATATCCCTAGGAATGTTATAATTTATTTTATAATAGCATGATTTAGGAGGCTATAACATAGAAAGTTATTAGAGGTTATTCTATAATAAGTTACCCTGTAGGAGGTTACCTATAGGAGGTTGCCCTATGGGAGGTCATCCTATAGGAGGTTGTGCTGTGGGAGGTTATCTTGTGTGGGAGGTTGTCCTGTGGGAGGTTGTCCTGTGTGGGAGGTTGTCCTGTAGGAGGTCATTCCATGGGAGGCTATCTTGTAGGAGGTTGTTCTGTTAGAGGTTGTACAATGTAAGGTTATCTAATTGCCTAGGTACCTAGGTAATTATTCTTATCCTATATATTAGGAGATAGTTAACGCCGTCGTTAAGACGGTACCCCTTAGCCTTATCTATATGTCGTAAGGCTAAGGCCACAAGTACCTATGATATTATTTTATACACATAGGGATAAAAAATGAAAGTATCCTAATAATAATAATATAAATTATTATATCCTTAGATACCCGCCCAAGCAATATGTTTTCCCTGTCTTGCGCATGTAGGAGCTGGAGCTGTGTGAATACCAGACTGTCACTTTTAAGACAGTAAATTAGTTGAAATTGGCAATATCCGACGATGCTGAATACTTAGGTACAGTGGCCCTTGAGATGATACAGGCGCTGAGCTGCATAAGCGTGGTAGTAAGACGTTCCATCTCAACTTTGTTCTATAGGTGTTGCCCGTTTGGCGCCCCAATTCTCATACCTGACTGCCGCAAAAGAGAGGGCTGCAGTTTCAATTCTCATGCAATGGTACACAATTCTGTGGCTGGAGATACTCGATAGAGCTGTAAATTCAGCACGAGCTCAAGATAGGTACTGCACGGCTTGCCACACACGGGACCGCATGCCAAGCTACACCCACGCTGTTGATAAGTGTGAGGACGCACTTTAGGTGACCTGCTTGGTTGGGCCGGCTGACGCTGGCCATGTGTGTGATGGACTGAAAGGCCGTACCACATTCCATGGCCCCTGAAGGCCTAGTCAAGGGCCGCGAGGCCCGAAATTTGACTCTCAATGTCTGTTAATTGTACCCAAACGGGTTTCAGTTTCGGTTTAGAAATATGTTGCAAGGATTGCGGGTGAAAGTTTTGGGCCAACAGTGTCGCATCCCAGTATAATGTCCAGACGCTATATGAAAAGATCAAACAATCAGGTCTTTGGGTCCATTTCCCTTCTCCTTTTCACCAAGTCCCGCATATACATCTACAACAGACCGAGAATTCAGAGGTTGAAGTTCTCTATATACTACTTCTCTAAAGCTATTCAAATTTGTTACCGCTGGTCTAGAAACAAACATGTCGTCGAGTCAACTTGGCAGTCAATCTGGAGAACATATTACCCGCCAGACAGTTCAAGCTCTAAGCAAATCCTCTCGTGACCGAGACCCAAATCCCAGAAAGACCCAGGGCCAGCCCATAACTCTGGGAGAGACTCGTCAGGCCCAGAACGACATTCCTGGTCGGGCTCGAACCACTGGGCACACATTCCCGGACCAGATATTCACTCGGCGCAAGGCTGTTGCACCGCAGCCACCTTCTCTTGATACAGGCTCTAATAACTCTCGCGACCTACCACCCGTGGAGAAAACTCGGCTGCCCAAAGCAACACCTTTGAAGTCATCCTCTGGTGATACTCACGGTCGTATGAAGCCTAAAAATGAAAGTTCTCGTAGTCCAAGCGCCGAGAGCCCTTTGAGTCGGCCACAAGGGAAGCAGAACAGCAAGGCAATGCTTCGGAGTTCTGAGCATATTGTGACCAATGGATCGCCAAATCCTCCCCAGAAGGGACAAATCCGGCCGGGTCTCAAAACGCCTTCCCGCTCGCCAGCAGCATCAAAATCACCAGCACCTCTTAGGGCCCATGGACATATGACAACCGCATCGGTGAGCGACCGCTCACAAACCTCAGTTAATTCCGGTAACTCGGCCGCCTCTACCGACTCTGTGGAGGCGTTCGTTAAGCGGAATGGCCTCGAAGCAGCAGGTGACAGCATGCCCAGGATGCCACATGATTGGGTCTTGTGTGTTGACGGCACCAGGAACGATATGCTGAAGGAGCCCGAACTTGACAAGACAAACGTTGCGAGGATCACCGAGCTAGTCAAGTCAGGCAGACAGGGGAATAGAATGGTTGCAGTTGCCTATCAACAGGGCATTGGCAGCAGTGGCGAGTGCAAGACAAAGGACGGCACTGCCAAGGGCTGGTTCCAGGACCTGCAAAAGGATTTCCAGGCAATGGCACCGAGTGATGACCTGATCACGAGGCTGGTGTCTATCAACTACGCCTATATCAGCATGATGGTGTGCCCACAAAGGGACAGAATCTTTCTGTTTGGGTTCTCCCGGGGTGCCTACATCGCACAAATAACCGCTGCTCTTGTGGCCGATCTGGGAGTTTTCAACAACCAGCGGTTTTCAGATGGTCCTGGAAACGGGAAATACCACGAAATCATCCACAAAATTGTCCAAATCTGGATCAAACATCAAGGCAAGATGAAACCAGATACTTGGGCAGATCTGAAACCGTATGCCCATGGCCTCGTGCTAGTGGACATCGAATTCCTCGGCCTCTTCGACAAGGTTGCCTCTGTTGGCATGCCGGATGTTGGTATGGCAAACCTACAGAGTACAAGGTTCCGCTTCGCTGAGGACGTATCCAAACGGCAGAGAATTCGCAATGCTTATCACGCTGCCGCCATATCTGAACACCGCAATAATTTCAAGCCCGTTCTGTGGAAACAAGGATCTGCCAATGAGCACCGGCAGAAGGTGTCTCAAGTCTGGTTCCCCGGATACCATACCTCGATCGGCGGAGGTAGTGGCAAACAGGGCATGATGGTCGATCTCATAGCCCTCGTGTGGATGGTGTCCAAGTGTACAGGTCTTGCGGGCGTTATAAACGAGGTCAACCTCGTAGAGATGATCAAGCTGGATGGGCAGCACGCAGGAAAATGGCACGGAAAAGATATAGCGGACTCCACAAAGGGAATGTACGCAGGCCTGGGTGATCATTACCGTCAAGAACTTGGATCGTCCAGCATCGACAAGTTGCATCATTTGTGCAAAGAAACCGAATGGCGGTCCCACTGTGCACCCAACATGCCCAACATCCTCGGCGAAAGGGAGCACCCAATCACTAGGACACAAATGATGCTTGATCAAGGCCGGTTTGATACACCCAATGTCTTCGAAGAGCGAATGCTCAAGTTGTTCAAAGCTGTGGTCAAAGGTCCGGTAGCCTCGGTGCCACCCCCGAGCAAGCAGGCCAGCAAGCCAGCCATCCGTGCAGGGACCGGTATCTCTACCATACGGAGGGACTGAACGGTATGTTATTGAGACGGAAAAAAGGTGCCAAGTCCAAGGAGCGGAGTGCCGTTGAAGGGGTTTCTGGAGAAGTTCTCATTGTCACCGTGGAGAGACGCCAGTCTTGCTTGGGGTTCCATGGGGTCAATTTTGGTGCACCATGCTCTGCGAATAACGGTCATGACGATGGAATTGGCCCAGAATTCTTTGTCCGAGTCTACAGTATAATACCAAGAACGGGAGCAGGTTAAATGCAATCATGTTTCAGTCCTGAATGGCCCTGGACATTGCAACCACAACTGTCTATTTTTGTAAAGGAACAAGTTGCCACTTGGTAGTGGGCATGGACGGTGTGGTGTGTGAAGGGCACTCAGAGAGCAATTGTAGCTGAAGTACAGGTACATATTTCATGTGAGATCACTATTCTGTTGTGCAGGTATCATCAGGTAGACAAGTGGGGTAGCCCAAGCCCCTGGCTCCCCACTTTCAAAGGAGCTAGGAGGAGGAAGAGGAACGCTTAGGCCCGATGGAGCGGCCTCACTTGAGCTGGCAGGCTGTCGGTCTCCTGCTTCAATGTCAGAGACACACACTAGGCAAGGTCGTCTCCACCTCGCAACTTCACCACCCGCAACGACAGCTCAACATCAAGCCAAATCGCTTCTGCCAACATCAATATCCCAGATCTAGCCACCTCTCTCTGACCGGTCTCTCTGCACCACCTCTTTCACAGGCTGCACGGGGTTCCCTCGACACCGATCTCCCTGGCTGCCTGGCACCAAACCACCTCAACCTCAGGTGGTGCTGCACTGCCAACGACACTCCACGTCCTTCCATCAGCCTGCCAACAACCTACCATCAAAACAATCACCATTTCATCCCATCTACAATCCCCGAGACACACTCACCAGAAAAGCACTGCTGCTACAAGACCTGCCCCGCCAAGAACAGACTGGCCCTCAAGTGGCCGCCTCTCTGAGAGCCCGACTTCGGGCAACCTTCACCGCGCCTAGCTGCAAAATCCACTCCAGCCTCACCGAGTTCAACTCGACCTGTGCCCCCCTGCCTATATGTTGCTGGGGTGGCCAAACGATACCACAATTCCCGAAATACATTTTAAGAGGCTGTCATGGCCGTGTCGATACGATATGAAGCTGAGGTCTTGCTTCGCTTGAGGGAGTCCCCTCTCTGCGTCAAGCCTAAGGACCTACCACCACGGGACGAGTGGATGGGGTGAGAGAGCTTTCTGGCTCAACATACACTCCCCAGCTAACAGACACATAGTCCGCCTCCAGAACCAACTCGTCCACAGAACAAGATCACCAACGACAGAGGAACCCCCCTTGAGCAACCTACCCGCAGGCCTGCCACAGAACGGCACGTATCACGAAATGGAGCAGGTACGATCGCATAAGCCCTAATGAATTCTGCTCTATAGGACCTCCCGGCTAATGTAGTGAATAAGGTTCCGATGGCATAATCCTGGGGCCTCCAAGGATGAACTTCACCTCCACGACATTGCGAGGGAATGGTGACAGTGAACGTACAGAGAGAACCCCGCGTGATCCTGAAGCCCGTGACCGCTTTCTCAGGGGCAAGATCGGTGGCGACGATATTAGCGACCGCTTCCGTGATGCGAGACAGAGCGACCCCCGGCGGCGTGGGGACGGCGATCGTGATGGTGAGGGATGGAGTACAGTCAAGCCGCGCAAGAGCTTCGGCCAGGAAGGTGCTGAGCGCTTCACCGGCCGCATGGGTGGTGACCGACAGAAGGATGACCGCCGGGCCAAGGACCGCGACGACCACGACACGCTTAGAGATCGTCCACGCCGTGGCCTGGATACTGATGGCGAGGAGGGCGAAGCTCCCCGCAGAAACGGATTGAACCGGGGTAGGTCAGAGCCTTGGTTCAAGGAGAACAACAAGACAAGCGAGGGCACCGAGCGACCCTCGAACCGCGAGCGCATCGACAAGGCAAAGAGCTGGCGTGAGCGCAACGACCGAGGCGACCGGAACGATCGCGACCGGAACGATCGACACGACCGCCGGTGGGACAAGGACCGAGATCAGCGTCCCTCAGAGCGAGAACCAGAGTGGTTGGATGAGCCGGTCGAAGAAAAAACCCACAGCCATACCGAAGCTGACCTGAAGAAGTTCATGGAATCGATGAAGGCCAGCCGCGGAGGGGGCAAACCTGCGGATAAAGCAGCGGAAGTACAACCATCGGGCGCTCTTCCTGCATTCTTCGCTGATCCACCGGCTGTCAAGTCCGCTCCTGCTGTGGAGCGGGGTCCTGACAAGTTCTTTGAGGCCTTCGCCGGGCCCAAACTGGCCTCACTGCCTGCCACTGAGGGGGACAAGCCCGAGACAGCTAAATTGCCCGCGGGCTTCGATGCCCCAACCGCAAAGTCATCTAGGTTCGCAAACCTCTTCTCTGCCCAGGCCATCCCTCAAGCAAGCGAGTCTCGCGGGCGGACCGAGCCAAGTACACCAGCTTCTGGACCACCGCCGCCCAATGCAGAATCCCTGGACACTCAGCATGGCCAGCACAACATCGCAGAGAAAGAGGCATTCCAAGCCTTGCTCCAGAAACTCCACCTACCGCGCCAGAATGAGCAGCATTCCACCCCAACACCGCCCAATGCCGGTGCATTCACCCAGCCGCCGCCGCAACCAATGCAAAACATGCCTCAAGATCCGATCCAGAACCTTGCCCAAGCTCTCGCTCAGAAAGCTCACGTCGTATCACCTCAGCCAGCAGACCCATACGGCATGGACCGCCGCGAGGAGCCCCGCCTTCGCTCTGTTCCTCCAGGAGGACCCGAGATTCTGGCGCCGCGTCCCATGCCTCCGCCCAGCCAGCCCCCATCTGCTCGCCCCGACCAGATGCTGCAAGATCTTCTCAGCCACCGCCATACTGCGCAGAGCCAGGGCAGTGGCAGAGCTGATCACCAGTCGAATGCCAGCAGGGACTTTCTCATGCAGCTCATGCAGAGCGGCCGCCATGCGCCGCCCGAGCAGCCACGCATCGAACAGATCATGCGCATGCCGCAGCCTCAGCGGCAAGCCTCCCTTCCTCATTTCCCAGAGCGTGAGCCGGAATTCATACAACAGAGGGGCCCGGCGCAGCGACAGATGCGCCCACAGGGGCCACCTGGCTTCGCCGACGAGCAGTTCCGACACTCTGAGGGTGACGGCCGGCCTATGCACCCAACACAGATACTGCAGAGGCCGCCTGGCCTGGACCACGCTTTGCAGCAGCAGCAGCAGCAGCAGCAGCAACAGCAACAGCAGCAGTTCATGCAACCAGGTCAGCAGATGCCGCCTGTGCAACGACCCATGATCCCGCCTCCGGGACTGATGGGTCAACCGCGGAACGGGCCAGTGCCCGGCATGTTCCAACCTCCCAACATGCCCCCTGGAGTATTCCCACCAGACAACCTCCCCGGACCACCGCGAAACATGCAGCCTCCGCCAGGCTTTTTTGCAGGCGGCCCTCCCCCTCCGGGTGCTGGCCACATGATGATGGGGGGCTTCCCTGGCCCGAACGACATGGTCTTCGGGGCCCCCTTTGATGGACGTGGTGGGATGCCGCCTCCTGGTGCGGCCCCGTTCCGCCGTTAGATAGCACAAGGGAAAGAAGAAGCACGTGAAAGCACGAGTGGCAAATAAGAACCGACTTGAATTGTAAACGCAATCGCGAGCTTCGAAACTGGTAGCAACAGTGATGACAAAGGCTGGGCCAAGGACCGTATTGACAGAGTGATAAATGGACGACATCAAGGGCCGCCCTAGGTTTCGAGACTCATCATCCACGTTTCTTGTCCGAGGTCACTCTACGTTCTAGAACACAACCCAGGACGAGCCACATTGATTTGCAAATGTTCGTTTGAGCATTTTGGAAGCCCTTCGTCGTACTGACTGGCTCGGCAACGGTGACTTGAGCGGTACGGCCGGGGCTGGATGCTCACCTCGCTCGCAGGGGATTGAGCGAGGAGTTGATTGGGGCCATCGCGTAGTCGTCAATAGGTCTTAATGAGAGTATGAATCATACGAGAAAAGAGAGGAAGAAAAAGAGAGCGTCCCGGTTTTGGCAAATAAGCGAAGTTGTTTGTATTGCGCACAAGACCCTCGAGCCTTGATATTTGATCAAGCTCATGTACCTGTGGCGGGATTTCTACTGATATGCGTACAGTACGTACGTCTCGTCTGTCCTATTAACGCTCACAGCAGGCCGGTGTTACGTGCTTGCTGACAGCCACCCACAACAACATCCCCGGCCGTGAAAATAAACAACGCCGTGCTCATGCTTTCATGTGTACAATGTGATTAGGCCAGCAAGAAGGGACCGGCAGTCACATCGAAAGGGTGGGGCTCCTATACTCAAACAACGCCCACAATACCATCTATACACAACACAGATATAGAGACACGCAAGTCCGCCCAGGTGAAAATCCAAAACAAACGCGGCAAAGAGTTTAGAGCCAAGAAGGTGTGGTAAGCAAGCAAAGTCGCCCATGAAGAAAGTCGGCAGTCTTAGTCTGAGAGCCGCTACTTCTTCATGCCAAAGATGTTCCGCTTCTTCTTCTCCTTCTTGTGCAGCTTGCCGTCGTCGGGCGGCGGTGTCGGCGACGAGTAGCTGCCGCCGCCGCCGCCGCCGCCGTTCATCGGGGGCGCCGGCCTTGGTGGTGCCGGGCTGCCGCCCATTGACATCTGCGACATCTGCTGTGTAGGTGGGGCTGGTCTCCCCGGGAGTCCTCCCGCGCCCGGCGGTAGCGGTGCGCGCTGAATGCGCTGTTGGCCGGGGGCCATACCCATCGGACCGCCTTTAGCGGGTGGTGGTGGCCCGGTCTGCATCGGCGGCGGCGGAGGCCGCTCACGCTCGAAGAGATGGGCCGGTGCCTTCGGCTTGGGGCGCTCCATGGGGAGGTCTAGTCGCCGCTTCTCGACTGACAGGTCGCCTAGTTGGCGGGCGAACATCTTTGGGGTGACCATGTGGCTCGTCACGAGGAACACATCGCGGTTTTGCTTCTCTGAGACTTCGTAGCACGCTCGAGACTCCGAATATGTTGCGCCGCCTGCGACAAAGACGATGATGCGCTGTCGGTTGTCAGCCACGCGTCGTCCTCCACCAGCCCAGCTCGGTTTTGCGGCGCGGAGGGACCCTTGCCCTGCCACCACATCCTCATTAGGATCTGCTGGCGGTATCGTGTACGGGAACGTCGTGGGATCCAGCGTGCCCTTGCACAAGTGCTCGAGCATGTGCTTCACGTTCGGCTCGAACCTCGAGAGTCCGTACTCCTCGTTCAGCTGTATGTTCTTATCAAGTGGGAAGAGTGGCAGCCGTGGCTGCCGGACTTCCTTGAGTCCCTTCAGAATGCGAGCCCCAAGGATATCCAGGTTGCTCACTGTGTTGCATTGAGATTGTTCGAGGGCTGAGTGGGCCATGAGTCTTTTGACATCCTCCTCAATCACGCCGTCCCGGAAGATGAAGTACGCCATGAGCAGGCGCAGCCTGTCTGGCTTGGTGATAGCTTCATCGTCCAGCAGTCGCACAACCTCCTGGAGGATGTTCTTGGGCTTGCGCAGATCCTCATCCAGTCCGGTGGCCAGCGTCTGCTCCACTGATGCGATGTCTGGCAGCTTGTGATTCTGGAACATGTTCATGCTCTCCTGCGCCATGGACAGGTGCAGCGAGTAAGCCTCCTTCATCTCCTGGAACTGGGGCAGGCCCGCCATCATGTCCTTGATGGTGTTCAGGCTGACCTTCTGGTCCCCGTCGTTGAACTGCGGGTTCGCGTCGAGGAACTTCTGGAAGTCGCCCATGAGCTTGTCGATCGTATCCTTCATGTGCCGGTGCCTGTTGTCAACCCAGACCTTGTCCTTCTCCTGGAGTTCCATGTCTTTCTCCTCAGCGTTCTCCTGGCCTTCGTTGATGGTCATGTGGTAAGTGACCTTGTCGCCCTCCTTAATGGTCAGTAGGTCGTGGGCCATAGCCTGGTAGGTGAACTCGTGGACTAGAGGCGCCATGAGATCCATGCTCCGATCCGTCACCAAGAGCACACCCGTCGGCCTGCTGGATGCCGGAGGGAAGGACTGGTTCCATTTCGCGTAGTTATCAAGCTCCTCTTGTATGAAGCGGGCGAGATGGGTGCAGAGCACGCTTGCGTCGTGTGAAGGGTTTTGGGGTCGGTAATATCGCACTTTCGGGTATTCGCCCAACGAGATGCATACACTGGTGATCTGTACGGGGGCCACGTCAGCTCGGCTTGACGCGGCTTGCAGGAAGGGGGTCCTTGGTGGTGCGTACCTTCTGCGCCAATGCCTGCATATGTTCCCGGACGAGATGATTACAGCCCGGGTGGTATAACGTGGGGAAACTCCACGGGTCGCGGAAGGTGACCAGATGGGACTCTCGGGGAAAGAAGTCGATGTTGAGGATCTGATAATCGGCGATAAGTTCTCGAGCTTGCGGGTGGGAGTACAGGCGGCGTTGCAATTCTGGTTGCAGAAGATCGGTGAGGACGATGAAGGACCTCTGGTACCTTCGTTGGTCGAAATCGGCGAGCAGGCAGTCGACTATGTGTGGCATGGGAGAGACAAAGTATATAGCGTCCATGGTCGGATTCCTATCTCGCCTCTCCTCGATGCGCTCGATGTCTAGACGGCGTCAGCGATGGGCGGGCCCTGGGTGCGGAGGAGGGCCAACACATACTGGCGATATTCTGGTTGAGGATATCATCTTCCTTGGCGACATTATCGATGATCTTCTTGGAAAACTCGTCGACAACAAGCACCTTCCACTGCAAGGGCACCGTCAGTTAGTCGCTGGGGCTTGACCTGCGTGCAGGCGGTGGGTTTGCGGATTGGCCTACGTCGCCCTTGGTGATGTCCCTCAGGGTGTTGATGATGACTGGGCGGATCACAATAATCAGCAAGGGATGTAGAGATTTACTTGTGTGTGCCGCAGCGAAAGTCAGCACTCACCTTCATGCTGTATCTGAATGATTGAGGCGCCCATATTGGCGACGAAGCGTCACACGGCGCAGTGCTGCGCCAGAGGTTGCCTCGGGACAGGAGTGGCGGGGCTGTTGCGCCAGGGGAAGGGGAGCACGAGGACGAAGGCGCCGATCTTTCTGCTGGCAGAGAGTTGTGCGAAACCACGGTGAGTCTGGCGACCGCCCAGTAGAGGCGGGATTCGGGCGGGTTCAATGGGAGAGTAGGGACCTTTGACGGACAGGAGGCGGCTCAGAGGAAGGGGCCGTGGCTTGGGATTCGGGCGTGGCGCGAAGAGAAAGGGTCGGGAGGGTGGCTGCGGCCCAGGCCAGGGCAGGTATGGGTAATATGGGCTTGAGGTAGGAGCCGGATTGGATGATGGTCGCAAGACGGTGCGAACGGATCAATAGTAGTAGTACACAGTACGTGCGTTTTGGGGTCCGATGGTTTCAAGAGCTGGGTCTGCGGTGGGATGGATTCATGCCTGGTGTGTGGCCAGGTCGGAGGCAGAGAGAGACAGACATACAAGTCCATCTCAGGGACAGCACAGCCAGCAGCATGGATGCCTTACCGCATGACGCTTCCCCACCAAGCAGCCGACGAAACAGCCCTCCACCCTGGTCCATCATGGCAATCAGAACCGCCCCACCGCGGGAACCACACTGCATACCGGAAGCTTAGTAGTAGTCCTGGGGGGCCCCTGCGCAGCTGCCACTTTACTGTGTACCGTTAGCTTTCAGGGTGCACGCATCTTGTATCGCACACCACGGGACTCCGTACCGAGTACCTTGTCTTACTTACAGTACATACTTAAGTAAGCACCCGGGCAGCACAGTCGACCTTAGAAACAGCGGCTCTTATGAGGGCCGGCGAGGGCAGAAACAACCTGAGGTTACTCTACAAGTGTTTCAAGTCGACCACCTAATCAAATAATTAAACTGCTGTTCTGATGTGTGTACATATATCTATATATCTATACATCTATATAAATATATAGACTATTTATATTTTTTAAGTTCCTCTATTAAGCTAGAAGCAAACAGTTGGGGTCTCTAAGGGACAAGGCATAATGTATCTTTCAAGATTAGCTTAGTTAAGTTTGCCATATAGGACTTTTCATAGTGACTTCACAATCTTCTGTGGACGAATATAAATCTGCTATTGCCCTGAGGGTTCTGGTTCTGCTCTACAAGCAAACACCCATCTAGCAAACCCAAGAGACCATCAGCTCCACAAGACCACACACACACACACATATATATATATATGTACAAAGTCAATATATGCCCCCCCCCCCTAAATTCTCCGAGCTAGGAAAGAACATTGACCAACTATCTACGTCCCAAGTAGTCTACTTGAATACCAGGCGGAGGCTGGTACCAGTACCCCAGTCAAAAGCCCCATCGCTCAATCCGCCCCATCAAGACATCACCACCCCCGTGAAGGTTAAAAGTACAGTGCAATACACATGTAGTGTAACTGCCCAATCTCACACGTCCAACGTCATCATCAGACCTAATCAACGGCTCATGAGGCCGTCCACGATGCTCACCTGGGCCTCAAAAACCGACCCAGGAGTAGCCCATTTCCGAAGTTTCGCTACGACCACGTCCGCCAGGCCTGTAACGTCAGGCGTCAGGTGCCGGAGATATGGAGATTGGCTCGCCAGGAAAAGCACAATGAAGCATGCCAATGCCCCGTCCGAAATCGACCACAGGTAGGGAGACCGCTTGTCCAAGACATCAACAGCCCCCCGCAGGAACGCGTCACATGACTGGATGCAAATGTGGCACTTCTCTATGATTGTTCTAGGAATTGGAGACAATGGGAAGAATTGAGTGTTAGGGGACCTCGACGGGCCCTGAAGGATCGGCGGTGATGGCGGTAGGTACTTGTAAGAAGCAACGTAGACGACGAAAAGGCGGTATATGATATGGCGAGCATGGTGGTACCGTAGGCTTAGTATGCGCCTCCTGTCGTTGGAGACTGGGTCGGCCATTATAGGCGGTGTTATAGGTATCGAGATATAGTACTGTTCGAGTTGCCGGTTCAGTTCGGAGCTGATGGCAACAAGCCTGTTGAGGTTTGGGTTGGCGGCAGCCGGCACCGTCTCCGAAAGCACGGTGACATCGATGCTATCGGGAGAATATAAAGAGCTGTGTACCCTGTTTATCAACCTCTGTATGGCTGTTTCGGCCACAAAGTAGATCAAATCATCGTGATCGCTGAGATCGAAGCTCCGGGGTAGGGGTATCTTATCGCCAAGCGGCTCTATTCCAGAACGGACGACATCAAGAGTGGCTGCTCGATCACTGTTGGGTGTTAGTGGGAAGATAACAATGACAATTTGTCCACTTGTAAGGAAACAAGTGAATATAACACCTGATGGTGTTCTGTTGGGAGGAAGGGAGGGGGGCTCATCCGTCAGCACAGGCACCGGGCTGCTTACCACTCGGCTGTGAAACAGCACCAAAATATGCGGAGGCGATCCTCATGATATTGCTCTGGCTCGGTCGGGGCCGGTTCCGTCTGTGCTAAGTCATAGCTGGCTGCGATGGAAAGGCCCGCTGTGTATATCATCTTCCATGAATGAAGCGGTCGACCCAGATAGGAAAAGTACGTCCCTGCCAGGAACAGAGCCTGACAGACTCTGAGGTTGGGCGTGAAGCCCCACATGGACTTTGAGAGGATAATCCTCAGAGCAGGTTGGAAAAAGCCCAGTCCGAGGTCTTCGGCAGGCCCGCTCTCGTCCTCAGGGAGAGCAGCTTTGGTTGATTGGGAAGCTACACAGCCCAGAGCCCAGATACAAAGGCAGATGGCGGTTTCGATGTCCTGTGTGGGGCCGTTCTCCAAGAGGTCGCTCTGGAGACTCTCGTAGTACTGCCGGGAGAACAAGGGAAGATGTGGCGAGACATGCCTGAAGTAGGCGTCAGCGAGCTCCTGCAGTAGCCCTGGCGCGAACAAGGGCCAGCTGATGGGCTCGGGGTTGACGAGGTCCAGGGGACGGGGGAGCGGTGTGCTCTCCTCGAGCTCGTGGAAGTAGGTCCTTGGATAATCTCCGATGACAGACTGGATGGCTGGGAGTGACAGCAGCCATGTCGACGTGGCCGTGTGACGGGTGGGGATGAGGAACTGGGCATTCTCGAAGCTGACGTCGGCAGCCTCCAGAGATCGATTGGACGCGGAGAGTGGCGACGCGGCCGGGATCAGAGGGGAAGAGCGGAAGGACGGGAACGAGGCAGGAGTTGTCGAGTTGTAAGCATAGTGATCTGCCCGCGCCATATCACTCAATCTCTGCCCCTGCTCTTCCAACAGCCTGCCCACCAATGTCAGCAGATGCGGAGCACACCAAGATGGGAAACAGGGTGGCAGCGAGTGAGGAACGGGGCGGGAGGTGGTTGACGAGGCAGGGCCCTCAGCCAGCGGTGAAGCCTGTCGCCACCATGGGAGCCTGGAAAAGCTGCAGGGCTGTAGGGCAGGACTCACGCCTCTATCCGGCTGAGTCTCTCAGCGACCACTCCTTGGGAGGATGAAGATGTCTCAACTCTGGACGAAGGGTTAGCCTTGGACTCGAGAGAGGTGCCGAGACAGCGTATGAGCGTGTCTCATGTGTCATACTTACCGATCCACGGGAAGCTCCTTATAGACGCAGTCGGCTGTTGCCTCGACACAGGTCGAACAAGGGGTGTTTCCATCGCACCGCCGCTTCCGATGTCTGCAGAAGTCACAGGCGAGGAGAGCTCCTTGAAGGCTGTTAGTCGGCGTGGACTTGACACTAGGCGACATTCCATTCGGGGGAGAGGGCAAGTGCAGGAGAGGGGAGGCTTACTTTTCCTTGTGTAGTTCATAATCTGGCCGTGTCAGGATAGTATGAGGTTGTATTGTTGTATTGAAGGCAGGAGAGAAGCTACAAACTGGACCCAGCACCCAGCCCGATGATCCGTGACTAGGTTGGCTTACCCATGGATAGTCCCACACCTGAGTCCAGCGCCCCGACCCCGGGTGTGTATGCTTCTTGAGGCCGGGTCATGGGCACAAGATACTATATATACCTAGGCATGCGTGTGGGGGGCCAGTCCTGGAAGTGCCCTCAGACAGGCTGTGGGCACGACGAAGGGGGCCCGGCCGGTTGATCTTTTGGTCTTCCCGCGCGGCGAGCCACAAACGGTGCACCGGGTTGGACCATTGACGAATGAGACGGTACCAACGATAGATAGAGTGGTGTTTGTCGAGGGAGGTCCATGGCCAAAAGTTGGTATATAACGGTGGTGGATAGGGAGTTGCATACTCGCCCATGTTGGCGGTGCGTGCGTGTGGTGTGTGTGGTGAGTGTGGCTTGGGGAACCTTGGAGTCAGTCAGTGCAGGTGTCGCCTGACGTGTAGGACAAGGGCGTGAATTCGCCTCTGCAGGCATTGTGTTTCCAGAGCGTTCCTATCGTTGTTGCACGAGTGGATTCCTGGGTGTTAGAAAAGGCCGGTGTCATTACAAACCGCAGTCGCGCGCGGGATGGATTAGTCACTCCGCTAAGAGGCTAAAGTCCGCTGCGGCCGCAGCCATCTCCTTCCATGTTCGACCCGTTGACCCGTTGCATCATCTCGCCTGCCTTGCAACCTTTCCAGAGCCACGGCCACTCCGATTTGACTGCATGGCTGCACATGCAGCGTCGGCCGTCTTGGAACCGTCCTGTTGTCCCGACGCCGCGGAACCTTTTGCTGCATAGAGCCTCCAAGTGTCCTGCAAGCTGCGCCTGTGATACCACCCCGCATCGTCGATAGAGGCGAACTCTTCATGGTGGCTGATGTGCATGGCTGGGCCATCTACGGAGTACGGAGTACTGTGGTACACACAGACTGCGTGTACTTACCTCATTCGGAAGGCAAGTCAACAACAACATTGGCCAGAACTCCAGGGTCGTAACCGTATCACCACATGCTGCTGTGTTACTTATTAGCATATGTTTCGTGCCCCTGGCGCGCTTCTAGAAGAAGCTGGAAAGATGCCGATGCGGAGCCGACTCGCTACAACAATCATTACCGACCAAGGCCCGATTTGCCTTGTGAAACGGACTCGGTATGATCAGAGGCACCGACCTTATGGTTGTTGCTGCCAGCGACAAGAGCGACTCAAGCCTACCACCCGCAATGGGAATCATTATTCCAACGGACATAGTCGGAAACTACTCGTCAGCGGCCCCGTTCCGGCCAACTGGCCAGCCCATGACCACCCACATCTGGATGGCCAATCGAACCCCTTCCGGCCATGACCACCCTCCCAATCAGCCCTGTCCTCCTTCTCGCCGAAACTTGACTGTTTTTCGGGGGCCTGTCGCTGTCGCCGACTGCGGCTCGCCGCCAGGGGCTCGAGATTGTGGCGTGTGAAGTGCCCCTGGGCCAAGCACTGGCCTGGCCAGAAATACTGCCTGCCTGCCTGCCATCCTGCCATGACGGACATGCAGCCACTGCAGCAGGGTCCGCCAGTGATGTCAGAGCAGGATCCCGCGATGACCACGGAGCAACGGAGTCACAGGGCGTGTATGCCCTGTCCATATGTGTGGTAAGACCCGCGTATGCAGTCAGCCAGGCCTGCACAGTTTGCGGATCCGTATACCAGAGCCTGCTCACTCTGAACATGTCTACGCAATGTTATCCCGACGTCTTGGCAGATGGGGCCTCATAATTTGCTTATGCATTTCACATCTACCTCAACCGTGCTTTTCAGGGGACAACATTCGCGGGGTAACGAAGCTATTTCGAGCCAGAGAGTGCCAGCCCGTCGGCTTCAACGCCGTGCAACCGCCGATCAGTCTCATTTCGGCGCCGATCCGGCCGCGGCGCCGATCCTCTCGCGGCTCGGCTTCCACTTGGTCACAACGAAGGATACACAAATTGTCTTTATGGGCAGCATCTCTGCAATTGTTGCATTTACGGTCCAAGATTGGAATGAAACTCCCATAGTGTTGGTAAATATGGAGCACTGACACTGCTCGCTACGTTGTGCTGCGTGCGCCAACACCGAGACACCGGCTGATACTTTCCGAGCCTCGGATCCGAGGGGCTGGGCCTGCCCTTCATGGGGGGCCGACCATCCCCAGTCTCATTGCAAAGTGCCCATCTAATCTCCAGGCGGCCAGCGGCCAGCTGCCAGCGGAAGCAGATCGCCAAACACAGCACAGATTCCGGGGAGCACCGGCCGTAATGAATCTAGGATGAATCAGACAGGATCTCTTGCTCGGCGCCGTGCGAGGTGCGGTCCTGTGGGTTGCGAGTACGCGTTTCTTGATGTATTAATGGTGCTAAGTTCTGATGTCCATCGCAACCGCTGTTGCCTTGCCTTTCCCGAATAATGCTATGCAGGCTGGCCTTGTCCCTCTAACTCTCTGCCATGCCCATGAATCGTATCAATCTACGTCATCCGGCTTCGGTGTTGCTGTAACCGGATCACTCGGGGCAACCGGGGCAGCCGGGGGAGCCGGGGCACCGGTGGAACCCGCGCTGCCGGAGACCACCATCGAAGGCTCCGCCACGATCAGGCCCTCTGGGACCTGCGTATGCGTACTTGGCGAATTGCTCCTTCTCTTTGTCGCGCCTTTCCCGACTATTTTCTCCGTCCAGAACCCACTGATGGGGCTAGAAGTGCGCTCATGAGGTGTCGTCTTGCTTGCCTGGCCCTGGTCTTTCTTTTGGCTGCCGCCGGAGTGCGTGTCGTCCATCTCGCTTTCCGAGTCTGCCCAGTCCCTGTCGCTCCAATCCACAGAGTCGACTCTCTCACGGACAGGATGCATTCTCGGCGGGGAATGGTCCACAGAGCTGCTCGGCAGGTCCAGGACTCTATCCTGCGCCTCGAGATTCTCGCTCATCGTCCGATTGTGTCCGCCGTGTTCCGAAGCCTTCTGTGAGGTTCCTTGATCTTTACTGCTAGAGGCTGGACGCATAGCCTCTTCTGTCGGCCCAGGCTCCGACCTCGTCTCGCCGCCGTCTTCAGCTGGAGGCTGGCTGGCCGCTTTGGCTCGCTCAGTATTCTTCTCATCTTCGTCACGCAAACGGGCCGCGCACGAATCGCTGAAGTGGGCGTCGACGAGGTGTTTGACCACAGGCCAGCCGAATGCGTTGGCGAACATGCGGCGACAGATGATGTTGTTGTGAGCATCTGGTTCCAGCTTAACCAAGACCTTCCGCCAAGAGAGGTTGCGGTGGTAAGCGCGAGCTATCTTCTCCTCTACTTTCATGTTTGCGCTGTCGATAACCTCGGATGGGTCCTTGTCCGGGTTCGTATTTTCCGTGTCGTCGTAATCCTTGGTTGAGGATAATGAGTCTTGATGTGCAGGAGGCTGATGCACCGAAGAGGTTGCCGACTGAGAATTGCGGCTCGACGAAGATGCCACTGTGTTAAATGACTTCCTACGCAGGGCCAAGGTGCCAGTGGGCCGCTTCTTTAAGGGTGGTGAGGGAATATCTTCTGGGTGGTAGACTCGATCGTGAAAAATGGTTCTCGGCCTCGTGGAAGGATCGATGATGTAGTCTACAGAGGGTAGCTTTGGGTTAAGGAGATCTCCTGCGGACTCGAAGAATGTCGTTTTCGGTGGTGCCGAAAGGTCATTCTCTCCATCTGCACCCAATTCGTGACCAGACGTCACCTTGGACTTTTGAGAGGACTGCGAGGATTCTGAAGCATTCTCGTCGAGGCGTAGAGTCTGGCTGCGTTGGTAAATTCTCTTCTGTTTCGTGGTTGGCGACGCTGGCGGTTTACCAGGCTCATTGTTGTTCTTGAATAAGGAGAAAAACCCGGAGAACGGATTTGTGTTGTTAGTGACTGCCGTGGATGACGGATGTCCTTCGTCCTGGTACGGCGTGGTGACGGTCCTCAGACTTTGCCTGTCGTCCTCCATCATGGCATCATTTGGAGGTTGAGGCACCTCGTGAGAATCGCCGTGGCCCACAGGAGTGACCGCTCCTGAGGCAGGGCTGTCATTATCGCTGCCTTCCCTGGGTGTCCAGGGACCACTGCGAGGCGACGTAACGTTTGCGCCGGTGAGCTCAGCCCAGCCAAATCCAACAACGGTCTCGACGAGACCGGCTTCCCGCCGTGCCTTCTCCACGCGGCCCAGTCCCTGCCAGTCCAGGAACAGCAAACAGCTAGTTCGGAGCGGGACGATCCCGTCGTTGACGACGTTGGAGTACACAGTCCTGTTTCGAAACTTCTTCAGAGCTATGTGCGCTGGACCTGTGGGCAGTATGCGGAGCAGCGGTTTCGACTCGGACTGAGACTCTCCCATGACCTTCTTGTGAGCATTCTCGCCCAGATTGCTCACAATTGCGCCCCAGCCGTTCCTCGCAATGGTCGGGGCCCTCCAGGTCAATCCAAGATCCTGTCCTGTCCTGCCAACGAGCCCGAAATCCAGTGCGAACTTGACGTACATTGGGTTCTCGTGGTTGAGACCCAAGAACGGGGATGCCAGTGCAATAAAATTGATGGGTTTAATAAGGTCAAAGAACTGTGGCGAGTGCTTCTGGATGTAAGCCACGGCGTATGTCTGGACCAAGCCACCCAGCGAGTGTCCGATGAAGCTGATTTTAGTGATTGTGAAGCCCCTGTCTTGGAAGCCTGCTGCATTCTTGTGGATGGAGCTATGCTTGTGGGTCGGCTTCCCTTCAGCGTCCTTTTGCGAATTCGTGTCTCCTTTAAAGCTATGCGAGAGGACCTCTTGAGCTGCCTTACCTGACGGTAGGAAAGGTTGGTCGGGGTAGGTGATGGACAAGACATATCGGGCGAGTCTTTTGCCCAGGTATTTGATCCCCCTCTCCGTGCGGGTGGCATTGCCGGAGAAGCCACGAACGATGGTCTCCTCGTCCTCTGGAACTTCATCATAGGGATCGTCCAGCATCACACCCGAGTCGGTATGTTCTTCGAATCCTGACTCCTTGGCCTTTCGGGACTGATCTTGTCTCTCCTTGGCTCGTCTCTGCTTGGCATCGATTTTCGCCTGCTTGACACCGGCATCGATGCTCTCCTTGAGAAACAGCATATCGGAGCCCAGATTGCTGTGGAGACCGTGTGTGAGCATAACCAAGTGCACGTGTTTCTTCTTTGCTGGTTTCCGATCTTTTTCAGTATGCTCGTCACCAGCCTGAGCTGTCTGGGTCGCCTCAGAGCCAGTGCCCTTGGTAGCATCAAGCGGCTGCGGTAACTGCTCAGCGCCCGGCAACTCGGGTGTATTCCAGAGGCTGGCGGTGTCTTCAACCTTCAGATGTATTGCCCTGGAAAATACGCCTTTGCTTTGCGCATTGTGGCGACCGTCCTTGGCGCCCTTGCCCTGCTGGAAGTCGCTGACCCGCCCCGGTTGAGGAACTTGAGCATGATTTCCTACAACAGGAATGCCAGAGTTTAATGTCAAAGACTTCTCATCCCGCGCGAGCAGCACGTCGTAGTGGACGGCAGCAGAAGCCGAAAAGATGACCTGTGACGCCACCTCGATGATCCATGAGACGCTCTCCCCATCGTGTTCGGGGCCATTGCCGAAATGACCTGAACCCCCGGTGCCGGCAGTCTGCCTGATTGTCTCGGGGACTACCAAATGACATGTCCAGGTTCCGCCGGCCTTGAGCATGGGCTCGAACTCTGGAACCCCGTAGAGGCGCGCATCCTCGAACTTCTCGTTGGGGTTGAAGGTGGCGGGATAGGCGGCGGCGGAGAGGTTGTAGGGTCCGTGTACGAATGCAGCGCGGAGGGCGATGGCGGAACTGTTTTTTATGCGCAGGTATAGACACTCAGGCGAGGGGAGGATACGATCTTGTGACGGCGTGTATGTGACTGTATATCGGACCGTCTCCCCGATCTTCAGGCTACCGGTCTGGTGGAGCAGCAGCATGGTGGTGGTGTCGGTGGTAGGGGCAGGTCGAGAAAATACAGAGGATCGCCGTTATTGTGCACGGGCAACCGGCATGTTCGAGAAGGGGCCCGAGTATCGCAGCAGTGACCAGGACGGATCAGGGTCAGGTTGGAGGTTGGAGGTTGGAGGTTGACGGGACCGAGGCGGATATAGGTAGGTACCCAGGTAGGGCTTGGATAAGAAGGCGGTCGCGTGCGAGTGCCCGAAGGAGTGCGGCTGGACGGTGCACAGTTGTGTCGTCGCTAGGAACGACAAAGGGCGGTCATGTTGTCGGCGTGTCGGCTTGAGGTTGTCTGACAGGTGACAGGGCTGAGCAGGTCGATCCTCCAGGCCGGAGTTGAGGGAGCCTGTGGGACGAAGAAGGACGTGGGTAAGGAGGGCGATGTCAAGATGGGAAAGTAACCAACATCCGAATTCGACATCTTGGCGTCGGTATGCAGTACCGAGATATGCTTGGGGTCCGCACAATCCCCCCTATGAGCTCATGGTTGCGGGTTTGTCTGTGCGTTGGCACCACCCGAACGCGCCTCCTGAGTATCCCGTCTGCATGCCTGGATGCCAGGATGCTTGCCACCTAGGGTCCCAGGCACTTGTGGGCTAGGGAGGCAGGGAGGCACGGGGTACCCACCCAGCCGGCCGGGTACAATGTGCCTGTCACAAGGCAGTGCAAGTACAGTACAATCGTCCCAAGGGCATGCCTATTGCGACGAGGGTTCATCCCGGCACTGATCTCGCAAGTAATAGTCTATTCTTTCCATTTTTGAACCACTTTGCAGTGACTGTACCATATCCTCGGGCTCGGGGCCACATTGCAGGCCATCTTGGACCGACCGGACGTTTCTGCGACACGGTAGTCCGTGCTGCTGCTGGCCACTGGCGAGCGAGGCTTCAAATGTTAGCGCTCCTACGTCACTGCACGACGAACCAGGGTCCCTGAGAAGCACCCTCCTGCGACAAGCTGTTTCTCCCTCAGAGATCGGCCCGCAGGGCTCGCGCACGGAATTTGATAGTGCTGTGTATTAAGATTCCGACAACATTAATACACACCTAGGTATTTTAAGTATGTGAGATGAGACGCTGTGCTCGAGCCGATCTACGTCAAAGACTCAAACATGTGATACTTTTCTTGGAGCAGCAAGCCAGGCTTGTTTCCAAGCCCCTCCGAGAATTGCGAGTTTGTTGGTTTCGTATTCGCCAGAATGCCGGATGCCGGCACTTTCGGGGATTTAGGTACGAGTACGGGCCGCGGCCGAACTCATAGGAAGCCTAAACATGTCTGACACGGCTGACAGTGAAAAGAATTGCACTGCCAGTCCGGTCGTAACGCGAAGGGTGGCCGAGGATATATGAGATTGGACCTAAATGTGTGGCAGCAGGTACGCGGTGTGGTGTCCGGAGATGACCATAGTCCGGGCAGCCGTGACCTCACCGTTGCGGCGAAGAACTGTGTGACAGTAACTGACATTGCATCGAGCCTGCGTCTAGCCTGCGTCTAGAAGGGCATGCTGTGCGTTCCGAGGGGACAGCTTCTTAGGCACGGCTGGTGCACCTCCTCCGGCCTCGGCCTCAGCACATCAGTGCAGTATCGCTGCCACCGACTCACAGCCGGAACGAGTGGTCTTGTCCTTCCCTGAACCAGCAGATGCCCCTCCTCTTGTTCAAGGCTGGACCCCTGCTGTGTCCATAATCTCATCCATCTGTGCCATCATTGCTGCCTCTTCGTCTTGAGCCTGCCCGCCGTCGCCGTTGTGAACACCTCTCGCCAGCAGCTCCGCCTGCACTGTCTTCCTCGTGACCATGCCCTCGGTCATCCATGGGAAATCCTCGCGTTGCTTCCTCACCCATCCCTCGAGGCTGCGCATGGCGACCACCAGGAACCCAAGCTCTTCTCGCTCCACATCAAAGACCTCCCACCATTCGCATTCGGGCATGTGTGCTCCAACGTCCTTGGCGGCGTTGTAGATGGCCGCAACTGCCAGCATGTTCGGCTGATGCGTTAAATACAGCAGCTGGGGCGAAAGCAGTGCCGTGTTGAGATACTCAACTGTCCGCCTCGAGATCGAATCCTTGGTATGGTTGCAAAAATCCAAGGTCTGCAAGTATGTGACTGCCAGGGGGTGAGGCAGGGCCACGTGCGTATCAAAGGACAGCGTATAGAGCACCCTCGCCTCCAGTGCTAGGACACGGTTGTGAAAGGCGAAGTAGTCGGCATCGCTCAGGTAGTAAGAAGATGGGTCATCTACAGGCGGTTGAGCGCCCTTGCCCTTCATGAAAGACGAGCTGCTGGACAACAGATAGGCATAGACGTTCGAGATGTCCCGGGGCGAGCGAGCACGGGAGCCCAGCTTCGAGACGAGGAAAACACAGGCAGCAGAGACGTCCTATTCCAAATTTTAGTCGGGGCGGGTCATCAGAATCGGGATATGGACGGCCATTTACACTAAATTCATTTGTGAGGAGTGGCCGAGACTCTGCCAGCCAATATCTGGCGAGGATGACGTTCGCCTGAGCCGTGGCGGACTGTGGCAGCTGAAGAAGAACACCCGCAGCCTGTGTCAGGGATTGAGTCACGTAGAATATGACATCCTGCAAGTCGTTGGGAAGAGAGCTGAGATTGTTCCGTTGATACAATTGCTCGGCAGTTGCCAGGGGGTTGGTCATGTGTGCCATGTTCTCAGACAAGTTTGAGAGTGGATGCCCAGACAGAGCCGAGCAGCGCCTTTACAGCCTCAGTGGCCCAAGGCACACCAATAACTTGCCGTTCAACTGGGTGGCTGTCCTGGTTATCTTCGAAACTGGAGGTAAAACTCCGGGTAACAGCTGTGTGGTCTGGATGCAGCCCAAAAGGCAGGCACGGATGGCAGTGGAAGGGGTCTCGAATTCGACGTGTGAAGCTGGCTGAAAATGTTGGGGCGAGTGAAAGGCAAGTACGTTCCAAGGTTGCTTGCTCGGCCGAGATGTAACCTTCAGCCAGGCCCGCAGCGCGTGGGCCATTTTACTTGCCCCACTGCCGCAAGGCTGCCAAGCACAGGAGCTTAAGCACTCATTCATAGCAGCAGCTGAATGTGCAGGCGCACCAAACTTGATGAGAGCGCAGGATGCCATTGTAATGAGCTGTCCAAATCTTGGCAGTTACACAGTGTTGTCTATATATTGCGAGTGAGCTCGCAAGGGATTTTCCACTACAGAAGCTTCTCCCTGTTCGCCGTCACCCTCTCAAACTTGTCCAGCTCCATTTGGATGCTGTGTCGGCCTTCGGTCAAGCTCCTCAGGTGCTGATCGTAATTCAACATGTCTCTAAGTGGCACTCTTGCCTTCAGCTTGAGCATTCTCATCGCGCCCTTCTTGTTTTGACGCAGCGTCGCCACTGATTCATACGGGTCCGGCGGTGCGTACACCTGCTCGAGGTCTATTTCCCCTTCCCCGGACACCGTTTCGTTTAGGTCTTCAGTCTCCATGACTTGGCCGCCGTGCCTCGAAGACAGATCATGCCTCACCTGTGCTGCTGCCGCCTCCGGGCAAACAATCTCGGCTTTCATAACTGGTTCCAGCAGTCCAATCTTCTGCATATCGTGTGCATTTTTGAACGCGTTCCGCACGGCGTGAAACCCAGCCTGTTGGTAATGAGCGGGGGAGGCTGCGCCGAAGAAGTCCTGGGCACAGTCTATCACGATTTCAATGTTGCAGCCGTGCAGAGGGTAGCCTTTTCTCGGGCCCCGGTACAGGGCTGCGATGGCCCCATTGTGCAAATGGTGAGAAATGGTGTCAACGTCGAAGAGCTTCGGGTCATCAATCGGGCGAATGATATTGACGTTGATCATGTTGCCGTCTCGCTCGAAACCGGAGTGGTAAAATTCATCCTCGGACTGGAGATCACTGAAGCCAAGCCGAGTGGCGCGATCACGCCACGATTCTGTCTGTTGCTCCGTGTCGATGGGCTCAACGAAAGCCGCACATGCTACCTTGCCTGGCTTTCCTGCCACGGCACGGTCGATGATGTGCTGCTCCTGCTGTGTTTGCGACGTGACGCATTCCTTGTAGTCAACTTGTATAGTGCCAAAGAGAGCGTCGATCTTGTACTTCTTCAGATTATCAATTGCGACTTCCAAGTGCAGTAGTCCCATTCCGGATAGGATATATGTCCCAGCCTTCTCGTCCTTGGTCCACCGAAGACTGGGATCTTCTCTCGATGCATCTGTCAGTGCGTTCTTCAGAGCTTCCTCGTTTGTGGCGGAGAAAGGCTCGATGGATATGAACGTGACAGCTGGTGGGATGACCGCGGGCCGGATCTGAATGCTCTTCATGAGTGTCTCGGTTGCTTTCTCCGGGGAAATAATAAGGGTGTCTCCAGTACGGGCCTTTTTCAGCCCGGCTAAGGCACCGATGGCTCCGACCTTGAGGTGCGGAATGTCGTTGTGTTTGTTTGCGAGGATCTGCATCATGGCGAGTGGCTTCTCGGCAATCCGCTGGGTCGAGTTCCACATAGCAGCATTGCGTTGAAGCACGCCGTGGTATACGCGAACAAAACTCAACATTCCCCGGTGAGCATCGCTGACGACCTTGAAGACGGATGCCACCGCAACATTGGCGCCCTTCTGCTTCAACTTGGTCGTCTCCTTTGCAATCAGACTCTCTAAGCCGCGTGTTCCTGTAGCGGTTGAGACCTCTACCGGGGGGCGCTCTTGAGGATTTGGGAGATAATCCACAACAGCGTCCAGCAAGGGCTCGACCCCGATGTTCCTCAGACTGGCCCCAGCAAAGACCGGTGCAACGCTACCGTTCCCATCCGCAATTGCACGGCGGATACTAGTCTTGATTGCCTCGTCAGACAGATCCGCTCCGTGCTCAGCGAACTCCATGGTAAGCTCATCGTCAATCTCGCAGAGCCTCTCGATGAGTTGTTCCCGTGCAAGCTCGACCTCTTCGGCGAGTGGTGGGTTTTCCGATCCGAGTGCACTTCGAAGGGCGTCGCGGTTGAAGAGCTTCTTCGATCCACCGCCAGACCATTTATAGCCCACGCGCTTGATAACATCGATCACGCCAACGAAGTCGTCACCGACCCACCAGGGTATCTGACACACCAGAGGCCACGCCTTCAGCTTCGAGGCAATATCCAAGACCGACTTCCTGAAGGAAGCACCGTCTCGATCGAGTTTGTTGACAAAGATGATTCTTGGTATCTGGTACTGATGTGCTGCGGCCCAGACCCGTTCAGTGTGAGCTTCAACACCTTTGACTGAGTCCATGACACACACAGCACCATCCAGCACAGGCATGCATCGAAGGACTTCATACTGGAAATCCTGGTGGCCAGGCGTATCAATCAAGTTGATAGTCTTGGCGTGTTCCTCTGGTGCGCAGTCCTCCTGCCGGGGCCAATTGAATGAAATGGCAGCGGACTGGATAGTGATACCCCTCTCCCTCTCCATGGGTAGGAAGTCTGTGACGGTATCACCATGGTCGACATCTAGCACATCGATCCGTCAGCGCGGTGATTTATGAAAGGGGGAGAAACCATTATGGATTGGTTCTTACTTCCTAAATGCCGTGTGTTGCCGCTATAATAGAGCATACGCTCCGTCGTAGTGGTCTTGCCCTGCAAAAAAAGGGTCAGTCCTCGTCAAAGAGCCCAAGCGAGGATATTTCCCAGTCAGACCCAGGACCACCTACGGCGTCGACATGGGCAATAATGCCGATATTACGAATATTCTCCACAGCAGCCTCAAAATGAGCCGCCACGTGTGCCCATCTCTGTGAAGAGCGTTGAGAACAGGCCCATCTTTGTCGAGGGCCAGGTCGTGGCAATGCGGCGCGGATGAACAGGCCGGCAAGACTTTTTGACGGAGCCCTGCAACCTGGCAGAAGGCACGCCGGCACAGGCATAGCGGCTCATTCAGTGACGAGGCACTTGGAATCAGGCCAATTTGGTGCAAAAGAGTGACGGCAACATTTCTGTTGCTGTGAGGGAGTAGGCCAAAAGTATGTCTCCATGGGTAGGTAATTAGCTACATGAAGATGTGTGACCAGGCCATGTCGACTGCCTGCGTCTGCTACCCCCCCCCCCCTCTCGCCCCCCCCTCTCGCCCCCCTCCCCCCGGCCCCCCGACTTCTCCTCAGGGTATCCACCCAGACCTTGATTGGGCATTCACCAAGGCTACTAGACAGCGCTCCCTGCCTCCGTGCCTGCCTGTCGGTACAGCTTAGGTAGGCACAACCCCATTCCTCCAACTTCGAGCTTACCGCAGCCGGACGTCTTGATCGTCATCCTCTCCGACCCGTTGGAAGCCTGCGAATTTGCTTTGCATGTGGCTTACCGCATCGTGTCTTCCTAAGACGAAAGCTCCCCGACGTCCAGTTCGCGCCCAACAAGCGTGATCGCATTGCTGGGCCTCATAGAAACCCCCACGGTCTCCTGCCCGACTCGTGCCGACTGTCAACGTCATCCGCACACGAGCTTCCTGTCCACCTTGTCCACCTTGTCCTTCTGAACTTCGACTCCCATGGATTATAGCGCCTCCGTCCACGATGCCGACCACCCCACAGGCGCTTCGCCTTGGGGGACTTCACCGGCGCCTTCGCCTCACGCCCACCGAACGACATTTGGCGCAGTAGCGGGCGAAACCCCGGCATCGCCACACCAGTTCGGCTCAGAAGACCCAAGCAACGGATTCGCTGCAGGCCACGAGGAAGAGGGAGGCTTCGGGCCATCAGACCATAGTTTCGCCAGACCAAGCACGGGCAGCACCGTCTCCGAGACCGACACGCAAACGCAAGCACCGGAGACTGCATCCGTGTCTGCATCACCTGGGCCCCAGCACGGGAATGTCTCGCCTCTGCAGCCGGACGATCCTAATCGGTTCTCCGGAGACACTGCTCGTGCTAGTCAAGAGCAGCCTCAGGTTCGAAAGCCCACGCAGCCAGTATACAAGCTCCAAGCCAAGATCACTGGGCTCGAACGAGCGGCGCGCAAGGACCCCATTCTAAGATTCGATGTTCATGTGAGTCTCCATCTTTGTTCCACAATAACGAACGATATATGTGACTACATCTAACTGCCGACCGTTGTAGACCAACCTTCCCAAGTTCCGAACGACCCAATTCCGCGATGTCAGACGCCTGCACTCAGAGTTCGTTAAACTTGCCGAATACCTCATATCTGCGAATCCGGAAGCAATCGTCCCAGCCGTCCCCCCACCTCTAACATCCGCCGGAGCCGGGACCGACGAGGATGAAATCAGGGTTAAGGCGCTAATGCAGCGCTGGTTCAACTACGTATGCAGCAACGAGGTGCTCGCGAGAGATGATGAGATGGTTCTTTTCGTGGAAAGCGACTTTGGCTACAGCCCAATGGTGAAGAAAAAGCAGCCCGCCACCGGAGTACGGCGCAAATTGCTGAAGCAGTTCGCACCGCCTCCGGATGACACACCTGAATTGTCCGAGGCACGACCAATCGTGAAACTCTTTTATCTGGGATCTATGGATGCGGGCCACAAGGTCGACAAGCTGGTCAAATCCCGTCGTGGTGAGTCAAGAATCAAAGGGTAGGGGCCAGATACATATGCTAATCAAGCGAAGGGCTCGGTCTTGGGCAGTCCGAATTCGGCGTCAGGCTTGGTAGTATGCATATACAGGAGCCACACCAGGGGCTGGCCAATGCGTACCGCAAACTCGGGAAGATTGTCCAGACAGTGGGAGACTCGCAGCAAGCGCAGGCTACTGCGGAGGCCTTCACCATTGGGGACCCCCTCCAGTATCACTCCTCGGATGCTTTCATCGTCAAGGAAACACTGACGAATCGCCAACTTCTCATCCGCGAGTTCTTGCAGGCGCAAGAAAACACACGCAGCAAGCTAAATGCGGCAGATCGTCTGAAGGCCAGTTCAAATGTGCGCCGGGAAAAGGTTGACGAGGCAATCTCCCTGCTAGAAGACGCGAAACAAAACGAGGCCTACCTTTATCAGAAGACCAGGCGGGTGACACAGAACTTGGTTCAAGAACGCCACAAGTGGTTCACAAGGACGGCTGCCGATCTGCGCGCAAGCATTCGCGAGTTTGTGTGCAAGGAAATCGAGGCCGAACGGAGGACCTTGGCCATGCTTGAGAATGTGCGGCCTGACGTACGTGCCATTGACGCTTCTGGTGGCCTGAGTCGGCTGGGCCGTGAGGCACACCCCGCAGTCCGTCGGACCACCATGGCTTCAAGCCAGGGTCCCAAGGGGGATGCATGGAGCGGAGTCCCAAGACGATCTGTTGATCCGATGGGCAGGAGCGTTTCTGCCAGCTTCATGGCCAACGCCGCTGAGGATGGTGACGGCGAGGAGGAGAGAACGAAGGCCCCCGCCGGCGGCTTGTCCGAACAGAATGACGAGGATGACGAAGACAGGGTGGATGCCCGCAATGCGGCGAGTCGGCTGGCTACGAGCACTTTCTAAAGCTCGCACGTCAAGAAAATTCCCCGCTTGGAACCCTCAAGGGCATAGCATAAGCTTTGCATAGGCGCACACCCAAAAGCATTGGTCGGGCAGTTTAATGTAATTATTGATGTGAGCACACACCTCCTTACCTCAGTTCAGGGCGTAGGCCCAGTCATCAAAGCCTATCTTCGCAGACGGCTTCAATCAACACGGAAGGGCGATATGATTATTTCATCCAGCGTCAGAAACTTCGTTACGCGCTCCGGTAACGTCCATCTGGGAGACTACCGACCTAGGTATAGGAACACACCCGTCTTATCGTCGTATTTGATTCCGCCCGTCTACACAAGCGTCCAACGCCAGGTTGAGCACATATTTGCTTCTCTATCTAGGCTCGTCTTGAAAGTTGCACAGCGTATGACACCTGCATAATGACGGCTGCAGGCGCTCGAAGCGTTCTGGCTCGTGCCCTAAATAAGTCATGGTGCCCAAAGAGGGAATACAAAGCTGGGCAAGGAATGCAGCAAGCATGATGTGTGCCAACGGCGATTCCCTTGGCTCCACCCTGGCAATTGTTTTGGCAAATTGCTGCGCAGCCGAGGAAAGCGTCAATCGGGTGCGAAGCCGGCAAATGGTCTGCTTGACTTTTTGAGGGTGTGAGCCAGTTCTTTCTCTACTAACTAAACATTTCCTTCTGACCTCCCATACATGGTGTTGACATTGGCTCAAAAGCGCCGCGCCTTGCGCAGGAAGCCATCGTTTCGGAAACACAGCCGAAGCGATGCATGCCACGGTGGTTCAACAACGAACTGCACGCAGTCCCTCATCCGCCAGTTCTATGCATGCATACCTTGGCAGATCTTTGTCCGCTGACTGGGCGACGTTTGTGACGCGGGCAGCACGGCGGCAGCATTGCGGCCCCTTCTCGGCAAGGCTCGACAGATCGTTGTCGAGGTGTTCCCACTGCCCTGCCTTGTCGACTTCTGGCCTTGCCGTTGTCGGCTGGATCCTGCAGTGCTGCCAAAGTTGCAGGTGCGAAGCGACCTGTGCAGTCTCGACGGGCGACTGCACCGGTTGCTACCGGGCACTGCCGATTTGCACCACTCACAACCCAGCCAGTCGAATATCATTTCTGTTTCTACCACGGAGGAGGGTTGATGGGAGCTCGCTTCGATCGCTGGGCAGGAACCGACATTACGATGAGACACGACTGCACGCATGTTTTCGATCACTGTGGCTTCACGCAAGTGTGATATGTCGTCCACCTCGAGCCATGATCCGAGGCACCCTGGCGACGGAATTGTACCCATACATACGATATGATGCCGCGCATCCAATGAAATCCGGCCTTGCTAGCTTCTGGTGATGCCACCCTTAGTTGCTGAGATATCACTGACGAAGCCCAGACAGCCTTGGTCCAACTGCCCTTGTATCGCTGCACATCTTGTATCAGGTTTAGGCCTCGCGATCTGTTCGCCGACGGTCCATCGGCAAGCCGCGCCGCTCTGCTTCAGGCTGGAGTTTCCCGTCCTTGCATATTCAGGTCTCGCAGTAACCCTCCAGCTCGTGGCGGCTGGTGGATCAGAATGCAGTCGATGCAGCACACTTATCCCACGAGGGACTGTGTCCCAGACACCAGCCATGGGACATGCATGCATCAGGTAGCAGCTCGCGGGAGATCCGATATGGCAAACGAACAAGATTGTCCACGTCGTCACTGCCGACACTGTCACAGCTTGCGCGTCGCGGTCTTGAGGTTTGGTCGGATTCGTGACTGGAGGAATCATCCCTCTCAAGACGCTCATTGCACGCCACGCAAGAGTGGCGTTACATGAGCCGCGACATCTCGATGCTATCATTTTCGACGCAGATCTCTCACTTGTGACCAGCGCTTCGAGATTCGCGCTGCCTCCCAATACCGCGCACACGTGCCGGATCTCAAAATTATTATCGACTAAGACGTCGTTCCTCTTAACCGCTCTACGCTTGTCTAATCATCCGGTACGGGGCGACCATTCTCTGCTTCCGACCGTTGAAGCCTCCAATCTCCTGCAGGGTACGGAGGTTCTTCCAATAAATCTTTACCGCCAAGGAGCAGGGGGGGCTGTCTTAGCTACTAGAAAGTCTATGGACACCGACCCCCGATACGTAGAATACATTAGATAAGTACTTTAGGCTTCACTACTTCTAACTAGTCCCCAGCTTGAATTTTTTAATATACGCTACTTTCAGGGGGCTGGTCCTGATCTATTGGTACAGCCAGATGACTGCATAAATAGAAGGGATATAGCCCCCCTTGCTCCTTGGCGGTAAAGACTTATTGGAAGGATATCTGTACACCCATACCCATGCGGGCAACGTGCAGACCCTTGGGCTCTCGGCAACAAAATTGGTGTACATTGAACAACACCTCTTGGAAATCCGAGATCCTCTCGCAAAATGCGAAGGCCCCGGGTGTGGTCCCGCACCTTACTCTCGTCGCCTCTTCCGTTTCCTGTGTTTTTCCGTGCAGCGGCCTCTGGATACCCGTATGTCACCACTCTCGCAGCATCAGCTTGCGCACATCAGACAGGACACAACCACCTTCGCCCAAAGCATCACCACGGCTGGTGGGTTCCCACCTTGGCTGTCATGCAGGTCATCTTTGGTGACACAGGAGGCAGACCGCCTTAGTTTCTGCATGCCTCGGTAGTGCTTCGGCTGCTTCTGAAGTGCAAGCAGCCCCAATGAAATAATTGATTCACCACACAAGCTGCCGAATGTATTGCACCACCAGTTGCGCGCGGCCACACACCCCCGATTTGCTTCATAGGGACTTGCCTGCTCGATGGAGTGAGTCCTCACTGCGGTCGTGCTTGCTCCCCTCTCGGTTGCCCAGGCCGAGCTATTGCAGCAAACGCCACTCACAATTGGTGCTTGCGCCCGAAGTCGTTGGCAGCGTTGCTTTTGTGGATGATGAGCACCACACTGTACTTGACGAGGAGCCGTCGAGATAAGATCCATCCAGATTTCTGCCCAAGCCATGTGCCGCAGGGCATAACGGCGTCTTGGTACAATGGTCTAGTTCTTGCTCTCCCCTTGGAGAGCAATCGACTTTCCCCGCCCCCTCTCAATATCAAGATGGCATCATTACATGTGATCACCTCATCCCGGCGAGATAGCATCGTGCTCGGACCATGGTACTCAACATCGCCTCTTCCTTACATGCTGGCAGCTAGAATACTTGGCCTATAGTTCTAGCGCCGCAAGAGCTGAGGATTACTATTCTTCCTGCTGGGCGGCATTACCATTTCAGCATGTGGACATTAAACCCAAGGCATTATAGGGCTAATAGTGACACACCCATAGATGATATTCCACATGCTAAAATCTATGACTTGTTGCTTGTTTCTCATCGTCTTATACATCAAATCATCGATATCACCGTACATCGCAACCGTATGGATATCCAAACACTTATGCAGGGCTTGCTGAGGTCCAGCATGCATCTAGGCTGCAGAGACCCATGCACTTTTCTTCCTCCGCCTAAACCTGGTCCAGTGGACGGAGTGAATAGAGCCAAACTATGCTCTGACCAGGGGCCTGCTTATACTACTGCTAAATAGGCTCAGGCACAAACGAATATCCTTGCCTCCGCAGCATCAAGCTCCGTCCATTGTCTGATAAGTCGTCGAGAGATGACTGGCGGGCTACTGGCATGTCTGACGCTGCTCTAAGGCATGGTTTTGAATCAACCAGAGGAAGCTCATCCGGCCGTTGCCTCCCTACCCCTGGCATGCTTTCAAGTGGATAGCCTTTGCTTCCCCTCGACCTTTCCCACCTTGTCTCGCGAAGAGCAGAAATGGCAACAAGTGTGGGTATGCAACATGGTGCGCGCCAGCCCATATCTACCAGAACCCGGAAGGGCGCTGGCTCGTCGGGACGAAAGCTCCAAGATGAGCATTTCAAGCCGTATACCACCCTTGGCCATGTCATAGGTTCTCGCTCAGGACGTGGCGTATTGGGAAGTGCGGACGCAGAGATAAATGGCATTCCTCCTTCAGGACACCGACTCCCTCCCTCCTCCCTTCATCCTTTATCACTCTTAGCAAATATCCTGCACTCGTATCTGAAAAGAATATTACCTGCATCTTGACAATTGTCAATCGCAGCCTGCTTCTCCAACTGCCAGATTGCCTGGCCCCCAGGGGACACCAGCCCCCACGAAGCGTTCCTCTGCCTCGGGTCTTGTTCCCTGACTCCACCAATACACGCCCACGAAGCCACCCTCCCATCCCGCACTCATCCCACGTCTGAAAGCATGGCGCCGTCTGCCATGGTTCAAGACGAGATTGAGCCCCTGCAGCTGCCCTATGCTGGGGTCTCAAAGATCAGTGCGTCCGTCTTACATGGACCAAGGGACCTGCGATTGGTGAGTTGGGGATACTTCATCTGGTTCTCTGGTTCGGGCTACTACCATCTCTTGCCAGTCTTACTGTTACACAAGATCCCAGGCCTTGCTAGTTCCGAACACCAAGCTCCCACCTGTTTCGGGAAACGCAGCTTGTGGGCTGACAGCAGAGCCGCGTGCCTTCTTTCAACGACCGGGTCGCTAATTGCAAGCCTATAGGAGTCCAGAACACTCAACGAGCCGGCCCTGGGCGAACTACAGGTAGCCCTGCGGTCCACGGGTATATGTGGCTCAGATGTGTCTTACTATAAGAAATTTGCCAATGGCGATCTCTGTGCCTGCCAGCCACTCTCGCTGGGCCATGAGTCCTCCGGGGTCGTGGTAGCCGTCGGCCCCCAGGTGAGTGGCTTTGCAGTGGGAGACCGCGTGGCCTTGGAGGTTGGCGTCCCCTGTGGACAGTGCTCGACATGCCGCAAGGGGCGATATAACCTCTGTAAGAAGATGAGGTTCAGGAGCAGCGCGAAGTCTTTCCCCCACTTCCAGGGCACGCTTCAGGATAGGATTAACCACCCGGCGATATGGTGTCACAAGTGAGTAGCGCACATCCGAACATCGAGGCCAGCCTTGTTGACTTGTGGTGCCAAGGCTTCCTGAAAACGTCTCATTCGACGCAGCTGCTCTCCTCGAGCCGCTGTCCGTCGCCATCCACGCCAGAAACCGCGCGCAACCCGAGACCGGCTCCACAGCCCTGGTGCTCGGCGCCGGCACAGTAGGCCTTCTCACTGCAGCCATGGCCCGGCAGTCAGGGTGCACGACAGTCACTGTCTGCGACGTGGACCAGGGCCGTGTCGACTACGCCCTCGAAAAGGGGTTCGCGACCCACGGGTACGCCGTGCCGCGCACCCTCCATGCCTCCAGCGGCTCCTCCGTGTCCGGGGCGTCGACCCCGGGCGGCAGCGTGGCGGACGGCGCGGTGACGCCCGCCAGCAGCATCTTCTCGACGCTGGACGGCAGGCTCGAGGGCGCCAGGGCCACAGCGGCGGACATCATCGCCACCACTTTCAGGTCCTCCTCGCCGTCGCCGTCGCTGGCCGAGGACGAGGCCGAGGACGACGGCTTCGACGTCACATTCGAGTGCACGGGTAAGGAGGTATGCATGCACACGGCCCTGTACGCAACGCGGCCCGGCGGCAAGGTGATCATGGTCGGCATGGGGACGCCGATCCAGACGCTCCCCATGTCGGTGGCGCACCTGCGCGAGGTGGACATCCTCGGCATCTTCCGCTACGCCAACACGTACGCCACGGGCATCCGCATGTTGTGCGCCCAGAAGAGGGGCGGCGCCTTCGGGCTGCCCAGTCTGGACGACATGGTCACACACCGGTTCAAGGGGCTTGAGAATGCGAGGCAGGCGTTTGAGCTGGCTGGGCGGACGGTGGATGACGAGGGGAGGATGGTTTTGAAGGTGGTTGTTGAGGCGTGATTCCATTTGATGTTTGGGGGTTCACATGTTGTTGTCTCCTTTATGTCTCCCTTGGAGATGGGCTCACCTTTACTCAGTGCCACCACAAACTAATAGGAGCGAAACAGTGGCCGGGGCTTCTGTGCATCAGAGATGTCTTCTGGTAGCGTCTGCTTAGATCTTAGAACATGTCTTATTTCTTGGTACGTCTGACGTAAAAACCTGACAATTACATGAGGTAAATATACCGGAAAATCGCTTCATGGTAGATTTGTTCTCATTTCTACCTGTACTATGCAAGTTCGGGGCTGGATTGAATGTGTTGAACATGGCCTGCTTTTACCGACAATTAGAATGTACAGAGGTACATGTGTGATTTTGGTGTTCTCCTCTTCCTACGAAGCCAAACATGGTCAACTTCGCTGCAGCGATTATGTACCGCAAAGCAGATACACCTGGTCGGGAGATTTATGTCTTTGTCCGATCTTCCTATTTAAGACAAGCATGGACATTTTTCTCCGAATATTCTGATTAATCCACCAGGAGAACCAAGAGTGCAAGAAGTTCCCAGTCGATATATCCTGTCACTCATTCCCCGAGGGCTTGCTTCTAAACAGCCGTCTGGCCTCAGTTGGCCGAGATGATGACCGCGGCCAACAAACTGAAGACGTGTTAGTCATCTTGACCAGTTCATCTGCCCTTGAATTGTCGTCCACGGCAAAGGATCCGTAATACAAGGTCTATGCGGTGTGACCAGTCCACTTTCCGGTGCCCCTAAAACGCCGTGCTCTTCCGTGATTCTCGTAAATGCCATAATGTCAATTGCCTCCCAACGCCAGCGGTGGTGATAGAGTCGTACGCGAGGGACGAGAAAGGTAGCCTTTTACATCAAATCGCCGGCTGCAGACAATGGTCCAGGTCGGCCGCCCTTTCCGTGCTGAGAATGGCCAAATCCAGGTGCCTGAGAAGCGAAAGCAGCCACACGTTGGTTGTTGTGTGCCCTCTCTGTTTCAATAGCGTGGAATTTCTTGCCAATGTCTCTGGTGGCCCCGGCCCGGTTCATGAGCTCGGTGAGGAGCTGGATCGTGCTGACATCGTTCTCCTCGCTAAGGAGTTCCTCCTTGAAAGCCTCGGCGTCAGACGGCTCGACGATGCTGAGACGGTGGACAAGGGCCTGCACGAGGCGCAGCAACGTCTGGGAAGGTTCGATTTGCTCGCCGGCGGCAACCTCGGAGTTGACCTCGTCCATGTATGGGGGAGGGAGCCTTTGCAGGTACTTGATGATGAGATCGATCCGCGCCTGCAGCATCTTGATGGCGTTGGCCTTGGTGGTGAGTGCCGAAATCATCTCCTCATCCTCCCTGGACAATGTCACAGTCTCAGGGTCGACCTTTTCGTCTTCCTTCACGGCTTCTTGTGCCTTGCCCTTTCCTTTGCCCTTCACGTCAAGCTTCAGAAGCTCCTCTTGTACTCGCTCCGAGGCAGCATTGGCAGCGGCACCAGCAACCGAGGTCATGCCGATCATTTCCGCCTCGTGCGTCTCGACGGTGAATGGGAGCTCCCTGAGTTTGAGCTTCAGCGGGGAGTCGCCATCCTTCATCTCCTTGTCCTCGCCGTCTGCAGTGGTGTCTCTGGCGGCATCGTCGACCTCGTACGCCGTCTCGTAGACGGTAAAGGGCAGCTTTCCACCAACAGACTCCTCGCCCACCTCATCCCTATGGAAGCCGAGCAGGACGGCGGACTCGTTGTAGGAAAGAACCTGGTTGTGTATGGGGTGGACGTGGCTGCCTGGTCCGGTTCGGGGGGTCACGGTGAACCAACCCACCAGGTCGAGAGTGCGATCCTTATGCACGAGTCTCACTATTCATTGGACGTCAGTACACAGTGCGGTGGGCAATCATTTGGGGAGCCGGAAAGCCAGACATACTCTGCTCCAGGCGAGTCTCGAACCAGAGAGGCTCTAGGGTGACCTGGCCTCCGTTCACCAGGGTCTTGACCTCGTAGGCGTGCTCGATGGTGACCTCGCGGCCATTCTGCTGACCGAACAGTGCTCCCACGATCGGGCCCGGCTGCTTCCTCAGGTAATGTCTCGTTACGTAGTCGCCGATGTTGATCACGGGCATCGGGTGCAGGATGACGGACTCCATATTGGGCGAATGGTAACACGGGTCCCAGTTGCGAGCTCTTGTGATTGTGTGGGAGTTCGGAGCTGTTGCTCTGCGACGGACTGCCAGGCAGACAGACGCAACTGCCCGGTAGTACTAGCCTGCCCCGGCAGCGTTGTTTGGAGGGGCAGATGGTGGGTAAGCTGTCTGGGTTGCGGCAGCTAGGCCCCTGCCCCTGCCCAACCTCAGCGGGTCGCGGGGAAGTCAGTGTTGGCCCGTGCGGCATTTTGGACTCCAAAGCCTAGTCTACAACTAAATACTTAGGTACCTAGGTACTTAGGTACCTACTCTACCAAAATGCTACACAGTTATGATCCATGGGAGTCAGAATAGGAGGCTGTCCAGTCAGAGCTTGTCAAAAACCAGGAGTATCAATCCTCACCTACTCAAGTACCAGTAGTCAGTACACACAAAGCGTCAATATTTCGTGGCATGTAGCAACTACACAAAAGCTATCTGGGCCTCCCCCACCAGTCAGCACCCAAGGCAAGCAAACCTTGGAAAGCCATTTTCACATTGCCACTGTAAATAGTTGTGCACATTTCAATCCCCACAACACTCCCATGAGGAAGTCAAAGCATGCTTGCCAAAGACTGGTCATGGCTTTTTCCTGAGTTGTAGATTGTTGTCGTTGTTGCTGTGTTACTCGTCTCAGAGATTCCTTGGAGATCTGATTTTGCTCCAATGTAGCCGCATAGCAGACATCTAAGCAAGGCTTTCACTTTTAAAGGCCGAGATGCAGTGACAAGTTTGTGTAGATTCAGCACATCCTGGCATGACTTTTGTACACTCGGAATTAGGGGTCCTCTTGCTAAAGTGTAGGACAGATGAGTTGAATTCAGTTGAATAAGCATTTTCAGAGTCCTCAGGTGAGCGTGGTAAGCCACTAGTGCTTGGTTGTTTCGTTCATTTGGTGGGTCTACTTATGTCTGGAAACTTGCAAAGACAAAATGTGACACAGTTCCTTTTCTGTCCACAACCCATTGAGGTGAATGAGAGTTCCAGGGGTCCCTAGGCCGAAAAAGTGGTTTTACAAATTCACCATGTGGGTTCCTCTTCTACCTGTGTGTGGATTGAGGCAACTCGTCTTCTTTGCTCCTCTCAAACAGCAAGTGAAGACAAGGAGTTACATCAAGGACCCTTGTCCCGGTCCAGCCCGTCTTTGTCAATTTTGCAATGTTCTTTCAAGCAAGAGGCCACAGCCAAAATTTATGTTTGATGGGGCTTGACTAGCAAGTGAGTATGCCATAGTCCCTGAAATGCTTGAGGCAAGTTGGCAATAACTTGAGGAGACTAGTCTCAAGGGTTGATCTCAATCCATGACGAGCTATCAAAATACACTTGCGCCAGATGCTTCCAAACAGTCATCAGATCATCTGGAGCATAGCTTGGACTTCCGGAGCTTCAGTACACTCATAATCCACAGTGGATTGTTCTAGGGGCGCCCCGAACATGGACTCCGCCTCCACGCACAACCCGAGTAATGGCTCCTTTCCAATCAAGAGGAAGCCGGAGGAAGAGGTCCAGTTTGTCTCTTCAAAACCGGTGAAGAAGGGCCGTGGCAGTAAAGACTCCCCAGCAGAGGCCCACCCTGCTGTTGACCAGGTCAATACATCCAGAGTATGTCCTCCACATGGAGACGCTCATCCTGTCAATACTCCTACCCACGTTGGTCCGAGCCTCCCGGCGAGTCAACCGCTCCACGAGCTAAGCAACTTCAATCGCGGCGCTTCCTTGCCCAGTATGGAGAACTATGTGTTCCCTCCACCTCTTGATGGGATCCCCAGCCAGACTTCTCGGAGCTCTCCGATGCTGTCTCCTAAGCAGTTGCCACAAGCTGTTCCTTCAAGCCAAGCCGACAATCAGCTGAACCCTTCAGTACATCTGAATGCCAACGATGCGAAGCTACCGGCTTGGTGCAATGTTTCGTGGGCACCGTCTTGCATGCCACCCCAGTCAATGTCTATGAATGCCCCCATGACTCCCAACCAGTCGGTGATGACCCCATACACCCAGCCACCAGTGCCGGAACCGTCTCCGCCTGTCCATGGAGAGAAGCAAAAGTCGAGGACGTCTGATAAGTTGGCGACTCTGCCGCCCCAGTGTTCTGAGTCGGTCATTCAGCCTCGCAAAGACTTGGGCACGGAGAACACCCACAGCAGCCAAGAGTATCCTCTGGAGGCAATCTCTGGGCCGATTCAGACCACGCAGCCTTCCGGGCCACAGATACCATGGCAGCCTGCCCAGTCCACCTCGCAGATTCCACCAGGGCCAGCACCTCACATTCAATCGCCGGCACAGCAACACGTGGGCAACAGCCACGGCTACGTCGTAGCAAATGCGCACGCGTTACCTCCGAAACCACCGTGTCTTGCTTGTGAGCAGATGCGACAACAGGCTTTGCACAATAAGGCGGCTATCTATCCTGTTGTTGGGAATTCACCCCATGATGGCTGGCATGGCCCTGAAGTTGCCCATGGGAATCACCCTGCTCATATGCAGCCTATGCCATTCCCAGCTGGTGGTTTCGGTGTGCGCCCTAATATGGTCCAAAGCCATTTGCATAGACCACAGCACCTCTATCACGGACAGGTGCCGATGGGTTACGGCATGACACCAGTCTCGACTCAAGTACCATATCCAGCTCCAGTTCAGAGAGCATTACCGGTACCACAACTGGGCACAAGCGACTCTCCTTCGGGGGTTTCCTCTCAGAAGTTCACCAACCCACAATTGAATGCATCCCCGGTGCCGGCCACCATGTCCCGGACGGAGCGTAACCAGCCAGGTGCTTCATCTCAGGCACTGTCAACGCAGCCAAGCTCGGCAACAGCCTCTTCTCCTAATCCAGCGGCGGCTGCTACACCTCGACCGCCGACTCCCCCACCATCAGAGAGCCACTCGCCAAACCTAATCGTCGACATAGCCGAAACTTGTGAAGCACTGTTTCCTTGGGACGAGGTCGCAGAGAGACACAATGTGCAGCGTCAGAAGGTCCTCGACACGTTCGCGGCCATCATCCAGCTGCCTTTGATCCGGTGTACGACCGACAAGAAGCGACACGGGAGGCTGGCGACGAACAGGCTGAAGGATTACACCAGGGGCAAGAACATCATGAACATGGCGTCCTCTGGGTCCCCGGCGACTACCGCAACCGCGCCGTCCAAGTCGAATTCCAAAGAGAACCATGGCGACAGGGCTGTTCTTCCTGGCGTCGTGGAGCTAGCCAACTCAATGGCACCGGTTACTTTTCCTTCGGCCCTCGCGCAGAAATACCCAGGGACGTGGTGAGAGAAGCCAGCCATGCCAGACCTTCCTCTTCCAACAGGCCGCAACAGCGGCGAAAACAACGGCCAAAGCTTCACCTGCTGTTCAACAACCTATCCCAATCAACCGGCCGGCCGAGATTCTCCTCAACGAACTGCTCGTACATGCCCGGAAAGCGCACGGGGACCGAAGGGTCCAGGCCGCGGACCCTGGTGCGGCCGAGGTCCTGCATCTGGCGCGACTGCCTGTCGCGCAGGCGCCTCTCGAGGGTGGTGGCCTCCTGCGCGCGGCCCTCGAGCACCGCCGCGCGGAGCCGCGCGGTCAGCCGGTCTCGCTCGGCCCCGTATCGCAGCAGGATCTGCGACCTGTTGAACTCCGGGTCGCACTGGGCGCAGGTGCAGGCCAGCGAGTTGCGCCTGTCGGGCAGGACGCATTTCCTCGGGCACCGGGAGGTCCAGTGCACGAGGTAGTGGCCGCACATCATTTTGTACGCTAGGCCGGTGCACATTCTTGGTTTCCTTTTCTTTTCTGTTTTTTCCTTCTCCGGGGGAACTGGGGTTCTGAAGCTGGTGTGTCTTATCTCGGGGTGGTCTTGCCCTCGGTATCCAATGTATCTCGAAATTTCTCACTGCTCGGCCAAAAGGAACATCGAATACTGGTCAAGTCGCTGGTAACAGAGAATTGGTCATTTCTGAGTTAGTGCTGCTTGCCAGCCGTGATGACAGCACCGCAAGCTGAGATGGGTGGGCAGCGTATTGCGGAGGTCGGTCAGAAAAGTGACAAAGAAATCAACAGGTTTGCGAAAAAGTGATCGTTGCTTGTCTCGGCCTTGCCCCAACCTGGCCAATTGTTCCCTGAGACATGACCAAACGAAATGTCTCTGTCACATCCAACTGGGCCGTAAGAAATGTGGACGGGGGAGGAGCTGAGAAGTCACTTGCTCCCTTAATAATCTGTCTGGTCCCGTGCGCCTGAGGGTAGTGCCAACGTGGATTTTCTCAGGTCGCACTAGCATCGTCACAATCTCGAAAGGCCGGATATCCCTGGCGAGAAGGGCTTCGGACCGTCATAGCTGTGGTGGTTGATGTTACTTCCTGGCGGTATCGGTTGAGTCTCGGGACGCCGTTGTGGGCTAAGGATGTTGGACGTCCGGGAACAATCGTCGTCCTCAGTGGAGTTTCCTCGGTAGCGCAGCGCCTAAGTCGTTTTAGTGTTGTCGTGCTTCGAGGTCTCATCTAGTTAGCCTTAGTGTTCTGTCACATTACTTTTCCTCCCTAGTGCTACTTGGGCAGCAAGAGCCGCGCTTCATCCTAGGACTACCCGGCTCGGCTGGTGGTGCCAAGCAGGCGAATCGCTCCCAAGGATCCGCCTTCGGGAGTCGTCATCTTCCACCTGAAAGAAGACATCTGACTGAATAAGCCTGCTGCATTCCAACAAATTCACACGTGTACCGGTTTGACTTTTGGAATCCGAGTCAGGGAAAGGCTCCAGGATTGCTCCTTCTCACTGCATAATCATTAGTCGTATATATCTTGACGAGGCTGTTTACATTGTTCTGGGTGCTTCCGAGCCTGGCCGCCGGAGCCGCCTTATCTGTGCGGTCTAATTGACAGAATTGGTAATTCGTCCTCCGGGCCCTTTCCAGCGAAGCTAACAGAACTGACGCCGGGTGAGCGGCTGGCATGCTGATGGACTCCTGGGCCCAGACCCGACTCTCCACCATCGAGTTCGAAGAATTCCGATTGCCCGGGGGTGTCCGGGATCGGATATCGAGAAGGTATCGCGACGACGGGTGGGCTCCTCAGTGTTTTCCTCCAACGTCTCCGTATGCGCCTCGGTACCAATTTCCGGTAGAAATAATCTCGAAAAGACTTCGTTGTGCCAAAGACTATGAAGGCGAGGAGACTAGCGGAAACGCCCGGCAGAAAGGTCAAAACGTCTCCAATGGCTCGTTGATAGGTCAGATTAACAACAGATCCCTGGGAACCTTTGCCATTATCTCTGGCAAAGCTGATTTCATTCGTGATGACCACCAGCTGGAATGCTCTATGAGAACCGTCAGAATTGCAAAGGCCAGGAAGGTAAAGCCAAATTGAGACTCACGATAAACCCGCGAAGGTAAGAGTGAAACGGGTAACCAGCCAACTGTCATAGATGCTCTTCTGTTGCAGTGGGACTCCGCCAGTACTGCTGGCAAGACTTGCAGCGACCGTGCTTTGAGTAGTTGAAGGGCCATTTCCAGCAATAGTCGAACGATCAGCGTAACCAACATGCTGTTTTGTCTATGTTAGCAAACATCCTTTCCGTCTTCCTGACAATACACCGCAGTGCACTTCGTCTTGGTAGTGGCTCTCCTCAGCATGGGGCGCAGAGCTAATGGGGACAAAGACGCGTACCCAGGACGTCGAGGCTCTTGTTGCCACATATCTCGCAAGGATAGCCAGAAGGAGGATCGTGCCGAGCGAAAGGCTGACACCCACTTCAGAGAATGATCAGTATTTGTAAAGAGGGGGCACAGGCAGTCTTGATACGTAGAACTCACTAATCACGTTTGCAAGGAAGTAGAATCCAATGGTTGAGCTTTGAACAACGTCGGTTCGCATCAAGCTCACTTGGACGATGGGAAGAATGACTGCGGTAGTTTTGGCGGAATAGCTTCCGTATCGAGTAGCTGATCCCGTTGCTTTCAAATGGTAGATAGAGTAAGCCAGCTCTGTACACCTACTTTCAGGTCAGACACCACACTGGTCGGACTACTCCTCGCAGACTAGAGCTTACCATGAGACGACGAGAATGGATTCAACATTGTAACAATAGTATTCTGAACTAGGTCAGCAAGACAGCATTCCATGGTTGGTAACCCAGATATCCAAGACAACTGACGAATATAGAACAACACAAGATCAATGCCTTCCGAGGCCCCGGCCACGGATAACTCAGGATTTCCGGCTCGTGTGCTCACATAATCAAACTGGTCAAGCTTGATCGAAGTCCACTGGAGGTATGTGTGGAGCTGTTGTGCCTTTGGACCTGTCAGTCTACCTCGAACACCCTGAACATCGGGATAAGCGCCGTCAATGTCTCTGGGCGGCAGGAGGGCGGCAGTGAAGACTGACCATGGAAGCTATTGTGCTCAGGGATGTGAAGAAGGCAAAGAATGCCACATCTTTGACAAACATGTTAGCTGGGTGTGCAGATGACTGACTGTTTGGAACAGACTCACAACTCTTCCACTCCCGGTGGGCAATTGTGGCCCACAGCAGAGCACAACTCAAGATCAAACATATCAAACTATAGACTGATACGCCGATCGCTGGCCCGACAGCCTCAGAAGGCAGCTCCTGACCGACTAAGAAACTCTTTTGTCAGCAAACCGCTCCTGAATTATGCTGCAGAAAGGCGAGCAAAGATGTATTGCGTCTTTGGACGATTGCAACTCGTGGTGTAAAATTCTCCGAGAAAGAGACGACGTACTGCCGGACATCACCGCGATGTAGTCATGCGAGGCTCTTTGCCTGCTCAGGCAGGGTTATAGCCAATGTGGATCGATGCAAGGACGACAGAAGGAACGAATGCAGAAAACAGCCGGGGTTAACATAACATTGAAAAACGAGGGAAACCGGGCAAAGGGAAAAGGTAAAGGAGTGACGTTGCTATGTACTTGTTTTACATCCAAGTAGCAGGGAGCGATTGTGGCAAAACAAGGAAAAGGAAAACTAGAATGAAAAAGAATGAACTTGTTGAGAGACCTTGACGATACCGGATCGCGCCTGGGCAGCTGGGATGGCATTTAGAGCTGGCAGCGAGTGCCGAAAAGGTCGTGACGGGCAGGGCATGTTCAGGGGTCGGGCACCGGGGTGTGGTGTGCTCGACGAAACCACCAGGGATGAGGACGTGGTTTGGCATGGACCACGGTTCCAAATGGAGGAAGCAGTCGACGGCGGATGGGTCCTGGTGGGAAATGCGTTTCAGCTGCCCAAACCTGCCAGCTGGCGACGAGTTGACGACGCCATCTCTGTCGGGAAACCCGAGTCTGTAATGCAGTCGTCGAGGCGCCGGATGCCGCCGCCTTGTTCACCTTCGAGACATTGCCTGAGGTAAGTTCCGTGACGACGTGCAGCGTGTCTCTCTGGCACAATGTTGCCCAGTGGACATTGCTTTGTCCGCGACTCGACGGTTCCGGGTGGCTGGATGCGAGACCCATCCAAGAGACAATCTATTTCAGCACATGTGCTGCTGGGGCCACCCAGGAAAGGTGGGAGCTGGACCTTGGAATACGACGGTGATTGCTCGCAGCTCTGGCGGGTTGCGACGATGGATCTTAATGCAATCTCTGGACAAGCATCCGTACCGAGAACAAAAGAATTGTACGAGGTCTGTGCTCGCACATCAGATAGGCTCAGCTGAGGTGCTACGATACGGGCTAACGTGATTGATGTTGCTGGATTGATTTTCCTGCGAGCGAGGGAGCCAAGCTGCCAGGCTGCCTCGGCGGCGTCTGAGGGCCTGGTGGGCAGGTGCGGCAGTTGAGAGAGGGCTAAGAGGTCGATCGCTGGCAGGCCCCGCTTGGGACATTTTACCCCCAGCACTTTCGGGCCCAGCTCCGAGGCCACGGTCTCGACTAAGGGATGGCGAAGCTGGGGGGACTCATCCGAATGGCCAGGGAGGGTCGAGCACTACCCACAGTACCTAAAAGCGGCTGATTGCGTGCAGCACGTATATCACAGGGGGTGGAGCTTCCATCCCCGGCCATGTGGCTGAAGCCGTCTGAAGCCACCTCGTCCGGTAATTAAACGTCCAAAAAAACTAGCAGAACTATTCGGGACGGAAGCTGATGGAGCTGATGAAGCTCGACAGAAACCCAGAAACCCAGAAACCCTCCTCCTGCCTTGCCGTCTGGCTTCTCCGTGCGGCCACGTGCCACGGGCCGCCACTTGACTGGAGTACAACGTGTGTAACTTCCAAGCTTGTTCTTACGCAATCTGCTGTATGAGCTTGAGTGCCTGGCGCATCCTTTGATCAGTTTGTGATATCTGTACGCGCGTGTCCGATCTGATCGCCGCCGGGTCAGGGCGATCTTGGACGGTGGGGTTGATTGGGTTTTGCCGATGCAGCCCTGCGGCTGGGTCTGCCGTCAATCCAGCCGGAACGGAGCAAGCAGTACAGTGAGTGAGCTACAGTGGACCGCTGCCACACTGTGCCCATTTAACGCTGCAGTCCAACTTTGTCGGCAGTGAACACCAAGACGCGTCTGCCCAGTGCTCACGCGTCTTTGCACTGAATTGACAGCGGCAACTGTCACAACCCCACCATTCTAATTCGTAACCGCCTTACCCTTGACCCTCAACTCGATTGTTGAATCATCTCTCATCTCTCGTCTCCACAAATCCACAAAGCATTCTTGCTTTCGGTCCAAGCCTGCTTCGCGAGCATTTCTCGCCACCCCTCCACCATATCTCAACTGGAAACTCTGCCCTCCGATCACCATGCCTGAGTGGGAACCAGTGCTGCCTGTGGGCTGGGAGCACGGAAATAGAGCCTTCCTGCAGGCTTTCATGGCCCGCGGCTCCATAACGCAAGCCGAGGGAAAGTCCATCATAGCCGCTATTCTGTCAGCAGAAGACAACTCAGCACATAGGATAACCCCTGATTCGATCGACGACAACACATTCAGGCAGCATGTCAGCAAAGCGCGCGAGGCTGTAGCATCACTGGACTACGACATCCGTAACACGTATCACCAGGTCAGCCGAGAGCAAATATGGGCGCTCATCAACGTGCACAGCGACCCCAGCACTCAGTTGGCGACCTCGCGAACTCCCGACGAGATCTCGTTCATCAAGAGAGTGCTTGATGCCATGTTCGAGACCTACAACACGCCAAGGCAGGAGGTCATGGCGGTCACGGCAGCGCAGGCCAGGAAGGTCGCCCGGCCAGCGCCATCGGCACCAGCACAGGACGGCGATGCCGACGGCCAGGAGCCGACGCAGCGGACCGCAGACAGGGCACTAAAGCACAGCGAGATCGAGAGACTGCTGCCCAGCCTGGTCGCCGAGGGATGGTTCGAGGAAAGCGACGAGGGCTTCTACAGCCTGAGCCCACGCTCGCTCATGGAGCTCAGGACGTGGCTGGTGGCAGCCTACAACGACCCCGACGTCGCGCCTGAGGCGTGGCAGCGCATAAAATTCTGTGAGGCGTGCAAGGAGGTCGTGACGGTCGGGCAGAGGTGTCCTGAGCGAGACTGCAACGTCCGGATTCATGACATCTGCACAGAGGCCTACTGGCGCACGCGCAGGGATGGGCGTACGTGTCCCCGATGCGAGACGGCGTGGACGGGTAAAAACTACGTTGGCGAGAGGGCTGTGACGGAAACAGCTGCGGCGCACCGCCAGGCCGGCCGAAACAGAGGGAGCAATGCGAATGCGTCGATGGTGGACGAGGAGGCAGACGAGGATGGTGGAGATTGAATGAGAGGTGCATGCAGTGGACATGCCAGACTGCCAATTCCGATGAGAGAGAAAGAGGGAAGACTACCAGGCGGCCTCATAACGTAAGTGCCGTGTTGAGAAAGAAAAAAGACGGGTTTCGAGGCCTCAGCCTCAGAAGAACGAGAACGCTCGATGAGGATCGGATGTCAAAGATGGGAAAGAAGCCTTGTGCTGAGAGACCAAGGCCGCCTGCGGAAGAAAGTTCTGATCTGTTTACGTTGGGCAGTGCTCCTATCAAGGACCAGTCACGTTCTGCTATTGTTTGGCTGCTGCAGAAGCGAAATATTCTACGATACCCAGCCACACCAGAATGGCATTGACATGAAACGAGCGGCTAAGTGGCATACCTTCTATATCGAACCGCCGCGTGCGTAACCCTTGCCAATGTGACGTCACCCCACCCAGAGGCACACCTGGGCCGAGCCGGGCCCCAAGGCAGGGCCCTGGAATTCTGGCGACTCTGGACAACCATTTGGCGGGGTAGCTGGGTGGTTGGAAGGGAGCTACGACTACTGACGGCTCAAGAAGCTTGGAACGGTGGCTGTGTGCTCTGCAGCTAGGCACGCCAGAACGGGCGGCCTCGACAAAGCCTCGCCACACACCATCATGTGCCACCCTGGATGACATCTCTACTGCGCTGACTTGGACAATAGCTCGATCAAACAAAAGGCAGACCTTGGTCGCAACCAACTTTCCCAACCTCTTCTGATTGCTTTCCTCATCCACTCCTGACACACATCCAACTTGTCCCATTGCCTTCCTAGGCAAATATTCAAAATGCTTGAATACATCGCCTACCGCAAGTTCAAGAAGAACAGGGACCGAAAGGTTGAGGAGAGGACCAAACTCCAGGAAGAAGCTGAAGCAGCCCGGTCGCGATCCAAGTCACCAACAGCCAGCTCCTTGGGACCAGCACCCGGCCCTGTGCTCTCGGATGATGAGCAGCTCTTCTTCGAGAGGCTCACATCTGAGGATGGCTTCTCCGACGAAAATGGAAAGAGGCCACCCCTACCGCCTAGGATGAAGACGCCCGACTGGGACAGCGATACCGACAGCTACGTCAGGAACGAGGATGCCGGGCCCAAAGAAAAGGGCAAAGGCAAGGAGAAGACTGGCGACATCAAGAGGAGCGACAGCAAACAGCAGCCCTCGCGCTTCTCTTTCTTCACGCGCAAGACGGCAAAGAACGACCTCCAGCCCACCAACCTCGCCGTGCCCCAGGCCGAAGAGGAGCGCGAGAAGGACGACATCAACAAGGTCCTGGACGACCTGAACCTGTCTGCGCGCAATAACAAGGCCTTCAGCCTGTCCAAGGAGTCCGCCGAGATGGTGGGCATGTTCACGGTCGTCCTGAAGGACCTGGTCAACGGCGTGCCCACCGCCACCAACGACCTCAAGAAGCTCTTTGACGACCACGACGGCACGCTGGCCAAGAACTACGAGAAGCTGCCCAAGAGCATGCAAAAGATGGTGACCACCCTGCCGACCAAGGTCACCGGCGCCCTCGCGCCGGAGCTCCTCGCGGTGGCTGCAGAGTCGCAGGGCCTCAAGGGCGACGATGCCCCTAAGGGGGGCATCAAGGACCAGGCCATGAAGCTCCTGGTGCCAAAGAACATCTCTGAGCTCGTCACGAAGCCCAGTGCCATAGTGGGAATGCTAAAAGCCATCATGAACTTTTTAAAAGTACGCTGGCCGGCATTCATTGGCACAAACGCTATCTGGAGCGTAGCACTCTTTTGTGAGTACTTATCTTCCCACCTGGATTTTCACTATGCACCTTCTAACTTGTATCTTCCCTAGTGCTCATGTTTGTGCTCTGGTACTGCCACAAGCGCGGTCGCGAGGTCCGCCTCGAGCGGGAGAAGTCCGCCGGTGCTGTCGAGGCGGGCAGCCGTATTGAGGAGCTCTCGGACGATGACTCTGTCGTTGAGTCACGGAGTGGGCGTGCGTCCCCGAAGCGAATCGAAAGCTCAGGGGCGAACTCGCGCAGGAAGTAGGGACTCATGTGCTTTGGGTGTCCGGCTTCCATGCTGTAATGACTGATGATTTTGGGGGACATGCAGCGTGCTGCACGGTGGCGAGCCTAATAATTACAAAGATGCTGGGTTTGGAAATGGGGCATGGCGTTGAATGGTTGCTGGAAAGAATGACAATTATCGAGATACCCTATGAGGAAGGGGTAAATGCGTGCTCACGAGAGACATAATGATCATCGCTCATATAGTCAATGTCAATAAATTCTGGGTATCATGAATGCTCTCTGTACCGAATCAATCAGACGTCTTGGACGACCTCCTTGAACTCCTTGACCGCCTCATTACGTCGTGTCCGGTCAATAACCTTTGCGCCATCCTGCATCCAGAAGTCAACCTCGTCTACAATATCGTACACGATGTCCTCGACGATCTGCTCGTCATAGCGCTCTGCCATCGCCCGGGGGGGCTCTTGCTTAGCCGTGATAGTCGGCTGCTCATCTGTTCCCGTCATGACGACGTCGGCTGCGTTGTCCTGTCCTTGCTGTTCATAACCCGGTGGTGGGTACCAAAACTTTGGGCCAAAGTTGACGGCTGCCGCGCCGCCACGGAAAACACTCACGGCGGGATAGTAGCCGAGCATGCCGTCGTCAAGGCCATCTCGTGCGTCAGGCTGCTTAGCCATGGCCGGCTTAGACGCCTGCGGCAAGAACGCCAAAAGATTGGTGAATGCGGTGCCCACCTCGACACCGTTCTTGTAGGCCTTGATCCAAGACTTCGGGAGCGTACGTAGACATGGAACCCGATGGGTGGGGTTGGGGCCCTCTGATTGTCCTGCACCCGACCCAGACGTAGACATCGGTGATGGGTTCATCAGATCCTCGAGTTCGGGTGAGGTGTGGTAGTCGGGTGTCTCGAAGTAGATATGTGCTTTGAATCGGATCGGCAGGCGATCGCGGACGATATTGAGTGCTTCAGTCGTCGAGTTGTCTGCCTCTTCCAGCAAGTCAACAGCAGGGTTGAAGTGGCCTGTCACCACTTTCCGGTGTATCTGTTCAGAGGGAAGGTTGATCTCGAGCCCTAGCACGTCGCCTTCCCGGAGCTCCTCGCCGGGTGGGAAGAAATCCTTCGGCCTAGACATGTGCACCTTCTGCCCCTCCTTATCCCGAATTCCATAGCTGTAGGCATCGAATCCCGCCGGTGCATCCACCGCGGCTTCTCTCCGTGCGAAGCCTATGCGGACATGGCCGTGCGATTCTGGTTGGTCTGAGCCTGGTGGCGGTGGCTCCCTCAGTATGCCCCTCGTGATTTTGCACTCCCAGTACCAGCGGCCCTCCCTAATCGCGAAGTTTGCTCGAGACATTCTCCATCCTTTGTCAGTCGTGATGTGGGTCCCGGACTTGTCAAAGAGAAGGTGCGTTGCGGCATCCTCGAAGCTCATGTGTGCGCCGAAGGGTTCTGGTTCGGTCTGCCTGTAGTAAAAGGAAGAGGGGAACTTGGGGTCTGCGATGCAGTGGGTGTAGTAGTACTGCTTCTTGTTGTATACACTTGGATTGCGTCAGCATTGGTCAGGGGAGGAAGTGATACATGCTTGCTTACTGCTCCTGGGTTTCGAAGAACTCTATGCTCTCGCCATTGGGGCCGGTCACCTCGTGATGAGGGGCAAGTTGTGGTCCACGGGCAGGCTCGAAGTCGGTGGATTTGGGAAGAGGAAGAATGTAGCGTGCTGGCGATATTTCTGCAGCCGGAACATTGGGCCGGCTTTTTTTGGTCTGTCGTGGGTCCGGAGTTGCTCGAGAGCTATCGACGCCGCCGGGGGTACTGGCAGCCTTGGACTCGCGCTTCTTGAGCGACTCTTTCTTGGTGCGCTTTTCCCGTGAGGCAATTGGCGTTTCTTCCGGAATCTGAGGCTTCTTCGGGGTGAAGTCTGGGTTGAGAGGTGAGGATACAGCCGGTACGTGATCATCCTCGAGAGCGCGCTTCTGAGGGAGGGAGGCTGGGCTTGGGGAAGGCGCTGCGGCGGGTGCTGGGACAGGAGTCGCGCCTCCAGTTGGAGGGATCTCAGGGGCCTCGCTGGACATCTTGGATTGACTCGACTGGTAGAGTAGATGCTGTGTAATTGGGCAAAAGCATAGACACCATTTCAAGGCATTGCTCCTAAAAGTAGTCTCGTCTGGCGGTAGGGTTGGGGTGAGCTTGGGACATGATGCGACAAGAGAGCTCCCAGACGCGCCTTTGCGCCGCGGTTGTCTTGATAAGGGGCTCTTATCGATTGGCTTTTGCTAGGCTCCACCCTGCAACTCTAGCACCTAGAGACCTCAATTGTCTACCTGCTTCACAATGTGCCGGCTGAATCTTGATCTTCAGCAAATCTCCAGTCAACAACAACCTCCCGCGTCCCCGCCCACCACGAGCCCTTGCGTGGCACTGAATCGCTCGCCCGCTATCCACGCATCTCTTCTTTTCTCAATGAGAGGCTGTCAGAGAACCTTCCAAGAGTTCTAAACGGCCAGCCTCAGCAAGCAGCACGCGCCGCCGCCTCTTCCACTTTTGAAGTCTTCCCGCTCGTCAAAGCTGTGCAGCTATCATGCCTGTCGTCAAGGGTGGCGTTTGGACCAATATTGAGGATGAGGTTCTCAAAGCTGCCGTTTCCAAATATGGTCTAAACCAGTGGGCGCGTGTATCCTCTCTGCTTGCGCGAAAGACGCCCAAGCAGTGCAAGGCAAGATGGCAAGAATGGCTGGACCCAAGCATTAAAAAGGTGGAGTTCACCAAGGAGGAAGATGAAAAGCTGCTCCACCTGGCGAAGTTGATGCCCACGCAATGGCGAACCATCGCTCCTCTTGTCGGCCGAACTGCCAACCAATGTATCGAACGCTACCAGAAACTCCTGGATGAGGCAGAGCAGAGGGAGGCCTCGGAGCTTAGCTTGACAGGAGGCGATGAGACCTCCGCACCGACGGCCGATGACGTTAGAAAGCTGCGACCAGGCGAGGTCGACCCTGACCCAGAAACGAAGCCTGCGCGGCCGGACACTATCGACCTCGATGAAGACGAAAAAGAGATGCTCAGCGAGGCACGAGCTCGCTTGGCCAACACACAGGGAAAGAAGGCGAAGCGAAAGGCCCGAGAGCGACAGCAGGAGGAGTCCAGACGACTCGCTGCTCTGCAGAAGCGACGCGAGTTGAAGACAGCCGGTATCAACATTAAGGTCACTACGCGAAAGAAGGGCCAGATGGACTACAATGCCGACATCCCTTTTGAAAAGAAAGCAGCGCCGGGGTTTTACGACACGAACGAGGAGCTTGCGCTGAACGAGAGGCAGCGAGCAAACTTTGATCCCAGGAAGCAACAGCTGGCACAGGCGAAGAGGAAGCAGGATGAAGAGGACGAAGCTGGGCGCAAGAGGAGGAAGGCGGACAAGGACGCCCCTTCGGCGTCGTACCGGGAGGCGCTCAAGGCCGGCCAAGCGCAGCGCCTCAGGGAAGCAGAACAGAGCAGTAAGAGAAGAGCCCTCCATTTGCCAGCCCCGCAAGTTGGTGAAGGGGAGCTGGAGGACATTGTGAAGATGGGCATGATTGGCGAGCGTGCAAACACCATGGCCGAGGGCGACGGTGATGCCACACGAGGACTTGTCAACTCGTACTCTGCGCTCAACACAGGAGCACCGATCCGAACGCCGAAAGCTCCTGCTCACGAAGACCACATCGCCAACGAGATCAGGAACATCCGGGCGTTGACCGAGACACAGTCTTCTCTCCTTGGTGGCGAGAACACGCCGCTGCACGAAGGTGCTGGCTCAACAGGCTTCGAGTCTGCCGCTCCAAGGATGCAGAATATTGTCACCCCCAACCCGCTTGCGACGCCTCTCAGGTCAGGTGCAAATGGCGTCGGTGCTACACCTCTACGTCCAGGACAGACACCGCTGCGGACACCACGTGATAGCTTTGCCCTCAACAGTCAGAGCAACGACATGGTCCTGAGGCACAGACTTCAACAAGGCCTGGCATCTCTTCCAAAACCCAAACAACAATCATGGGAGCTCGAGCTGCCAGAGGAACAGCAAGAGGCGACGGTGACCGAGAATGGGCTGCCGGAGGATGCCGCCGAACGTGACCGCAGGGAACGGGAATTCCGTGAAGCGCAGGAACTCCTTGAGAGGAAAAGGCGCACGCAGGTCATGCAGCGAGGGCTCCCACGGCCCCTCTCCGTCAATCTAGCAGCACTTTCGCGAGCTGCCGATGAGCTTGAGGATCCCGCGGAGAAAGCTATTGCGCGTGAAGCAGCACTACTCATGGCTAACGACGCTGCTAAATATCCTCTTGCTGGTGGTCCCCGCAGCGGAGAGGCTCCCAGCCTGGCCCAGATTGACGATGATGCACTAGCGGAAGCGAGACGCCAAATTCTGATGGACATCAAGGACAAGCCGAAGCCTGAGGAAGTAGAGACTGCATGGGCCAAGAGCAACAACAACTCTCTCCTTCTGGGTCTGGGATGCTATGATGATAATGAACAGGACGAGTTGGAGGCCATGAAAGTGGCTGCTGAGGAAATCCAAGACACTATGATCGCATCCGCGGAAAAAGGATCCAAGCTGGAGAAGAAGCTGAACTTGCACCTGGGCGGCTACAAGCAGCGCGCTGAGACACTGCGAAAGAAGATTGGCGAGACGGCGACAGACTTGGAGAAGGCAACCAATGCACTCCACGCCTTCGAGATCCTGGCTTCTTCAGAGGAGGTGGCGGTCAGCAACAGGCTGGCTGCTCTGCGTGACGAGGTCAGCTTTGTGAGCAGGAGGGAGAGAGTAGCGCAGGAGGCATATAGGCGGAACCAGGAAGAGCTCAGTGCTCTGAGGGCCGACGGCGCGAATGGGTTTTGATCAAAAGCATATTGCAGACAGGGGCAGGGCGGGCGGGCACGAAGGAGTGTATACTTAAGTACTATAGGTTCAAAATTGAGTGGTCGAGTGAGGGCTAATGTAGAGGATGTCGGCCCAGAAATGGTAATTGCGTCATCTGCACCTTTCCTCGGTATCACGCGCAGTGCATGTTTGGAAAACCGTTGGTTCAGTGATTATCGAGGGCGAGTTGTGGAAATCAATACCCTGTTGGGTGCTCCTCTCTGTTCTCAGACCCTGGTCGCACGCTAAAGTACTTACTTACCTATCCAGGTGTACGCCCACTTGTTTAGGCAGGCAGTCGGTCACAACGGCAAATTTATATCACAACTTCCCTCTGGCACGCGACACCTCACTTCGAGGGCGACGTGGATTGGACAAGAAGGTTTCCTCGGCAGTAGCATGTGGGCGGCCAGGAAGATGGCGTCCACAGCAAGATCAGCCACCCACGGGGCGCTCACCTTTGAGCTGGTAGCCCAGTGCTCTGTAAGTTGTGTCATGTCTGCAGGCATCACCAGCCTTGTAGAGAGAGAGAGGTCTGTTGACTGACTGGACGGTGCGCCCACACCAGGAATAGACCACACGAGCCCGCGCCTCCGTCCTCACCCTGCCCCACGGGCCCGTCAACCTGCCCATCTTCATGCCGGTGGCCACGCAGGCCTCGCTCAAGGGCATCACGCCCGAGCAGCTGGAGCAGACCGGCTGCCGCCTGTGCCTCAACAACACGTACCATCTGGGCCTCAAGCCCGGCCAGGAGGTCCTCGACGCCGTCGGCGGCGCGCACAAGCTGCAGGGCTGGGGTCACAACATCCTGACTGACAGCGGAGGGTACGCAAATGGCCCACTCTCCCCCCCCCCCGGACACGGGCCGTGATGGCGCATGGCAGACAGGGCCAACGGGTCGGCAGCGACGTTACAGGCGTACAAAGACAGCCAGCCAGCCAGCCAGACAGGCATAGTATATAGACACCCCGAGGACATGCAGAGAAACACAGAGAGGAAGAGTCAGGAGGACCCGAACAGGCATTGGCTTACAACGACAGGTTCCAGATGGTCTCCCTCCTAAAGCTCGCGACCATAACCGAAGAGGGCGTCCGCTTCCTCTCCCCCCACGACGGCACGCCCATGCTCCTGACCCCGGAGCACTCCATGTCGCTGCAGAACTCGATCGGCTCCGACATCATGATGCAGCTGGACGACGTGCTGGTGACGACGTCGCCCGACGCCGCGCGCATGCGCGAGGCCATGGAGCGCAGCGTGCGGTGGCTGGACCGCTGCATCGCCGCCCACCGCAACACGGCCGCGCAGAACCTCTTCTGCATCATCCAGGGCGGGCTCGACGTCGGCATGCGCCGCGAGTGCACGGCCGCCATGGTCGCCCGCGACACGCCCGGCATCGCCATCGGCGGGCTGAGCGGCGGCGAGGCCAAGGCCGACACCTGCCGCGTCGTCGCCGCCTGCACCGCGATGCTGCCCGACCTCAAGCCGCGCTACGTCATGGGCGTCGGCTACCCCGAGGACCTGGTGGTCAGCGTGGCCCTGGGCGCCGACATGTTCGACTGCGTGTGGCCGACGCGCACGGCCCGGTTCGGCAACGCCGTCACCCGCTTCGGCATGCTGAAGCTCAAGCACTCCGAGTACGCGAACGACTTCCGCGTCGTCGAGGAGGGCTGCGGGTGCGTCTGCTGCCGGCCCAGGGGGGACGTGAGGGACGGGGTCGAGGGCCTGGGCATCACAAGGGCCTTCATACACCACAACGTCGGTAAGGAGACCGTCGCGGCTCATCTGCTCACTATTCACAACGTCTGGTATCAGCTGAACCTCATGAGAGAGGTGAGGGATGCCATCATTGCGGACCGTTTTCCTGCCTTCATCAAGGCCTTCTTTGCGAAACTGTACCCAGATAGAAGCCAGTACCCCGAGTGGGCGGTGGATGCGCTCCGAGGAGTCGCGGTGGATTTAATGCAAGACTAGTAGGAAAAGTCTCATATGTCGCACCTGCTATATAGCACCGGTTGAGGCAGTAGGCAAACAGGTTTGTATTAGTTATTGCGTCTTTGGCAATGACCAACCAAGATCCCCGTTCCCTTGAGCGAAGCCCCAGCCCGCGAGAGCAAAAATGCTTTGCGATGAGAAAATTGTACAGAGTGCTTCTAGAAAGACTGTGGGGGACAGCTTCCCTGCCTGCCCATGCAACGAAATGATACAAAATGCTGTCTGTGAATAGACCCCCAGTCCAATGCTGTTCTGTCGTTAAGAAATGCCTTTCGAACATGTGCCGTGACATTATCCGTAATCGTAGATTCGTCGTGATATTCTTCATTCCATCAAGCACATCACATCGAGTCCTCAGCCGTGCCGCATGGCACACTCCGATATCCTCTATCATGCACTTAGCTCCGGCCCCGGGCCCAAGTCGCCCGGCTCGACGTGTGTGCGCCATTCGGACACTCTATCCGCCCCTCTACCAGAGCCGGTGAGGCCAGCTAGATTGCTCGCCTTGGGCGGATCCCTGACGTGCTGCTTCACGGCTGGGACGCCGCGCGGGAGCATATCCTCAGGTTCCTCATGGAACACCGGCCGGGCCGTCCTCCCACCAACGGCAACTCGATCCGCAGATCTCGTGCCACCCGATCTCGGACGATACCTTTCGTCATCGTAGGCATCTCCGGTCTCAACCGTGTATCTCCTTGTCGGCATACTGACATGTCCAGGGGACACGGCCGAGACCATGGTCGGCAAGGGCATCGTCGCAGCAGTCGGTAACGGCGGGGGTCGATGTACGGGGCCCTGGCGAAGATCCGTATTGAACCTATCAGCTAGTCTTCCCAGGGACGCAGCCCGGACGCCCCGGGCGCGGTTGACGTCAAGGACGTAGTCACCGGGCGCATTCCTATCAAAACCTGGTGCGGCATCGTGCGCCATAGGCGGGAGCGGGGGTGGCAGTGGTGGCTCAGGCACCGCCAGCTGACGCGGACGCGGACGGAAGTTGTCATTCATGTGGTGGCCAGCCGCGTTCCCAAGTCCGTGGATATCCCCGAAGCCAGCGATGAAGTCATCCTCGGGGCCTCCTTCAGACTCTTGGTAGCGCTCTAGACGCCTCGCGTATGCTTCGTTATCAAAATGGTGCGATCGCGGACGAGGTCCTGGAAATGCCGACATGCCAGGTCCCGAGCGAGCCTGCCTCGTGGGAGAAGGCGGCATTTCGGCTGCTGGCCGAACGCCGAAACGGTCTCGTACCGGTAAGGGTATCTGCATGTGGTCCAGGTGATCGTCCTCGGAGGGGTCATAGTTGAACCAGGAGCAGTCGCATGTCTTCCACCTGGCCCCGCAGATCATGCAGAACTCAGCCCCGCAACGACTTGTCATTGAGGTCAGATGGGAACTTATCATCTCGCAGAAGGGTAGAGCATAGAGGGCGGGTGGGGGGGGGGGGTGGTTGGGACGGAGAGGGCAGAAAGAAAACATACCATGTCATGTGATTACAGCCCTCTTTAAGTTCGACCATGGCCTTGCACCTGAAGCAATGTTGCCATCCCTCGTCCTTGGCCTGTGCCATAAATCTCAAAGTTTCCTCATCCTTGGGGCAGTCCCTACCACCATGCCACTTGCCGTTGCAGCGCACACAAACCTTTGTCTTACACTTGTCACACCTGCCATACTCGCCGTGACGGATATCCTCGGGGCGGATGAACTCGCCACATCCCTTCTTGGGGCAGTAGAGGCGGTTGCGGGTCGAGTACTCGACAAACTTCTTGTTCCAGGTCCTCTTGAAATCGTTGTCAAACAGGCGATCCACGTGTTTCAATGGGATGGTGGCTGCAGTGCAACATTTGGGCGGCATGTGTTGTGGGTCTGTAATGGACAATTTGAAGCTTCGCTTGAGGCATGAATGGCACATCCGGTGGCCGCATTTAAGCTTGGCCGTCTTGCGGGAAGGGAGATCGTCCATGCAGATGACACATTCCACTCTGAGGTCGGCTGTCAGCAACCATGGCCTGGCCCGCATGATGGAGCGGGTGGGGCTGGACTCACAGTTTTGCACGTTTATCTGTGGCATGATGGTGATGAGAGTGTAGTGACGAACCAAAGAAGCTTCCAAGGAAAGTTGACGATGACGAGCGCCTCGTTGTGTTGCTTACACTGTGATGGTGCGACGCAGCCGCCTGAGAACCGCTAACGGTATTCGACCTCCTCACTGACGCAGATGGTTGCTGGTGGCGGTCGAGCTTTTCTACGACGGCGACCTCGGACTCGTAGTATCGCTTCGGGGACGGCCTGGCCCGGTGTGATGAGCCAGGGGTGCCACCAAAGATAGATGGCAATACATACCGCTTGGGGGTTGGCGAAGGGTCCATGTGGCTCTCGCTGCGCCTTCTTCGATGGTCCGTCTTGGGAGGATCGTCGTGCCTCTGACGCCTATGTTTTGGGCGGCGCTCAAACCGATCTCGAAGACGGTCGTCTTCTTGCGAATTCTCGGATTCCGTGACGTCTGGTTCTGGGATAGGCGGCCTGGCAGACGGGGTTCGGGAGCGGGGCTGCGAGCGAGGGGGAGGAGGTGCAGGGGGAGGTTCGTGGTCGATGGGAAGGGTGTGCCTAGATTCCAATTCATCGTAGTCATCATCCAGCCTGGGGGGATCCCTCCGTCTTGGGCGCGACCGGTGGTAAACCGTCCTCGGCTCTGCCCGAGTTGGGCTTCTGTCGTCGAGGCTCAGGCGCCTCCTGGGCGTCTCAGCCCTCGGGTGCCTTCTGACATGGCGACTATCGTATGTCGTCTCGGTATCGTCATCGTTGGACTCTGTTCCTGACGGGTAGCCCCTGCTCCGGAGGACAGGGGCCGAGGGGACGGCGTGGACGGAACGGGAATGAGAATGGGCCCTGTGGCCGCGGTGGCGTTGCCCGGGCTCATCATATGCCGCCGGCACAAGGTCCCTCTGTGAGGGGCGGCGGTAGGGCACGTCGGCTGGCGATGGCCTCGTCATGGAGGACATGGGCGGGTGGGGCACGCGGGTGCTGGCCCTCGAGGACGAGACAGACTGGGACGGCTGGGACGGCGTGTGGTCGCTGGCACGTGAGCCGGACTGGTAGCGGCGGACGGGACGGTGAGACGACGACGAGGCCCTGGAGGCCCTGGAATCGGGAGTCTGCATTAATATCTCGTCGTGCCTGACCGGGTCGCGGTCGCGGTCCCTGAGGACCAGGCGGTCCCTCGGCATGATCTCGTCGTCTCTGTCCCAGGCCCTGTCTCTGAGCCTGGGCCTGCCCCGGCCCCGGCCCCTACTACTCCTTTGAGGCGGCGAATCTGGTTCTTCATCTTCAGATTCGGGCGAATCGTCGACCATGGGTGCCGGGGGCAGGACGTTGGAGCTCCTCCTACTCCTACCCCTCGAGCTCATTGGGCCCTCGAGGTACTCGAGCCTCTCCATTCGTCACTCCGCGCACGCGTCAGCCCTGATGCGGCGGCATTCGAGGAAAGTGTCAAAAAGACAAACGGGCGTGGGGGAGTGCGGCGGCGGCGAGTGCAAGTGCAAGTGCAGGGGCAACTGGTGCTGATGTCCCGTTCGTTACTGCTGCTGGCACGAGGTCAGAGGGGCACGGGGACACAACAGCCGGGAAGGAGCGAGCACGGCGGATGGCGGATGCGGGCAAAGGTGGGCGGGCGGGCGGTGGAGGAGAGTAGCAGCAGCAGCAACAGCGACGGCAGCAGCAGCGGAAGCGTAGCAGTGCTGGCTCGGAAGGGGGTTTGAATCGCGGGCTGCATGTGCGTCCAGACAGCCAGATGGTTTCACACAAGTGGTTCACTGCAACCCGCGAGGTGCATGAGTGGGGTGAGGCCTGTCAGGCTGTGTGGATGATTGGCATTGTTGTGCTGCGCGGGCGCCAGCTCCTGCAGACGGCCACGGCTAGTTCGCCTCGCACAGGAGATGCAGGGAGACGCAGAGGAGGGAAGAAGTAGAAGAGATTGGGCACCGATAGACGAGGCGGCAGTATGGCTGTGTCACTCCAGGGCGGGCTCGTATATCACAGCCGGGTCTCACTCTGTCCTCCACCTCTACTACAAGGTTAATACTACGGTGCAATGCGGACTGTCATGAACCTGAAAAATCGGAGTGGCTGTCAGCTCTAGCCCACCAAGGGTGGCGTCGGGCCCCCTTTCCTCTTTTCAGCTGACATATGACGGCTTACGGCACTTGAGGCCAAGCCGCGAAATGAAGGGTCCAAAGCCCCTAGCCACTAGCAGGTGAAGACGGCCTTTGACGTAGACGGTTACAAGGCTCGATTGGACGGGGCTGGCAGCTGGACGGGGCTGTTGATAGAATTGGGATGGCTGGGCTGGCAGGCTGGCAGGCTGGCAGGGCGATATCGAGGCGGTGGGTGGGAGGCGAGGCTGGAATCATGTCCAAGTGCATGGGACGGCCATCCGGGGAAGAACCCACCTGCCAGGCAGAAGTCAGCCTGTCCAGAGGGCACTGGTACCAGTGACTGATAGTCCAACCCAATCAATTGGGAAGAAGGAAGAATTGTGTGTCTACATGTGTATGCTGTATATATATCTACCTCGATATGCATATATACTATGTATCTATCTATATATCTGGCACATGTTTGTTTGTGGGCACGACAGAGCACTTGAGGTCTGCAAAACTGCACTTTGGGCCGACCCGCAGGCCGCTGAGGAAAAGAGCTCGGACGGGAGCTGGAGGCGGGACCATCTGTCTGACAGGGATCAGGGTGTCAAGTTCAGCCAAGCCTGGGGCCTTGGACGTGCAGCTTGCAGCATCCCACTCCGCAGGACCCCTTTCGCTCTCGGCTCCGGGCCGGGCCCCTTCCGGCGCCTGGCGGTGGCAGTCCGTGGGCAGTGGCACTGACGGTTGGCGTTGGCACTGACGCGTTGATATTGACATGGGCATTGGCATTGGCTGAAAAGGCAGATGGGATGGGTTGTGTGTGTGTATATACACGTCGTATATATACATGTGTGTATATATATATATATACCAGTATCTGGCCCTGTGGAGTATTTATGGATGCTTTAAGAGCGTCTGATCTATCCCACACCGGTGACTTTCTCTCTCTACTACATATGAGTCTCTTCACGTTATAAATAGAGCTGTCATGTCCGGTCGGTAACATCTGTACGGAGTAGTGTAGTCGCTTCATCTGGCTGAAACGGCGTCACCTGGCCGGGCCGGGCTTGCACGTGAGGTGCCTGGTGCCTGGTGCCTGGTGCCTGTTGCCGGTGTGTGTTGCCATCATGCAGATGGGTGCAGCTGGACAGCCTGACAGCTTGCGAGAATCCCAGCTGGACGGGCCTTGGGGTGTATTTCAGGGGTGTTACTGCTGCATTGGGTCTCAAACCCCAACTGCCCCGTTGCCCGCTGCCCTCAAGCTTCGGAGCTACCATGCGTTTCTTGGTCTGTAATAGGCCGACGTGCTCCCGTTATTAAGGAGCAACCTCCCCAGCCTGGCATAGTCTGGGCGAGCTTAAGGCCGGGGAGGTGATGCTGCGACAGCTTGTGTTTCTTGACCCCCACAGAGGTTTGTTACCTGCTGCCATGTGCCTGCCATATTGCCATATGCCGTATGCCGTACGTGCCATATCCAACGTCCATTTTACATATGCCCACCTACCCTGCAGCTGCTCCTGTCTCGAATTCAAGATTCTAGAACCGTATCGGGCAGGCCAATCCACTCGCACACAAAAGCAACGCAGCTGCCCGTTGCAAAAGACCAGTACTCTGGGAAACAATCGTCGTCTCCACCACATCGTCATTGCGTACCTAGCTATTAAATGGTCTTTTTCCTCGGTCCGTCGTTGGACAGAGACTATCAGGGCAAAAGCACGCCAGTAAGCTCTACCGTGTATTGTGTCTCAGCCTCATTCCCGAACAAGTCAGACGCCCAGGACGCCCCGCCCGCGCTGTCCGTCTGTCATATCTCGTGAACGCCATACATCATCTTGACTCGGATCGTCGTCCTCTCTCACTCACCACAACTCACACAAATACTTCTCTGTGCTCGACACACACATCAATGGGCTCACAATCCTGACCGAGCTAGCTGTCTTGCCTCGGCCCGGCCTGCTCTGCCCGCGTCACCTCCGCCCAAATGCCCACTTATCTGTGCCACGGCTTCCGCTGGAAACGCCGCAGCATACGCGTGTACGTCGTTCTCCAGAACCTCGACGACGCAGCCCCCGAATGGATCGTGAAACGGGGCTCCCCGCGGAGCCTCATCGAGTCGTTCTACAACCTCTTTGACTTCCTCCCCGAGTGCACATTCCCGCCCACCCGCCGCAGCAGCTTCGCCCCGCGCACTTACTCGCAGCCTCACTCCCTGGACCGCAACAGCAGCATCGCCGCCGACGACGACGATGACGCCGCCAGCCACTACACAGCCCGCTCGGCAAGGGGCCGGAGCACCAGCCAGAGCCGCACCGTCGTCGCCCAGCAGTCCCAGCCCCATCTCCAGTCCCACCAGGACAAGGACAGGGAGAGGGAGTGCAGCAACAGCAGCAGGAAGCGGAGCAAGTCAGAGATCAGCCGGAAGCCCCTGCCGCCCACCACCCACGCCCCGCCCGGCTACCAGGCTCCGGCACACCAGGCCCCGCCGTCACCGCCTTCGTCCCAGCCCCAGTTCGCCGCCTCGCTGTCGCATGCCAGCGACGCCGCCACCGCCGACCCCGTGCTGGCCCAGGACTGGTCGCCCGTCAAGGTCCTGGAGGAGCACGACCCGGCCAACCTGGACGAGGTCTCGCGGCCCTACGCCTACGTCGCCGACTACGTCCAGCGCATCGACGCGTCCTGCAGCATCGTCGAGGAGATCGCCAGGTACGAGCACATGGTGCGCGCCAGCAGGGAGCCCGCCGTCACCGGGCCCAGCTCCGACGAGACCCTCAACGGGAAGCGGGACACGGCCCGCCTGGGCGGCCGAGCCGGCTGGTTCGAGCAGCTGAGGGACCAGCTGCAGAGGGGGGAGGAGATCAGGTGGTACGTGGTTGTCAATGGCGACGAGGAGAGGGAGTGGCCGGCCGAGGGGGCCGGGTCGAGGCCCGAGACTAGGGCCCAGGTGGCACACCACACCCAGTACACCCACCAGCAGCTGCTCTTCGAGGGCAAGGACAGGGAGCTCGAGATGCGGAGGGAGCAGCTCAGGAGGGATCTCGGCTACGACCAGGGCGGCATTGACAGGCTGGCCGACAGGAGGTTGGAGAGGAGGCCGCCCGTGGTCCCCAATAAGGATCCGCCACCTCTACGGATTGAAGTCCCCATGCGTCCTGCCGGCCCCTCGCGCCCGAAGACGCCAAAGACGCCAAAGACACCTGGAAAGGCATCATTCCGGAGGCTATTTGGCAAATCAAAGTCTGTAGAGCACATACCGTGAAAGCTCTCGGCGACCGTGGATACTGAAAACCATATTGGCCGCCCGAACCGGACCGGATGCTTCTGGGGACTCCAGCGTACGCCATAAGACGGACCATTATTTCCCTCGGTTCTCACTGGGTTAAGGAAACCCCAGGGACGGCATCATCTTGTTTCGGACGCACTCCACCTAGCATATATCTTGTCTCGCCACCAGCACTATCCTCCAATAACCCGAGCTCTGAGGATGACCGTGCCGCAAGCGTGACATCGACATGCGGAAAATGTCTAGGAGAGGTTGAGCAATGGAGCTCACGAGGGAAATGCAGCCAGTGAAGGCTAAATACATTGTCCGTCTGTCCAGCAGAGGTTGTTGATGGATGATCCCACAACGCCTCAAGGCGGAACCTGCACATACCGACTTGGTGTAAAGAGGAGCTGGTTGATGGCCCTACACCAGAGGACATGGGCCAATTTACAGAACTTGAGGAGACATTGTATATCCAACTCGAAACCCCGAATGCGCTTCCAAAACTATCCTAGGGTACCAGAGAGATGCATAGCGGTACGCGCTTGACGAAGGTATACGTAAGTGTATCGTTCGATCACCATGATAGCGAAATAGATGTAGTGGCCGAGGAAGCTTCAGCCCCTGAATCCTCGGCATGTACAATAAAGCAATGAGTGCTCAAGCGACAAGAGACTGGAACCTCTTCAAACAGATTGGATCGCCTTCACGTGTTGTTTCTGTCAGCCTCAGTCTCCACTATCTACTAGCACAGGAGCCAGGGCTGTTCACGAGCTACTCTGGGAGTCAGGCTAGCGTCGAGAACGAGGCCTCGGAAGTCACTCGCCCCCAGCCTGTTCTACATCATAATATTATGGTGTGAATCTCTTCCCCGATCGCCATAAGCGAAGCGACAGTCGTCTTCTCTCACGACGTTGAACTCCGCCTGGGCATGGAGGGATGTACCATGGGAATCGCAGCAACTCGTGACTAACAGTCTCGTTTATCGTCGCCAACTCGTCTCCGCCATGGAGACCTACGGCATCTACTAAGCGATTGTACATCAGGTCTCAGGACCAGGTGCGAGCATAGATAATGTGATTTGACTGCCCCTTGCATCCGTCTCTTGTTAACCAGGCAAGCTATGTGCTCAGGTTGCATGAGTAAATACTGGATGTCTTGTGGTGCTGGTCAAGTCACATGTGCACTGAGACGAATTGGCTTCGGTACTGGACACTGTGACGACGCACAGAAAACGTCTATGGAAGCAGGCCAATTCCCAGCAGGCTTATTGGATCTACGACCTCTTCAGTACGGGCGGTGTTGGCGTAGGAGAGCGCCATTGATTCTCTCGCGGGGGCCTCGTGATGAGGGCGACCTGAAGATAAATCTTGTGGAGGCTGGCCATCACCATTTCGACATTGTCACCATTGGAGAACACACGAGCAGCTACAAACCAGGTCATAATCAGTGCAAATATGCAACTCACGGCCAAGTCCATCGTATCCCCATGAGGAGGGCCACCAGATACTTGATGGGAATTATGTCCCAACACTCGGCGGAATCTCGCACCTACATTGGGACAGGATACAGGGCGCCATCAGTAGTTCACCGTAGTAGAGGAATGAGAAGGATGACCACAAACAACGGCTCGATTTCAAGGTTGCCTTCACTGGACCAGAAGCACGCACGAGTGAATACCACCGAGGCACAATTTACCCGCTCCATATTTGATGTACCAGCCTGAGTCGGCGGCCTCGCCTGCGATGGATGCACCAGGGCCGTGGTAGCGCCGAATACAACCATTGGCACCTGGGGGATCACAGTCAAGTTAGTTGCGATATATAATATTGAGCACTTGCAGGTTTAACATGCGCTCATCCATTGAGTGGACAACTCTCCATGACATTGAAGCCCGTGGCTTGCCGCGATCGAGGTAGGAGATTGGTATCGCTTCCACGAGCAACAGACTGGCCTACGAGCACAATACCGCTCTTTTCGGCAGCCATCGTGAATGGGTTGCCTCAAAATTTCCTGGCCGTCAAAGCTGGAGCGGCTGAGGCCCTCGCTTCTGCGGGCGACTCGGGTAAAACCAACTTGAAGTGTCCACGCGGTCACGTACAGACTGGGCCTTCCATGCTTATATCGCGAGACTGTACCAGCCAATGTCCCGCGAGAAACTCACCCGGAGCTCTCGATTTGTATCGAGGGGGCCGGAAAGAGCATGACTGCCTGTCACATAATCCTCGAGGATACGAGGACGAATTCCAGGCCCATGCCCACCAGGACGGCGTGCTATACCCCAAACAAGACAAGGCAACCAGTCTGACCATCCACCCAGCGCGAAGCAAGTCGGCCCTGATCCCTCTCCCCATATGGCGCAATCAAAACATTGGTTCGGTGGAGTCGGCGGGCAGACAGGGCCCCGGTCGAGTGGTTCATCCCCCATGGGGTCTTCCGCCGTGGCAGTAGCTTGGGTGGTGGGCCGAGCCTGTTTGGGAGAGGCCTTGAGATCGCTACCACAGTAAACAAACGTGGTGCATATGTCAAGATGGATGTGCGCCACAAAACCACATCGGCAAATTCGCGCATACTGTGGTAAAAGAAACTAAAGAAAAAAGTGATCCATCACACGCATCTCAAAGCCTGCACGCAGTGTGACCACTGAGGCCCGGCCAAACGGCGCCATATCACACTGAGGGACAAATTTGAACACTCGTGCGCCTGGACTGTCAGTGTGTATACGTTTTTTTCAGCTCGATCGGTCTCGAAGACAGTAGCCAGGCAGGCGGTTAAAGTGATTTTTCGACAAGTTCCAAAATTGCTGGCAAGAAATCCTTCCGGGCATATTGTCAAGGAGGAGGGAGTCTTTTCCGTGGCCCGAGATGTTTGATGTTTCCCCAACGGGCTACCCTCGTCTCGCCAGCATGAAATTCACAGTGGACCACCCCACTCGAACCGGGAAACGCGAAAAATAATAATGAAAAAATCCCAAAAACCTGAAGAGGTAGTGTTATGGTACCATGTAGGATAAGCGCCAGCAAATCCTGGGTCCAGACTATCTCGGCAGCCGGCTAGAAATCGTGGTCCACTATGCGGGAGATGCCCACTCCCACCCTAGCTCTGGGCCTGGTGACCCCCTGCTTCGGGCCTCTGTCTTTTTATCTGGCTTCCGCGAGTAGCTTGGGAGGGGTTTTCCGATCTCGTCTTTCAGAGGAGCCTGGAGGATGGCCTGCAAGATGTGCTTTTACTTTTTCTCTCAGGCAACGCTGCCCAGACGCAGCATACCATTTTTAGTCCAGGAGCCTGAATGCGATGCATCTGTCAGATGCGGGAACAATAAACAAGACGCACACACATAAAAAAGACACCTCACCATTCGTGGCTGCCCTGATGCCGTCAGATGGCCGGTGGCTTGCATCGACACAACACACGTGCTTTTCCTGTGGGCCCTGGGGTGGTGAGACGGGGACATAACAGGTCGGCCGTTCTGGGGGAACCACCACCACCACCAGGCCCAGGGGCCCTGGCGAGTAACAAGCCTCGAGAAGAGGCCCCCAGGCTTGGGAAACCCCACAGGAGACCTCCCTCCCGGAGCCAGGCCAACACGTACTTCCCGGCGGCTGTGTGAGGGTTCGGATATGCTCCGTGTACAAGTGTACTTGCTGCTGCTGCTTCTTCTGCTGCTGCTGCTACCCGCTGCCACTACTGCTTCGTACATATGTTTCGAAGAAGAGCTACCCCGCGCCAGGCCGTGCAGGGCAAGCCTCACACGCGCAGCTGATACCGCAAGACACAGCAAGGGCAGAGGGGCTTTCAGAGGACCCTACTGGCCACGATCTGGGTGCGTGATCTGCGGGCCAAGTTTCGCGGTGCCGGGGTTTGGCCGGGGCGTGACTTGAGGAGCTACTGTGTGTGGTGCCCCTGCCACCCAGTCCGTCGTGGCGCCTGTCCCGCTGCCTGCCTCGCAAGAGAGTAAAAAATTGCTGGTTCGGTTATAACGGCTGTGAGTGGAAGGAGAGGGGGGGGGGGCTTGGAGGATCCAAGGGCTCGTTATTGTTCTGGCTCGCCTGGGCGTTGGATACCTAAGCTACGCTAGAACTGGACCCTTAAAATTGGCCCCATGTCGTACCCTGGGGGTGTGTCGGCGTGGCTGACAGGATCGGGCATGGAGGATTGCTTGGAAGGGCTGGGCAGGGCAAAATCTGGCAGTGTCGGAGAAGGACAGGACATAGACGGAAAAATGCTTGTCGTTCATATCGCTTTGTGGAGATGGTGAACTTCCACACAGCACATCTGCCAAGCGGCTTTGCTCAGTATCTACCAATGCAAACTGCCTACATAGGAAGGTAGGATGATGATAATGACGATGATGACAGAGCCTGGGTCTGCCCACACACATATACATACATGGCATGAACCAGCATGCCGCGCGGTTGGGACTCCCAAAGGCCAAGACAAAACCTCGCGGTAGAACAACTCTTAACTGCTTGAAAAGACAAGGGAAACCTTCCACTCCCCACGTGCTCAGCATTCATCCCATTTGCCCCTCCCACTATGGATCCTTGGACCCGTCGACACTGCCTGACTGCTCGGAATCGCTCAGAAGGCAAGGGTCTAGCTCGTCTCATCGGAAGGGGTTCAAGGCGCCTGAGCGACCCGGATGTGGGCTGACAGCTTCGGATTCAGTGTCCCATGACTGGCCCAATTCATCTCCTCCTCGCCTCCTGGTGGTAGCATTCAGCCACCCTGAAGCTGCTGGGCTTCGATCGCCCCTGCAGCCGGCCTCCTAACTTATTTGCCTCGCCACACCGTTGATGACTGTGCAGCCGCTATATAGCTGACTGCTGCCTGTGGTGATTCATGGCCAAATGGCTCGCGCCCTTGCAATGGCCGTGCTGCCGTGCCGCGCCCGATGATCTGCGGCGGCAGCAAAACAGCTGGCGTCGTGGTATGTCGAATCGCAGCACTTGGCTGCGTGACCGGTCATGTGACGCCGATGGTTGCTGCAGTGGCGGCCACGGAGCTGGACCCCCGTTGATCAGAATGTCAGATCGCGTCCCTTGGGGAAGGGCGCCGTGTGGACGTCACACACGACTTCTCATAATGATGACGAAGCTGCAGGCGCTCGACTGGCATTCGAATAAGGCTCCAGAATGTCCGTATGGTGTATTAAAGAGTCTTGGGAGGGGTTGGTGGCCGGCAATATCGGGCCGTCAGCCGGAAATCGTCCGCCAACCACGCCTCGTTATTTCCACGGTGCAACCACGACCCCAGGCTCCCCTCAGGGTTCTTCTCGATTCCCTTGTCGAAACCAGGATTTTGGCTGTCACTTCTTAGCGCTCAGATCTGCCAACCTCAACTGCTACTCCCACTGCCGAGAATGGGAGTTCGTCAGATCGTTTCCAGCTCGGGCCTTTGTTCGGCGTTGCTTTGCTGGCGGGCCACCCTTTCCCATCCTCCGTCGACTCCCACTTGCCTGAGTGTGCAACCCGATGGTTGTCTTCGTTGAAAATGCATGCGTGACGCAAGGTTCCTTGCGTCAGTGAGTATCGAAGGCCGTCAGATCAGCGCCCGCCCGTTTTTGAACGTGATTAATTTGATTGAGTAGGCGGGGGGTGTTACCACACACCCCACGTATGCGCCGAGGAACCAGGTTTAATTGAACGTGGCAAGATGAGTCCCGATATGGTTGGTTCCAGCGGGATTTCGTGTGACGGTTTGGGAAGACCCGGCTGTCATAAAGCAATTGTCGAAGTCCCGCTGACATATGGATTTAATTTCCGTGGTATTCTGTCGGCATTGATTGTCGTCGAGGAAATTGGTCGATAGTGACGTCTTTCCCGAGGCCGCAGGGCGGGCTGTGCAGACAGCAGCGAGGCAATTAGGCCCACAGAGAGGGAGGCACGCGGTGTATCATTGACTGCCTCAGCCACTGAGAAACGTCCTCCGCCTGACCTCGGCTTCTTTGATGATTTCGGCAGCCAAACTTAGACTGGGAGCTAGAACAGCGTATCGCTCGATTTCCATGACAACCTCATTGATGATTCGATCGATGCTGTCTCCGTGGGGGACCAGCGCCATCAAGATGTTGGACAGAGACGGTGACATCGTAGCTCCCATGACCAGGAGTGTTTGGGATACAATTGAAAGCGCCCCTTGCCAGAGGTAAGGCATATGCCCAACGTGACTAGAATAGAATTGTCAGCGTGAACTGGAAGGGAAAAAATTGGTTTCGCAGACTAAAGCTTACTGGGCAGAGATGTGCTCCAACTGGCGGATAGAGGCTTCCAGGCATTTATGACAGCTGTCGCGTACGGCAGGGTCCAGCACAGCTTGCTCGTTGTCGAGGACAGCCAGGATGTATGGCCTGTATATGATTGTCCGGCATGCAAAAAAGCGTAGTCGGAGGACCGTCTGCACAGGATCCGGCAGTAACGTCCGGGTAAAAGGGAACTGCAGTGGCAGCGGCAGGCTCTCATACCACTGGGTCAGCTGGAAGTCGAGCTCGGCCACGACGGGCTCGAGGCTGGTGGTCGTTGCCATGGAATCCTTGGAGTAGATGAGCTGGCTGACCCTGTTCAGGAGTCGCCGTAGTGCTATCTCTGCGAGGAAGTACCAGAGGTCGTCGCGTCCCACGGCCTCGTTCTCGTCGCCCTCAAATCCACCTGGAAGGCCGACGTTTTCCTCAAAATGCACGACCCCTGAATGTGGAAGGTCGAGTTCTGCCAGTAGATCGCTCTCACAGAGCAGGGAATTCCAGTATATGCGCTCCGTCAATTCCCTCTGGTCAGGCGGGATCCTGTTTGGCGACATCAGGAGCAGTTGGAGCTTGTTGCTGGTCGTGCATAGCAGGTTCCAGGCCTCGAGGGGCCGGACGAGGTAGAAGAGGTAGGCGGAGGCAAGAAGGTGGCATTGCGCAGCGAGGACATTATTGGAAGTCATCATGCCCGGGAGCAGAGCCCATGCGGCGGTGAAGTACTGCAGGCCTGGAGGGTCCTCTTGCGGGACGACCCTGGAAATGCTACCACGGAGGCTTGCCTGGCCAAGCGCGAGGACGAGCAGGACGATACAGCTCTCTGCGCCCTCTCGGAAGCCGTTGGACAGGGCCAGGCGGTAGTGGCTCCTCCAGGTGTAAGGGTTCACGCAGGCATACCAGATATTGACCCGTTCAAAATAGGCCTCGATGTAGGCAGTTGTGTTGGAAAGGTCGACGCAAGGGGTCTTTGTCAGGGAGTGCAAGGGCTCCCTGGCCATTTCCAGCTGGAGGAGGATCTGGGGGTCGTAGGGGCGGGAGACCAGGTCACGGATCAGAGGCCACTGCAGGAGGTGGAGGGCGGCATTGGTGTGTATCTTTGGCATTGTCGAAATGTTTGTATTGTTGGGGGTCCAAGTGCCCATGCCGCCGCTGAGGATGACGGAGCTGAAGTTACCGGTGGCGCTCTGGACCAGCAGGTTCTCGCCGCTGAGGGCGGTGGTGCCACTGCTCAGGTTGGGCGAGCCCTGGCCGATGTTGATACCGTTTGACTGGTTTACGAGGTTTATCTGGAGCAGGCTCTCGATGCGGCTCAGGCGCTCGAGGATCAGCTTGTCGCCGGCATCGAGCTTGATGCCGGGCTCACGGTAGACGCACTCGGCGCCGAGCTCTGTGCACAGCTTGCACTTTGGCTTGGTGCCGTCACATCTCGACTTCCTGGAGCGGCAGACCTCGCAGGCGATGGTGGCCCTCCTCCGGGGGTAGTCGACCCCGGCGTCGGTGTTTCTGCGCTTCAGGGGGTTCACGCTGTCCTCGCTGTCGTCCTTCTGCATGCTCACCGAAGAAGGCTCCGGGCGGTTTTCGGACGACTGGGACAGGTGGCGGGCCTTGTTTGGCGGGCCGAGGGCGTTGCCGTCACGGCCGAAGCTGCCCTGGCGCTGGTTCTTGACGGCGGTGGGGGACTTGGGCCCAGCCCCGGAGCCATTTGTAGAAGCCATCAGAGGGGTGGGCATTTCGATTGAGAAGTTGTCCCTGGTGGGCACTGGGAAGGGCCTGACGGCGCTGGCCGTTGCTGTGGCGGTTGTCGAGTGGGGAGAGCCCCCGGTGGATGAGGGCGACATGCTGACCCGCAGGCTCATGTGGTGGAGGCGGGATAATAATAATAGACGACGGATCAGATGGGATGAGCAGGCGGGCGGGCGGGAGGGTGGAGGGGTAACAGCGGGTCCGAGGTTATCCTACAGGGACTCCAGGGGACTCCAGGGGACTCCGGGGAACGCACGCACGCACGCACATGCGCACGCACACTCAGAAGATGACGAGATCCTGGGGTGAGGCGAGGCGTGGTAGTCCTGGCTCGGGTGTCGAGTGCTGGATCTCGAGATTTCTGTAGGGTTGTCGGTTGTCGTCAGAAGGGGCCAGTAAACCCGGCCGGCGGCGACTTGTGGTCAGATGCCAACGGGAGACGGGGGCCGACGACCTAGGGGGGCACGGCGTCAGGGCGGGTGTTTTTGGCGATGGCGACGACGCTGGCGATGGTGGAGATATTTTTCCAGACATTCATTATCCTACTGAAGCCGTGGTCGGGTGAGGAGAAGACGGGTCTGGTCTGGGCCCGTCCGTCTTATGTTTGGAGCGCTTGAGCCAAATTGCGATCGAAATCTGGAGCAAATCCGGGGTTGCCCTTGGGCCAGACTACCAGGCTACATTTGTGATGGCCTGGCAGGGGATTATTACCTCTCGTGCTCTAGCACAACGGCGAGGGGTGTTGGCCGGGGGGAGGTTGGGGGGGGGGGTGGTGCCAGAGCACGGAAGTTGGTGTGTGGTGTGTGTGGGGGAGCGAAATGCTGGGGAGCGGAGCCGGGAAGGAAGCTGGGGGAGGGGGGAGCTGGGGAGCTGGGGAGCTGGGGGGCCGGGGAGTCAGGCCAGCGGGTAGCTAACTACCCGCAGTCCTGTGTACTCCGTAATACCAGTTGACATAAACCAGGGCAGATCTTGCCAGCACTGACAGAGGGATGGATGCGAGATCTATCTCGCGCAACGCAGAGGGGGCATAGATAAATTGGCACAGCACACGATCGGGTTGCTTTTCCCGGCCGGTTGGGCATGCTCACTCGTGGACGCGGCCGGCCATGTCTCAAATGCACATGCAGCAGTGGGCGGCATCTCGTGTGCCCGTTGAACTCAGCACAAGGAAGGGGCCGTCCTGTCTGCCTGTCTTGGGCGTGTGCTGCTTGATTGGAGGCTCTGGGTACTTCCTGACGCAACGTGGCTGGCCTGCAGCAGCAGAAGCAGAGGCAGCAACAGATGGACGAGTGAGTGGCTTCAATATAATCTATTGCATTGCCATGAGGTCGTCTTGTTTTCCTTTTTCTCTTTTCCCTTTTCCCTCTGCTACCCTTACCAGGCTGTCAGGACACAATCTTGACAATGCTCTTGTGCATTCTGGTCCGCATGCACAGCACATGCATGCATGGCATTTGCATCTCGAGCCTGTGCGCCTCGCCCACCCTCCGAGCGTCCCTCACGGCGGGCAGTCGTCACAACAACAACCACTCTCGAGATGCCGGATATCACAGTATCATTGTATCAGATCTCCTACCTGCCTCCATCCAACATTAGCCTCCACCACGCATCATCGTGACACACACTGACACCATCTGTGATGTGGCGCATCAAGATGCAAGCTCGTGTGCTATGCCTTTCATCTTATTTCCTGTCTTGTCTGACTATGCAGTGGCCGTTATGGCCTTGGCCCATATTAATATCCTCAGCCTTGTCCGCCCTGGCGCACCACCTTGTTCTATTCATGCCTTCTTTTGCTCCGTTGACATCATGCCCCATCCAATCTCGGAGGTAGGCCCTTCCTGTAACACCACACCATGCACACCTGGGCAGAGGGAGGAAGGCGCCGACCGACTCGACTCGACTCGGGAATAAGAAGAGACAAGAGAAGATACAAAATAAGAAATAAGGGATCCTCAAGGGGACCACTAACAAGACGTTGCGCACCAGCAACCATCAGCTTCCAAAACAGTTACCTGCCTAGGTTGGTAGGTACATATGCACCCATTGCTTGTGCTCCCATAGATCATGGTCCCATCTTTCGTCCCATATCGGATCGCTTCGACGCAGGCCAATGCAGATCAAAGGCAGCCCGGATCCCAAGCGACTGGCCGTTAACCGCGTGGCATCCAACGCCCATCTCCCACCCCCCTTACTCCCCCCCCGCCCCGCCCTGGCGCATCTTGTTCCCCAAAATTCCTGCAAGCACCACAGCGTGGCAGCTGCGTGGGCGCGCATGAGCCCTTCCTCTCTTGTCCCAAACGGCTTCTGAGACGCACGAACAGGGACATCCCTGGCTGTCACTAACAACGGATGATCATCAGACGAACCCCGTCGACCACTCAGCACTCGCCTGCGGTACCGTCCCAGCTTTTATTTTTTTTCCATTTTTCTATACTGAGATCCCGTTTACCCAAGACCATCCAGAACGATCTTTCACTTTGGCCAGGCCTGTGTGGAGACTGGAGGGTGGCAGCAAGAGAGGAGTCGGCCCTGGCTAAAGGGCAGGTGGCCCACCCCAACCCGACTCTATACATGCAGTTAGGCAGTAAATACCTAAGTACCTAGGTAGTAAGCAGGTGAGACGGATGGCAAGTCTCTCACCCAGATCCTCCGAGACAAGTGACTGAGCCACACGAAAGAGCCATCTCCTCCGCGGTACCTATCCGCGCCGGAAATGGCCGCCCAAGACCATGTAATCGCTATTAGCGTGGCCAGCCTATGCGGCTCTTTGCATTCCTACCCCCACCCCACTCCTACCTCGACTTTAGCCGGCCGCCTCCCACTGGACCCTCACGCCCATACCTGTTGACTTCGTTTTCCCCTTCCGGCCGGCTGCGAAGGCTGGAGAGGACGTCAAGAGACGAGAAAAATCAGAACAGACTGCAAAATTGGAACATAGCCGAGACCATACCCAGGTAGTGAGTGACTCGGCGTCCGAGGCTGGCTGGCAGGCTGCCAACCTTGGAACCGAGAGCACCTGGTCGGCGAGCATGGCTGAATTAGACTCTGTTCTCTACCTGGGCATGCTCGCGCATCCACCACCCGGTTTCGACGAGGTAAGGTCTAGACATCCACCCATACCTAGGTGCCGAGTATAATTGTTGAGCTATAGCTGAGACCTAAATCTCGCGTAACACCACCACCATTCACAAAACTCTGCCAACATACACGAACGAGAAACCCAAGTGGCTGGTATACCAAAGCTGCTGCTGCTCCCTCGTCCCTCGCTACCGCATTTCCTCGCCTCCTCGGCGGCACCCCCTCCCACTTGCTGTGTCATGAAGTGACTCCGAACATTCTGACCCTTTGACGCACCCTTTTCTGCCATCCATCCATCCGCCCACATCCGGGAGCCTCGCTCGTATCAGATGCAGCACCAAGTTGTCCTTCCTTGTCCCGTACGGTCAACCTTTCGACCAACACCGCCTATGGTAAAATTAGCGAATCCCCTGCACATCATCAGCATCATCACGTTGCGACCGCACGCCTTGGCATCACCTTCCCGTTCGGGAAACTAGCACGCTCGTTCGGGCGCCCGGGAGGCTCGGGGGGGATTGGGGGGGGGATTTGGAGGGGGGGGGGTCAGGTTGATGTCGGGGTCTCTGGTCGGGGCCGGCACGTCCAGAGACCCTGGTCCCGGGGAACGCAACATCGCGTAATTCTCTGTGCTATGTCGCTTCACTAACCCAGCAGGGCTGTGGCAGCCCGGTTACGCGTCCAGCGGGCAAAAGAAAACGAAGCACAGGACGTGACGCTGCTGTGTTGCAGCATGGGGCGGCGGGGTGTGGCTCACGTCACTATATCTTCATGTCACCTAACAACGGCAAAATTGACCTCGCTGGCACCCTTCGGTATTGCGGAATGCAGGTTATATATCTATCCTTGCCTGTGCTCATTATGCATGCCCACGCGGAGTCCGCGTGGGGGCTGGCTGGCTAGCTGAAGAGCTAGCGAGCCAGACAGGCGGGTTCGCAAGCTAACGCTTGAATATATACACTTGAATATTCTTCATAATCCACAGTCATCCGCTGAGTCCAGCCAAAACGCCTGCAAGAACAAGAGTAAGTGCCTCTACTCGGCACCGAAGATGACGCTGGTGGGCTGGCCGCCAAGGTCGACAGAGGCAACAAAGTCGGTCAGCAGTCCGGTCTCCACGTCCCGCCCAATGATGACGACGCGTCCGTCGTTCTGGAGTCCGACCGCCACGAGGCTGCCGTCGGCGTTGATGCTGAACTGCCTGGGGATGCTTCCGCCAGCCGGGAACTGCTGGACCTTGGTGAGGGCTCCTGAGGCGTGGTCGATCTCGAAGGTGAAGATGGGGTCCGAGACGATCTCGGTGCTGTTGGCCGGGTCGAAGTTGGGGATCTTCAGCACGCCCTCGCCCCGGGATGAGACAAGCAGGAACTTGTTGTCGGGCTGCGAACCGTCAGAACGAGACCTGGACCGGCGGCGCTGGGGATAGGAGAAGGGGAACATAGTAACTTACCGAGATGGCGATCTCGGCCGCGGTGGTCTGGTTGTTGGGCACCGTCTCGTTCAGACCGTGGGTGCTGCTGACGTAGACCTCGGTGAAGCCGAGGGTCTTGTCATTGTTGTAGGTGACCTCAAAGCCGGTGACGGTGTTGGACAGCTCGCCAACAAGGTAGAAGTAGGTGGTGCCGTCCTCGGTGACAAGGAATGCGCCATGGCGGGGCCCGGTGCCGGGGACGGCTGCGAGGGGCTCCAGTTCGGTGAAGGTGAGCCCGTCCTCGTCTACAGAGTACAGGCGAACGACGTCCGAACCCAGGTCCGGGACGAGGAGGAACTGCCCGGTGGGATCAAGCAGGGCCTCGTGGGGATGAGGCGCATCCTGCCGCTCAGGGTTGGGCCCTGGCGCATCGAGGGTGTAAGTCTCGGCCTGGACCGGCGCGAGCGAGCTCGCGTCCGAGATGTCGAAGGCGGCTACTGAGGAGCCAGAGCTAGCGTAGGGATACAATGTCAGCCGCGGGCTCCGTCCAGGCAAGGCCTTCCCGACAGGTGATGGAAGGCCATCTGCACATGCCCTCCTCCCCACACAGGGAGGACAGAGCGGGCGAACAGCGTGACATTGACCGCATGCAGGCCGAGGCTGCATGCAGGCCGCAATGACATCTTGTGCTGCCAGAGTTTCGAGAGCATTGCATGCATTGGATTCTGTACGTACTAATGCGCCAGAGCCAGGCCACTGCCGGCCTTGCCGTATATCACACCAGATCTGTAGGGCAAGTTAGCACATTTGCCTTTGTTGTGCGCCAGGACTGCGTGACTTATGCAGGGTTCATGCTCTGCTGCACGTACACAGGGCCGCTGAGGGTGTCGACGATGTCCAGTTGGGACAGGGTGCCATTGCTGGTGAGGGCGAAGGAGGACAGAGTGCCGTTGGGAGTGGTCAGGCCCTCGTCCAGGCAGTAGATGACATTGTTTGCATAATCAGGAGTCAGCCACGATGAATTAGCGCCACAGCCCGGCGTGGAGGCAATGGGCTGGAGGCTAGAGCCCTTGAGGCTCAGCGTGGTGATGGTATCGAGGTAGGTGGTGGCGTAGAGGAGGGTAGCAGCCGTCTGGCCGGGCAGCGCAAGCGCAGCCATCCCTGCGGAGCTGATGGATTCCTTGAACATGGTGTCTGGATCTGAGACGGATTCCGGCAAAATACCTGGGCGAATCAACAGGTCCCAGAGGCGGCAGCAGCGGAAAAGATCAGGAACGAGGCCGGTGAGCAGGAAGAGGTTGGAGGCAAGGACGAAGACGACGAGTCCAGAACCAATTATGCTGAATGCGGCGACGGTAGACCCCAGACCCCGCGAGACGGGCGATCGCAGGCCGGACATGATATCCTCTTATCGTTATAACGGCCACTCTTTCTCCTGTGAGGGCACGCGTGTCAGCAGAAGCAGCTCGTCATGCTCCAGCAAGGCCGACAGCGCTGTCATGCGCGCTCCACAGTTGCTCCAGTAGCGGTAATTAGACACAGAACAATATGGACGAGGCGGGCCAAGACCGTCCTGTCGGTCCTACCCCCTGGCTCTTGCCCAGCTTTATTTTCTTAGTGTGTGTGTACACCGTAGTGGTGGACCGGTCTGCAGCATTTTGTGTCTGCCCAGTGCCCACCTCGGGGCGGGGAGGGGGGGGAGGAACCAGGGCCAGGGCCTGGTCCGAACCTGGTCAGGGCACACGTCCCGGATAGATGGGAAGGACTTGCTGGGGTGCAGTGAGTTCAGTATTTTTGCATTTAGCCAGGGTCCCTTCCTCCACCCTGGTGTCGCATTGACGACGGGACTTGGGTGATATTGTGTGGCCGAGGATCTCGACGCCCCGAGGACCAAGAAGAATGGGTGGGCTCTCGCGGGCTCACCGCAGCCAGTGCCGGACTGCTCGGCTGGTTCTTGGTCAACTGGTAGCTGGTAGTGCCGCAACCTGGTGAGGATCAGGACAAGTGTCCGGCCGACCTCCTTCACCTGCACCCTGCTAGTATGTACTGTGGTCGACGTCTTTTTTTCCCTCTCTCTCTCTCACACACATGATCTGACGACAGGGGAAAGTACGGAGTACGTCCTTGCCTACTAGGTACCTAGTGATTAGTCTGTCCGGTAGCCAGTACCTGAATACTGTGGGGAAGGAACGCCACAGCCCGCGTGACTGCAGGCATTCTGCCAAGTATCCGCGACCTGGGGACCACGTTCGTGCGGGGAATGGAGGAGAGGCTGTGGGGGAGAGGGAAGGCCTCGGTGGTCAGCCGGCTGTGGAGTTGTGGTGGAGCTCGGCGGCCAAGTATACTGTATGTTAGGCAAGGCGCAACCCCATCTGTCGACCTATTATGGCCCCAGGCTCACGATCAAATCACCTCGTCCGCCTCTTCCCAGCGTCTCAATGTCCCGACTTTTTGACGCTTGTGGGCGCCCGATGGAACCCTCTTCTCCCTGCCCCGTGCCGAGCTCGGCCCATCACCTGTCCCTGTTCCTGCGCCGCCGTGGCGCGAGGTGAGGTGGCCGAGGTGAGCTGAGCGAGGCACAGGCACTGGGGTCGTCTCGGCTGGTCACACTCGGGCGCCTGCCAGCCTCGACCGGCCAGCCGGCCTCGATGTTGACGGGGTTCTCGTGCCCTCCAGATGCCGGGCCACCCCCCCCGACCGACACGATCACGAAATGCGACTGGTTGAGCGCGCATCGGACTATGGCGTCTCGGCCGATTCGACCGCATGCACCGGTGCACAACTTGCTGCGTCTATCCCGCTTGCCGCAAAATATGGGCTTGGGTGGGAGATAAACTCGCATCCTCGTCCTTGCCGTCAGTGGAGGGGAATCTGATACCCTTACCTATGGCAGCACGAGCTTGCCAGACCCTACTACTCGTTGGCGATGTTCTCAGCCCTAACTGCCGAGGTCCCTCGCTGAGCTGTCTCGCGTAGGGAGGTTGTTCGAGAAGCAACGCCATTCCGCCGAGGACTTGCTAGAGAATAGTATCTATAGACTATTTAAATCCCGTCAATTAGGTAATGTAAACCCCTGACAGCGCTGTCAAAAGGATATGTGGGGGGCATTTGCAGGTTTGTTTCAGAGTATTTGTACTTCTTAGGAGCTGTAAACTTAATTTGATTTGAATCCACGCCCTGGCCTATATGCGGAATCGACAGATAACTCAAGCTATTTTGATCATGCAGGGGCACCAGCTCTTTTCAGTTCACTACCACTCACGCCGACAGCGCCGGCGCTATTCTAGCCTCTCTTCAGTAACATCATTACCATCGTTGCCTCCGTTGTCATATCAAATTTCACGCAAGATCTCGTCCAGTCTTGCCTCGGATATCGCGACCTGCACATCTCCCGGCAGTGGTGATGTACTGCTCTTCCCATCAGAACCAGCTGGAGGCAGGTCAGGCAGAAGCCCGGGATCTATCGCATCCATCCCACGCTCTGAATGGTGAGTCGTAGGGGGAGGCGAGGAAATTGTGCTTGTTGGCAGCATTGGACTGCTGTTCCTGTTGCTGTGGTTACTGTCGCCCGGGTCGCCCAGGACGCTTCTCACTTTGTCGACGACCAGGGCTTTGAACCGTCCCATCAATTCTGGGTCATCGGCAGGAGTAGTCTCAGCCTGCCAGACCTCAAACCCCATTATTTCCTTCGCCCGAGCCATGAGTGCTTCATCAGCGGGCATGCGTCCTGACGTTGCGACCTCGGCTACAGCAAATTGCAACAGTTTGTCTTCGAAGTCCTGGTCGCTGAACACGGCTCCTGGGTTGCTTGACACCGCTATTCCAGAGGTTCCGTAACTCGGGGTGTTGAAAAGATTGAAGTCTGTACTGAGACCACTGGCCCCTGTGGCATCTTGCCCCAAATAAGGTGAATGGGAGAGCATGGCAGGTTTGGGCGAAGCCGAGCCCGAGTAGGGGCTCTGCAGCCGTGTCCAACTGCCAGATCCGACCCGGCCGACTCCTATGTCGTCTGGCAGGCCCGGGCCATCAGTAATTGGCAGAATGCCCGTTGTTCGCTTGAAACGGACGAGCCACTCCGCGCTGTCTGCCGGCGTGACGTTGAGGATATCATCGCTGGAGAGGGTTCGTGTCAGCATGGGATTCACATAGCTTATGAAGATAAAAATCGAGACTTACTCGTCATAAAGAATCCACCGGGCCTGGTGACGGATTTCTTCATCGGTCGGTATGTGCCGGTTCGGGTTGTTAGGTGACACAGCGGACGCCACATACCGAGCAAGCTCGCGTACAAGCTGACGATAATTGTTTGTTCCACTAATGAAGAGCTGGTTTCGGCTCATGCCGTATGTTGCTTGGGATTCGGGACGGTGTGTGTTTGCCGGGCTGTTCGTGCCTGACCCGGTAAAAGGAGAAAAGCTAGAGCCAACTGCACCTACCCGTGTGTTGTTTACACCAGGAATAAGTGATTCGAGAGTAGTTCCCGGCGAATTACTGCCGGACGGCGATGGTTGGCTGGCCCCTATTTGAAGATGCCGTTGCTTGAAGGCATCTAGCCACGCCTTGTTGTCAGCTGCGGTCTCGTTTCGGCTCTTGCTGCATTTGTGCACAACGCATCGAGCGTGGTTCCGAAGCTCATCGTCCGTTGGAGAACTCCCGAGGGCACGTTGATTCCTCGTGAACTCTGCTAGTTCAACTTCCAGTTGGGAGTAGTTGTAGATTGTGGAGTTGGTGGCGGACTGGTCCTTGAGACCCATAGTCTCCTCTGAGATAGGAAGACCGGCTCGCTGTCGGAAGCCGGACATCCACGATGCGTCTTTGTAGATCAGACGGATCATGAAGTTTGCAACATCTTCTGAGGGCTTGACGGACTTCTCCTCCATGCGGCCTACGATGTTGCAAGCCTCCACTTGTAGCTCGTAATCCGTGATAGTCAGGCCTAGAAGTGTTCGAGCCTTGACGAAATCATTGAGTTGGGCTTCCATTGGGCAATTTCCAAAGATGTTTTCTTGCCCCTTGATCTGAAGTCTCCCCAAACAATTTTCTGCGGGACCACGCAGACGACTCAACTGGGCCCTGTGATTAATCTCATTGGAAGATAGCAGGAGGTCTCGCAACCAACTGGCGTCGGCAGCCTGCGAGAGGGGTTCCGAGGCGTATAGAATCCGACATGCCTCATGTTGTATCTCTTCATCTGAAGGAGAAGCACTCATCGCATCCCTAGTGTTCCGAAGGTAGTGCGCCAACTCAATCTTGATCAGCTCGTACGCGCTGCGCGGTGACTCCGGTGGCTGCTGGCTGGCCTGGAACGGAAGAGGGCTTTGCCTCTCTTGATGGATGAACCCTAGAAACATGTCAGCTTCGCAACGTCGACAGCACCAATTGCAGAGAATGAACATACATGGAGGCATGGCGTTCTCCACATTCGACAAGACGGAGTTCTCAAAACCCCAGTCCCCCTTCCAATCCTTCATGTCGGAACCCGTCTTGAAGTGCTCAGCGAGATGGTCCACCCGAACACCCCAGCTCCCAAGGGCTAGGCCGCAGAATCCACACCTCGACTTTATATCGGGCGTGGCAACTTTCCATGCGTCCATTGACCAATTCAGATACTTGGAGCTGTGAACCAATTTAAGATGCTGGCGAAGGTGATCTTTCCGGTAGAAGGTTCTCTCATCCAGTTGGCGCTCTTGACATGCCGTATAATTGTGGCTTTCTGTATGTGCATCTTCCGGCTGGGGCACGCCACAGAATGAACAGCAGATTTGCCCAGTGTTGGGATTAGGAACCCGCGGGCCTTTTGGGCAGCATACCCACCGTTCCAAAGACAGGTGCAATGATTTCTCATGCCGTTGCCAGTCATGTTTCGTTCGGAAGGATTCCTTGGTCCGTCAGTACCTCTTTGTAAGTGGACAATTTGGGGGGAAGGGTTAGCTGTCAAATGGACATGTAGGTGCAACATACTGTACAGAATGTACACTGAAAGGTTTTCAGTGGCGCGTTGAGGCTCGATTTCTCGTCGCCCTGCTTTGGTGCAGTCCTTCTTCTACGTCTCCGGCGGCCACGGTGTTGAATGGATCCGAAGGAGCCGAAGGAGCCACGAGAATGGTGGGAGAAGCCAGAGACCAGCGAGGCAGTCGAGGGTGAGGTGCCAAAGCTGCTGGCAGACGACCCCTTACAAGACCTGTCGGCGTCGTCGTCGGTATAGTTGTAGTTCAAGCTCATGCTGTTGGGGCTGTCAAGCCCTGAGGATTGAGAGTTGCTTAGGATGGCAGAAGCGATAGCAGTCACGGAAGCAGGTTCATTTTCTGTACAAAGTAAGTGACTCTTCATATTAAGGGATATGAGGGCCTTGTCATTACCGGGGGGTGAATTCTGCCATCTTTGCAGAGGGTTCATATGCTCTGCCGAAGAAGAAGCTTTCCGAGGTATCTCGATGGCACCGGAGAAGCCACGGACGCTTGGAGACGTTGATCTGGTGGGTTGGAATTTTCCTTTGCTCCTTCGTCGGGCGTTCGCGAGCCAGTTTGCAATCTGGGTCTTGTTGAGACCAGTCTGAAGTTGGAGTGTCTCCCTCTCTTCGTCTGTTGGGTATGGCCGTGTGGAGTGGGTGGACAGCCAGGCCTTGAGGATCCGGACGGATTCCCTGCTGAACCTTGCGCCTATCTTAGGTGTAACTGGAGGCTTGTGTCCATTGTCTTGCAAGGAGCCGGTGCCGGCACTCAATATTTCGAGGTCTGGAGATGAAGATTTCCGCAATGTGCTGCCGTCCTCCTCGCGAATGAGACTTCCATGTTGGCCGCTCACAGGCCAGGAGGTCGCTGGAAATGGCTCTGTGGTCGAAGCGACTGAGGGGTCGAGGCCGAAGCTGCAGTTGTTCTTGAGGGCAACACAAGTTGTGCAGTAGCCCTTATACTTGCCCTCCTCTAGCCTCTTGCAGGAGAAGCCAGATGCCTCGCAGGCATCGCAAGGATCATCAGGGCATTCGCAGAGGTCGAGTGCGGCAATGTTGGATGACTGAGCAGGAAGTGGAGCTGACTGGACATGACTGGGAGCAAGATTGCTCGTCTCGAAGTGCTCGAGGGCCCAAAAGGAAAAGTCATCACCGTCGATATTAGCCAGAGCCAGATCGAAGTCCTGATTCTCCCGGACGGGCTGGAAGTCGAGGTTGGTACCAGGAGGAGGGGCGGTGTCGGCCAAGCCTAGAGCGGGCTCAGCCTTGTCCCAGTTGACAAAGTCTTCCATAACGGAGTCCTCGGGTATGGTAGGCATTCTCGATCACTCTGCCTCAGCCAGGGGCGTGGACTACAGGAAGGGCGTCGGATCGGAGGGAATTCCCGGAAGAGGACTGCAGCGCGGGATGGATCCGGGTGCAGAGAAGTGGATGTCAAACAAATGTTTAGATGAGTGCTGACCATTCACAGTGACGGTAGGTAAGGTCTCAGGAAGGCTATCTTGTTGATTGGAGCGCCCTTTGGGTCAAGCCGGGCTTGTGAAGAAGCCCAAGAGGGGAGGGTATCTGTAAGTGACGCCTGTCTGTCCAAGGCCGGGCGATGACAAGACCCCGTATCGTACCAGACAGGAAGGCGATTAGAAATGAGTTGTCCCTGACAGAACATAAGAAGCAAGACACCCAGCCTAAATCCGGCAATGAGGTTCTCTCTCACTCTCTTGAGCCTCTTGGTCCAGAGAGCTCGCTTGAAGCCGTCCAGGTTGGACGGGCCGCTGCCTGATGACAGTAGACAACAAGAGAACGCTTTCCTTTATTCCAGCTCTGTCGTCGCGTATGAGTAAGATGCCTTGACGTGGTGAGTGACCTGCCACCGTGTCTGAGGGTCCAATCAGCCTTGCAAGCAATCCGACGTCGTCGTCGCTGGCTCCGATTCGATCCATGGCCCTCTCTCATGCCAGGCAGGCCACCAGCAGAGGCTCCAATTGCTGTCATCGGTTGACAAGCTGACGCCCTTCGTGTTCCCGTTCTGGAGTAGTGTCTCCGGTTTGACCCCACATCTCGGCCTGCGGCTGGGGCATTGTTAGGAGGCTACCAGGACGGCCGCGATACCGCCGTCTGTGAGCCTCTCAGCACTATCAGGTCCTCCGGTAGCGGGCCTGTTCGCGGTGGTGCTTACTAAACCGCCTATGTAAGTGCTGTACTCCGTAGTTGCTGCGACGCTTATTAGTGTGACCGTTGACTGTTCACCGTTGCAGCACCAGGGTCGCGGGGCACGGCACCGTCAGACGGGCTAATGTGATATGAGGCAGGTGGCGCAGGGTCCCTTGGTTGCTTGGGTAGGTATGATCCCTTTTCTATCGAGTAGTCTATTGCCGCTGGGAAGCACAAGCTCGGAGTCGCCGTGAGGACGGCGCCGACGCAGCCTGTAGTGTTCTTTTGCTCGTCTCGTCTCCTCGAGCGCGGCGTCTAATCTATTCGCGCATGTCTTTTCCCTCTGGTCTAATTCATCCTGCTGAGCAGACACTGGCGGAATTCTGCGAGTGTGACGCTCTTCTCCCTCACCGTCGACCTCTCTCCGTCCTGGATTCCCGAGGGCGGCTCCCTCTGCAGCGTCCACACCTCGGTCACCCCCAGGGACTCGAGGTAATCCAGGGCGCGCAGGTAGTTTGTGGCGACCTGTGCGATTCCGTGGCTGTCGTCCGACATGGTGAACCTGCCTCCCATTTTGAGCCACTCCTGGGCGATGGGTCTCGCGGGGTACGGCTCGGCCAAGCCCTTCCGCAGGGCACTGCTGTTGCACTCTAGCCAGCCGCCGTAGCTCCTGACCACCCGGAGGTTGCGCACCACCTTGTCCCACACGGTACCCTCGGGCCCCGGCGCCTTATCGCCCCACGCCGTCCGCAGGTCCCGCCCGGGCTCCTCGCTGAGCAGGCGGATCAGGTCGAAGTGCCCCACGACCCTCGGCGCCAACGCTGTGAGCATAGCGTGCTGCTCGTCGTAGTACTTGGCGTACAGCAGCTCTTCGGACCCGCCTGCAGCGTCCCTCGCCCTCCCGTAGTAGTCCTTGTCGAAATCGATGGGCACGCCGCAGGTGTGGTGCAGTGAGCCCATGAAGTAGTCGATGGCTGGGTGGGAGGCCAGCTCACGGACAAGGGGCCCGTAGACCTCGGGCCTGATGAATTCGCCCTCGAATCCAATGAGGATGTGAATCTGGTCTGCGTACTTTGCGCGCAGGCGCTGGGCCTCGAGCAGGTAGGCCTCGTGGCGGGGCATCAGCGCTGCCAGAGAGCCCTCCGGGTCGTCGAGCTCCTCTGGGTACAGGTCCTCGAGCCCGGTGCGTGGCATATGCTCTGTCAAGGCCATGGTCCTGTAACCGATGCTAATGGCATGCCGTATCACATCCTCGAGCTGGTCTTTGGCGTGGCCGGGGCAGAATTGCCCCGAGTGGGAGTGCATTGTGAAGGCCATCTCGATTGCGGTCTGTGCTCCTTCTATTTCCTCCACTGCTGGCCGAGCGTGAAGATTCGATGCAGATTTACCTCAAGGGTGTTCTCAAGATGTCGGTCAGATAGATCGTGCTTGGTTGCACAGAGGTTTGAAAATTCGAGTCGGGGATGGCGCCCGGGCTTATCTGAGTCACAAACAAGTAATTTTTCTCTCAAATGTTCCTCAGCTTTCCGTGTCAATTTGTCTCTGAATAAATGCTAGATGGAAAAACAAAGTTTATTTGACGCAATCATCTTCATGTCAACCTTGGAAGTCTTGTGTTCTGCGCTTGGATGCTTAGCCGCCGCCGGCATGGAATTGGACTGGATCGGCCTCAGCCTGTCCTCCTAGCACGTTCTGGTAAGTGCCCTGTGAGCACGGCACTTTTGGGCAGGAACACCGGGGCTAAGAAGGGCACATATACAAGTGCCACCATTATCGGGAAGATCTGGAAGTCCACGGATCCCGAATGCTGGGTGCACATGTGAGCTTCAAAATGTTATACCACCTACTGCACCAAACTGGCAGGCACCATTGCAAAGAAACCGTTATCTAAGCAGCACAACTAACTAACCCCTTTCCGCAGGAGCGAGGTGGTGCAGAGATACGGCGTGCAAGCGCGACGTCACATCGTATAATCCATTTTGAGAGATGCATACATACAGGGTGCAAGATGCGGGGGTGCCATCCCCGTCTGGAAACGACTCCCCATCTCATCGTCACCGGCTTCCCACCTGGGTATCTCACATTGGGATATTTTCAAGGTTACAACTAACACACTGACACCCAATAAGAGAGCCCACAAGCTCGTCGTCTTTTTTCGGAGCTATGGCGCACTCCTTTCACGTCCCCATATCCAAGGCACACCTAAAATGGAGCAACGCCCTCTCACCAGTCCTCACGGTCCCTTCCGGCGCCGAGATCTCATTTGACCTCAAGGACGGCGGCAACAATCAGGTCCGTCCGGATAACGAGGCCACGTGCTTCTCCGACTTCGACCTTGCCTTGGTGGACCCGGCGTTCGGCCCCGTCTATATCGAGGGCGCCGAGCCGGGCGACGTGCTCAAGGTGGACATCCAGGACCTGGTCACGGCCGACTACGGCTGGACCGCCATATTCCACGGCTTTGGCCTGCTGGCCGACGACTTCACCGAGCAGCACGTCAAGATCTGGGACCTGACCGGCAAGTCGTTGCTCCCCGGAAACACGGGCGCCAACGGCCCCCCGCGCGCCGTCTTCAAGCCAGGCATCTCGGTCCCTGTACGCCCCTTCCTCGGGGTCCTGGGCATCGCGCCCGCCGAGCACGGCGAATTTAGTACCATCCCACCCTACACGCTCTCAGGCGGCAACATCGACACGCGGTACCTCGGCAAAGGGTCGACCATCTACTTCCCGGTCCAGGTACCCGGCGCACTGTTTAGCTGCGGGGACGCCCACGCTGCCCAGGGCGACGGTGAGGTCTGTGGGACGGCCATAGAGACGCCGGGGAAGGCGACTGTCAAGCTGAGCATCATCAAGAAGCACACCGAGGGCTGGATGGAGCTTTCATGCCCGCACTACACCACCCCTCCGAGGGTGGGCGAGGTCGCCGAGGATGATGTCAAGGGTACCTACGCTGCCTTGGGCGTCCACGCCGACCCCCGGGAGGCGGCTAAGATGGCACTAAGAGGCCTTCTTGACTGGCTTGAGAAATACAAGGGCCTGACGAGAGTGGAAGCGTACATGCTATCAAGTGTGGCTGCCAGCTTGCGCATGACTGAAGTTGTAGACATGCCCAACTTTGCCGTCTCTTGCTCTATCCCGCTCAATACATTTGAAGAATGAGATTCATGCCAGTGTCCAAATCTTCCCTGGTGGATGAGCGACCTGTGCAGCATTGGCAGGACAACTGCGGCTTGCAGGCCTAGATCTTGATATTTATATCTGATCAGTAACATCCCTGAGGACAGGCACAACACGGAAATCAGCCTTCTCTAGATGCCATTATCCGAAGAGGAAATCCAACGACCTCTCAAAAGCATTCCTGTGTGCTTGTCAGTTCGTTGAATGAATGCAGGATTTTGAGGGTCCTGGGACATACTTAGCCGGTCGAGGCACGTAGTTTGCCTCATATTCTTCAATTTCATCCAGGTTCTTCACCAAGTCCACCTCTTCTGGCTTATAAAACTTGGACCGCTTCATCACCTTCCATGCAAGGAACAGTAGAGGGCAGACTGCGATCATTGTGTAGCTGGTTGATCACACGTTAGGCAGGGTGGAAGAGAGGAAACGGGTTGGGATGGGTGTGAAGCGGGACTCACGAGAAGAGGAAGGTCGGCACATCCCAGGACCCGGGCAAGAACACAGTATAGCCCCCAACAAACGTCATAATAAAGCAGCCAACAAGTGCATACCAGGCGGCAAAGGGCTGCGGCAGCGGGCCCTTGTACGGCAGGCTGTCTCTCGAGATACCCTGCACCTTGAGGGCCTTGAAGAAGCGGATATAGGTAAAGCACATGACGCTGAAGTTGATGAGCTGGCTGGCCGTCACGAGGGAGACGAACCAGGAGAGGACGACGGCCGCGTTGTTGGAAACCTGGAGGAAGGACAGCAGGGAGATGAGCAGGACCAGTAGGACCGAGTAGATGGGCACGCCCTTGCGCGTGCACTTGAGGAAGATCTTGGGCGCCTTGCCCTCGAGGGCCAGGCCGTAGAGGGACCGCGAGGCGCAGTAGACGTAGCTGTTTCCGGCGCTGAACGCGGCCGTGAGCACCATTGCGTTTACAACTGGAAGTTGTTAGAGGAAGAACTCTGCAGGGTTTGATGACATGAAGGGAAGCCCCTCGGAAAGAAACATTTGAGAAGACGTGAAGTGGACGGGTGGGTGGATGGACTTACTGTCAGGGAGAACAGTGATCTTCAGCCTGTTCATCGCGACCACATACGGAGAAGCCGCAGCGCCCGGGGCGCCGGAACTAAAGGCCGTCTTAAGCTCCTCGTCGGTGTATGGGACCAAGATTCCGACTGCCAGACTGCCCAGAACAAAAAACGCCGTAAGACGGTAGAAAACCGCATTGAATGCGCGGGGCATGACCTTCCTTGGGTTCTCAGCCTCGCCTGCTGCCATGGAAACGTAGTCTGGTCTAAGACGCCCTTGTTGTTAGAGGTGCATTTTCTGTGCGAGGAACACCGCCTGAATGCCTGGCTTACCCTGCGATAGTGAATGAGGCCTGAATGAGGCACTGGAGGAACCCGAGAAATCTGCCCAGATCGCCGTCACGGTAGAGCTCAGCAAAGGCACCCGGGTTCTGCCAGTACTTGAAGCCAAACCTCTCGCCGAGCGGATTGCCGCCGAGCATCGTGATGAAGGTAAAGATGATCAACGCGATAATCAAGAGGACTTTCCCCAATGCGGCCCAGAATTCACTCTCGCCGTACCATTGCACGGCGAGCAAGTTAATGAGCCTGAGAACATGACGGTGTGGTTAGAGCCCCGCGGCTGGATATAAGCTATTGGAGGGTTGGACTCACCCATAGAGTACGATGACAATGGCTATTATACCCCCAGCAGGTACAACATCACCTAGTAAAATTGGTGTGAGCTGACAGCTTCATCACAAAGTGACCAGAGGGGCTTTTCTCACTCCAATAGTGGATAATGACGTTACACGCCGTGATCTCGAAGGGCACCAGGGCGGCTTCGAACACGAAGAAGTTCCACCCGGCAGCGAAGCCGAAAGCCTCGTCGACATAGCGCCCTGCAAAGCGAATGAACGGGCTGGAGATGGGCAGGTATGTGACCTGTCGTGTAGTCGGTCAGTACCTGAATGAGGCGCTGACCTCGGAATTTCTTAGATGATTTAACCTACCATCTCGGCCATACACATGGTCACACATAGAATGAAGGTGCACCTGGAGCACGGATTAGCTACTGGCAAGATTTGGACCCGGCGGAGTCAATGTTTACCATATCGAAAAGGCCAAGAACAAAGATGCAGGCCCGCCGTTCAATAAACCCTTGCCGATCTGGACATAGAGAGCGGTACCGATAGTACCACCAATACCAATGAGTTGAACTAGATTGTATACGATCAGCCATTGGCACAGACTGGTGCCCTAGTGTACACCGGACACAGGCGACAGAAGCGAACAAGATCATTTCTATTCTTCATCTTCCATATTTCATATCACGAGCTGCAGTCCGACAGGGTGTTCTGGACACCCGGAGAAACACGCTGCGCTCACAGCACGAGCCTGACATTGCATTGGGAGTGAGGGGTTTTGGGTGACCAGAGTCCTCGGGAGCAGCTTACTGTGACGAGACTTGAGCTTCCGAGCAGTGCCATCGCCGTGGCCTAGGGACCGGATGGAGCTGCTGCGGTCGGACTGGGCCCTCCCCACAACGGCCTTCTCATCGTCGGCCGGGTATTTGGCCGGCTGAGCAATGTCGACGCCGGTGGACGACGCCATTGTTGTTATATGTTGCAAAGATGTTTTTCGTTCAAGGTCATGCAGGCCAAGGTTCCTCAAGAGTGGGAAGAAAAAGCACCACAAACAAAAACCTTGGGCAGACGGCAGACGGGGCTTCAGCGAAGCGACTTGAGAAGAAGACTGAAGAACTCAACCCTGAACTGCATTTGCCGCCGGGAGGGGGGGAATAGCCAACGTCTCTAAGACGGAGAGAGGGTTCGGGTGGCAGGAAATCGATCTGTCGGCGTCCGCCGTTGGCAGGTAAGCTGGCTTAGCTCCTGGGCAGCCACCAAAAAGCTTTCCCGCCGAGAAGGGCAGTTCGAGGACGCAAGCCGGGCAAAGGTGCGTGGCCAACCAGACCGAAGGGGGCAGCAGGATCACGGAGATGGCGCTGTGCCAAGGCAGAATGTTGTGCTACGGTCCCGCGATGGTGCACTTGTTTGGCCGTCAAGGATATGACTCGAAGAGAAGAAGGACCGAGAGAAGGGGGCGAGGCAGAAAACGACAAGCAAGGTTGAGGCTGGCGATGGGCAGTCTGGGCAAGGGCTGGGCAAGAGGCGAGGAGCTGCGAGGATGGGAAAGATAAGACATTTCGCATCTGGGCTTGCAAGGCTTGGTGCTGCAGGAAGAGATGCTCCTTGCTTGGTGCTGCAGGTTGGAGGGTCGAGACTGAGAGATTACCTCGGTATTCCACATATTTTGTCAGGCTGCCAGGCTGCCAGGCTGCTTGCGGACTTGTGGCAGGGGCACAGAGCTTGATCTGCTGGGCCCGTTCCCTGCTAGCCTACCTACTTAAGTAAGTAGCTATAGGAAGCAAGCATCGTCTTCGAAATGTCTCGGCTTCGAGATGGCTCGTCTCCAAAACACCCCAAGGCGAGCCGGTTCCGCTTTGTTCAGTGAGGGCCGGTCGGCCTGCCAGCCTGCCTGCTCTGTCGGGTCAGTGGCACCGTCTGTCAGAGCCGGGGCGCGTGCGCTGACCGTGGGGGTCATGAACATCAGTAGCCCAACCCCGCCTTTTGGTGCTGTACACGAGTACTGTAGCTCAGCTAACGTCTACTATTATCCGTACACTAGGTACCGCAGCACAGTCTAGCACTGATTGGTTCAATGTAGCCCCGGCAATCTGGGACGCCCCGCCGCGTACCTCCCTGCCCGCGTCTGGGTACCCGTCTGGTGGTACGTGCATATAGTACACGGCCAGACGGCTGCCGCCCATCACCGCCACGATTGGGAAACGGACCGATGGTCGAGGAGAGGCAGAGAGGCGGCGCGTGGGGGCTACCTTCACAAATCTAGACTTCAGGACTTTAGGACTTGATGATCTTATTGATGGCAGTCACGTTGTAGCATCTACCGATTTTACCAACACAAATCTCCTAATTCATACAATACACATGGCCTCGATCCATACAGTAAAGTATTTTTGCACCCCGTGGTATCATCGCAGCAGGGCCAAGTTCCACCCGCGCATCGCTTGCTCAAATTCAGTTCATGTCTTCCATAAGTCATCCGCTCCGAGCAATGCCCGCTAGAAGCTGCGATGCCGCCAGCCAACCGTACAAATTTAACATCAAGAGGAAAGACAGAAACGAGAAAAGCACACACCACCCCCCCCCCCCAAAAAAAAAAAAAGAAAAAGACAATTTTAAATCCAGAACAGTCTCCTTTTAATAATCACAATCCCCATCCTCGACCCTCATAAGTGCCCCACCACCAGACGGTGATTGAAAAATGAAAGACAGTTATAAGGCTAGACCGGTCCCATCGCCGGTCCATCGGTATAGAGATAGAAGCTCACGTCGGCGGTGGTGCTGTTCTGCGAGATCCTCCGGTACGCGGCCGCGGACCTGGGCCAGGGCACTGCGCATTACCCTGCTGAAGTTCCGCTGGAAACGCACAAGACGTCAGCACTGGGCTCTTGAACAGCCATGAGTGTCAAGGAAAAAATGGGTGCTGCCTCGTCTTACCTGATATTCTGTGTTGAGTGTCACCACGGAAGCCTCGTGAGCACGGACGATGGTCTCGCAGGCCCGGACGACACTCGGAGACGCCTCACTCTGCAGCTTGTCGGCGATCAGCAGCAGGAGGAATGAGCCCTGCAGGAGATAAATGCCGAAAAAGAAGGGCATAAACTCCAGCCCCGGGTCATACTCTAATATATGGCTGATGGCCTCGGCTGCAGAGACTGCGCGTCCCGTGGCAGTGATGAACCCTTGGGAGCTGATCCAAAGGTCGTTGTCGTCGAGAAGATTGATCGGATCCCATTTGCCTGTGAGAAGGATGTGTAGCACGTGCATTACGTGTGTCCCGTAAGCCATTACGATTCGCGTCTGGATCTCCGACTCTGTCATCCTGCTGGCACTCGTCAGCACACTGTGCACCGAGTGCACCGATGGTGTGCCGGCATCCACGGGGCCAAGACCGTCGTTGTGGTTCTCCTCCGCCTCGTCTGTTGTGCTCGCATTGTGTTGCCCAAGGCTCCGCTGGGCAAACTTTTTCAAGCTCTGTTCATACAGTTGCAGGTGCCGCTCGATCTCCAGCGCTTGCCCATCCCATTCCCGAGCTGACCTGAACCCGACCCCGAAACGCGGGTGGTTGCGCGCGTGGTTGAGGTCGACAATCTCACCCAAGATGGCCATGAGCGGGAGGAAGTAGCCATATATGCTGTGTCCGTTGCATTCGAACGAGGGGCCCCGGGCTCTCGATTGCGACTGCGACGCCGATGGGCCCGAGGCAAGCACACTGGGATCCGTCAGCGGCGATGGCTGGGGCTGAAACTCTCCGTTCTGGAACGCCGTGTCGTCCATTGGCTGCAGAAGCCCATCGCATTCAATGTCAAGGAGGAAAAGCGGCCGGTTGTAGCAGAGCGCAAGGTGGCGGTCGACGATATAGACAAGCCACCAGATGCGTCGTCGTTCTTCCCGCTCCTCTTCCGTAATGAGACCCGGCACTTCCGACTGGTCCTCGGCACCCTCGTTGTCGGGCTCGGGGGCACTCATGGACTGTGGGAGTTCGCGGCCTAGCCTCAGTTCGCGGGCGAGCGACCACGCGGCATTCCACCACCGGAGACTGGCTCCCTTGTATTCGCTAGCAGATACCACCGTTGCCAGGTGGATGTATGTAACAACATCGTCAAGAGTTCCTGCTGCACCGAATGGGCCAGTCTCGCTGGTCAAGGCTTCCATGCTAATTGTGCCAGGTAGTGCCACACCCAGGCCACCAAGAGCAGCACCGTCGATTGCACCGGGGCTGGCTACAGGAGACGAGTCTCCCGACGGTGTATGGATGAGCGGCTTAAGCAGGCTAACGGTCAGTTCCAGCAGCCTTTGGCATATCCGCCCACGTGCGGAAGGCACGCTGGTCAGGAAAGGGGCGTCACTCGTTTGGGCAGCGACCCAGAGCATGCTGGAGAGCAAAGCCGGCTGGCACCTGCGAGGCTTCGACGGGTGTAGGAACGAGCGCTTGCGAAATACGAACCCCAACACGTACGGCGAGTGTGGATGCATCTGTGCGGAGGATGAGCTCGAGAAATAGAGGTCGATAAGATCGCACGCAAGCGGCAAGGGTATGATGGTTTCGAGGTGAGGTATCAGAGGCTCCAAAACGGGATATCGAAGCTGGGAGCCGTGGTAACTGGGGGCAGGAACGTGGGTTTGATATTGTTGCGGCGGAGATCCCATGTTCATCCAGCCAGGCGATGGGCCGTCACCACCCATAGGGTAGGCACTGAGAGGGCTGGTCGCCATCCGAAAAGCAGCCGCATTCGGCGTGTATCCAGTCGGATTCTGCGTCTGCAAGCCATATGGAATGTTCGGGTACGCTGAAATATTGCCCTGGCTCGCACCGTACGCAGGATGAGCTGCCGGGTCAATCATGTGTACGCCCATTGCCTGTCGGTCGTACGGGTGGTGGATGTTGGCGTAGCTGCTCGGGTCGAATGCCCCTTGGTTGTCGAGCTGGTCACGCTCCATCACCCCCGGGTGCCCGTTGATGTGGGAAGACTGGCCTCCGAGATCTGGCTCGCTCTCCAAGCTGCCCAGTCTTTCCTCTCTCCGGGAACCTTCCTCGTCGTCCCCATCGCTCCCGTTGTTGATGTTAGCTGCTATGGAATCATCCGGTTTCGATGCTGTTTGCTCGTCAGGCTGGTTGTTTTCCGCCCCTGACACTGGGGATTTGCGGCCACCCTGGGATGCTGCTTGGGCAGCAGCTTGCTGAGCGAGGTCTTTGCGGGAGGCCTTGCCTCTCTTCTTTCTTTCCCTCTGGTATTCACAACCGAGCCCAAATTCTGCACATGTCAACTCATCTTGCACTGGCTGAGTGAAAGTGGGCGAGGGACGCTCCTCGACTTACCTATGCAGTGTGCACAAGGATGCTGGCCATCGCATTTGGTTCGGAGCTGATTGCACTGGTCACAGGCGCGAGATATCCTTCGCCGTATTGGACCACTGGCACTGGCCGATCTGCCTCCAGACCCGTACGGGTGCTGCCGGTGTTTCCCATGGGGACCGGCGCGGACCAAGTGTTGGTTCTGCGCACCCACATGTTGCTGGAGGTGCTGGAGGGCGTAGTGTGATCCTTGGGACAGGCTGTCCAGCCCAGACGGGTGTATGTGGCCCTGGGGTACGTGGCCGTTGGACAGAAGGGTTGACGAAGGTAGAGAGTGATATGGCGAAAATCGATGAAGCGGGTTGGACAACATCTCGAAGCCTTATGCTGACGCCTCTCCGCGTCAATGCTGGCGTGAGCAGGTGATCAAGATGAGAAGGTCGGGCTGGATATATCTGCAACAAGAACCTGTACCATCTGCGGAGGCCCTGATCGAGACCCCGCGCAAATCCAGGAGTGTTGAGTGCTGTTCGGAATCAAAGCCACGCCTGGGAAGTCAACAAGTCCAGAGGGTCCTTTGTCAGTGAGGCGGCCTAGATAGTGGTCTCTGGTATATCAATACGGGAAGGCGACACCCTATCGAAGGAGGCGCGTCAGCGGCACATGTGCAAGTCTCACCAACGGAACGAGAAGCATACAGCCAGCTTGTCTGGGGTTAGATGCTGGTGCGGGAGGAGTGTGACTGGGCTGATGGGTGGGTACCAGCAATGCCGAGGACGATTTCCAGAGGCATTTGAGCCAAGCAAGCAGCCACTAATTCCGGATGGAGAGAGCCGGAATGTCAAGGGGAGGTAAGGGCCGCGGCCCAGATGACAGGGGCCAGGCGGAACAGGCTGCTGGGTCTAGAGAAAAGAGAGGGCACTATCAGAGGCGAATCTACACTTACCGAAAGTTTCCAGGTGGAAGCCGAAAAGCAGGTTGGTGTACCAAAGTTTGGGGGAGGTGGCATCAGGTGTCAGTGACACAGAATCGGAATCTTGGTAGCCTCCTGCCACGGGGTTTCGTGTTCGACTGGTACTTTATTTAGTCATGCCCGTGATGCTGCTGGGTCCTTTGCACAGCAATTAAGAGGACCGGGCGAGCAGCCTTGCCAGCGTGGTCGGACTGGATAGGGCCAAAGCTTGGGAACGGGACGTCAGGTAGCAGCAAGTTGTTCTCGATCCGGGCGCCTTGGGAGGATATCTGTAGCGAGCCCCTAGAGCTCGCCGTGTAGCAGTAGCAGGGCAGGCCTCGAGAGGCCTCGAGAGGTCGAGAAGAATGGTCTTCCGGGTGACCTGACCGGTGTCGGATCTGCCAGGATATTGACGAAGCAATCTATGGTATGCAGGAAGACGGAAGGGCAGCCATGCATTAAGACCAGCAAAGATTGGCGTTACGGAGACGGGGTGTGGGCTGTTCACGGGTAGCTGGCATATCGAAAAATGGAAACGTGAAGCAGAGCAGGCAAATGAGCCATGTCAGAGGCGCGTGAATGGAATTATGAGTGGCCCGCAGTGTGCGCAGGGTACGCACAGTATGGTTCGCCGCCTTGGGGAAACCAGCGATCTAAGCTGAATGGACGATAGTACGGACCGGAGGAGCACACAAGCGCCGCGTCCAGTACGGTTACAAGCAGGCATATGTGGGCAGAATTTCGTCGGGCCCAATTCGAGGTTGAGGTCGAGCAGGGGGGTGTTGTAGGTATGGGTACATAGTATGGGGGGGAGGGCGGTGGGTATGGGCTGGGAAGAGACGGGTACCTGGGGTAGATCAAGCCCAGGACTACCTGGGCTGATCTCCTTACGACTTTCCCTGTAGGGGGATGGGCCTCTGGGGAGGTTGGGAGGCAGGGAGGGGGCAGAAGTTGCTGCTCACGAGATGGCCCACGCCTACGCATGTGCAGCTCCTGCCGCATGGTGGAAACACCGCAGGTCTCGCCTATCCCATTGTGATGTGCCCGTTCTTGTGCACCAGCCAGCCAGCAGGCGGACAAGGCGTGAACCGGGGGCGAGGAGACGGGACGTGGAACCTGACGGCGATTGGAGGGCCGGGGTCTGGCAAATCTGGGGGTGCCTAGACGGACAATGTTCAGTCTGCCAGTGTGCCAGGGGCCTGCCAGCCAGTCAGGTCCAGTCCAGCACCAATGGGGAAGACAAGGTTTTGTGCAGGTTGAGTCCAGGGTGGCAGGGTGGAGCGATGCTGCAGGTGCTCGAGTCCTGTGGTGAGATGCGGCAGACTGCACGGGCTTGGCGCGACTCTCCGGTGTATCTAGTGTGCTGTAGATGCTGCGTACGACCAACAGTTCCAGCTGGATGGCGATACTTTGGGTGTACCAGTGAGACCCGCGATGCGTGGTGAAAAGCCGACGTCGACGTCGCGTAGCCTGGGCAGGCGACCTGGTGCAGTCTGTTCGCCAACGGCTGCAAGGTTGCCGGGGCACTGCATGAGAACCTTAGTTTTGGGATGAACGGGACTCGTCGGCCCCATCATCCTTCATCACTCATGCCTCGCTGGGAATGCTGGCCCGCATGGTCGAGTAAAACGGCCAGCCGTGCTGTGACGGCTGTGACGACTGCAGGCACACAAGCAATGCTCTCTTGATGCTGGTCGTGGGCTGCTGTGCTGTGTGTCGAGAAAGGAGGGTGGAGGGTGGAGGCCAGGCGAAGGACGACGGAAGACCACGATGCTACTCAGCCATCTCCACAAAATAGGGCCGGGTGACACACCCTTCTCCTCCTCCTCCACTCCCCCCCCCCCCCCAGGCAGGCCCCCTCCTTCTCTCGCCTCGTCCAGGGCAGGGCTGGCCTGGCGGCGGGGTACTGCATGCAAGCTCCCAGGCACTGAAGCGCTGGGGTAACCGTGTACTTGAATACAAAGGCACTTACTCAAGTACTGTGGTACCCGCCCAGGCAGGCCAGAGAGCTCTTTACATAGTACAGTACTGTTACGCCTCGGCCAGTGCAGGCCCAGCCTGGCTCGACCCTGACTCCGCGGACCATTGTACACTAGAGCAGCTGACCACTCACTGTCGACCCTGCTGGCCTCGGTACCACTCTGCCAGTCTGCCCGATTTCGTCGTTGACGGAAACCTTGCATGAACCTACTCATGTGTGTATCTTGGCAGAACCAGACTCCTGGTGCACCCGACTGACTGCCAGATGGCTTCTTCCCTCGGCCAGCCAGCCAGGCAATCTCAGGCCTAGTCTGGTGCCTCCCCGTCTGTCCGCCTTTCCGAACTGAGCGCCGCCGGTTGACGCAATGCCTGCGTCTGTCGCCTCGCCCCAGAACCCCTAGCCTGCTAGCCAGGACATGGCAAAGATGCGCGCGCTTCCCTGACTTTGCCATCGCCCAGACACAAGTTTCGTCGATTCTTCTGAGGCCCGACCCGGTCGGTCTACGACTCGGTCTAGCATTTTCACGGCCAACGGTGGCTGTGGTGGAGGCTCAAAACAGAAATGCCCCATCACTCCGCGTCGGGCTGGCACGTCCGTCACACAGCATCTTGGTGCTCGACCACGGCGATGCCACGGGCAACATCTGGGATACACAGGGTTAAAGTGAGCGCCGTCGTCGCCAGCCAGGTACTACTATCTGCCTCTGTGCCAGACGGGACCACAGCTGCTGGATCTGCTCTCAGCCGCATTATGGTTTCAGTGCTAAGCTGTGTGCTTCTTCTAGAATGCTGGGCTTCCGCACCCATCCTTGTTCTGGCGGCTTTTGACGCCGGCCGCTGATGCTGATTACTAGACCTGCGCTGATCCTCTTGCTTCTTGGTTCTGGTGGAGCACTGGCTTTTGTCTAGTGACGTGCCCGCAGAAAACGCCAGTCTTTCTTGAGCAGTTCTCGCGAGCCCACCGACCGCCATCCAATGAATCGAGCAGTTAGGGCTGGAAACGCCGCTAGCTAAGCATCCAGACGGCCTCACCGTTCGACGCGGTCACAGGTCTTGAGCTCAGGTTACAGCTCTCATCTCCGGGACCTCAGATGTTTGCCCAAGTCTGAGCCTGCTGGTCTGACAGCAGCCATGGAGGCCCTGAAACCTTGGGCATGGGCTTCCCTTACCCAGCAGCACAGGTGTAGGGCAGCGCCACGGTCGCATATTCAGGCCCATGTCCATGAGAGATTTACCGTCCGATGGCCATGACATCGGACATCATTCAGATCGGACGAACAAGCTGTCACAGCGGCGAGCAGCAGCAGCGGCTGTCCACAGGCCTGGCAGGAGAGGATGTACTCAGCCTTTATTCCAATGACAGCAGCGACGGTGTCGCCGTGTTGGGGCTCTTCTTGATCAAGAAATTGGAGAAACGGCTGCATATGGTGCGACCTTGAGCCTCAGGCACAACGGCGTTAATGGCGTTCCTGACAGCCTAATCCGCAAGCGCTTGAGCCGATACACGCACGCGCTGCGGATCAGTGGCGCCTTCCACGCAGATGGTCGATGCCACTTTGATTTTGGCCCGTTCGAGTCCCTGCCGCAACCAGGTGCAGAGGGCCATGTGGGGGCCGTGGGCTTTGCATAACTGCTTGATGTACGAGAGCCTTCCTGCCATGTTGAAATCTCGGGCTCGCTCTCGGGCTCATCTATGCCAGGAACGGCCTGGGCCAGGACAGGGGAGCCGGTTCAGACCCTACGCTGCCTTCGTCTGATCTGCCGTGGCACTGCAAGATACCGCAGGTCAAGCCTTGCTCCCGCTGTCCCTCGAATGAAAGGCGCCTTGCTGGACCAATGTGCACAGTAACTCAGTCACTGCTACACCTTCACCGTCACAAACCAGCCAAGCACTTCATGCTGAGCGTGGCGCTTGACGCTAGGCGAAATAGGGAACTCTTATACATCACTCATCACCATAGTGCTGCCCACCTGCGCCTTTTCTCGTTGTGGCACTGCTAAAAGTCCAATCCGTTCGTCCGGAGAGAGCTCGAGGCAATCAACCGGAGGATCTAGCACTCTCCCTCTCTCTATTCCCGTTGCCACCAGCTTCGGCATCGAGGTGTCAAAGGATTCTTTGAATGATATTGCGAGAGGCTTCACTGCTTGACTCCTCGGGAATCCTACACTTCGGGATTCCATCGATCGCCATCCTTCAACCATCCTGCCAGCCCTGCCAGCGTGCACGGCAAGACCTACAGTGCCGGAGCGATCCTGGTCGATTGTTGATCTGCACGCTTCCCGTGAATCCGGCCGAGTCACGCAAGTTCTCTTCCTTTGCAGTAGCTTCTTCAAACCCGCAGGCGCACGGCGGCGCTGTCCAGCTGTACCTCCAAGTCCGGTAGTCCGCCGCAGCTCATGCTACACGCGCCCTGGTTTTTGGTCCACTTCCACCATACGAGTAGGTACACACCATCACCATCGGTCAGCTTGGAGGTTGCAGAGATTGCCCCAGATCGTATCCCAGTCATCGAGGCGAAAAAGCTCCGGTCAATATAAAACGGATTGCGGGGCACGCCACGCCACGAGGGTTGCACACATTTGGGCAGCGATCGTACATCATGACGATTGTGACAGTAGCTCACTAGTCAAACATCAACTGGCGTAGTGTGTTTGAGGTACCACCAGGGGATTTATCGTGTGCACTGCTTGATGCCATCGCCAATATGACATTATATTGCAACGATCACGGGCGATCACCCCTCATGATGTTGTGGCAGCTGCTTG